CATTTTATCTGAGAGAAGTTTAATAATTGCAAGTCGTTTTAGAATTTTCTCTGTTCTCACATTGCTGATTCTTCAGATCAATGTGCTCTAGTTGATGCGGTATAACTAATAAATCATTAATTAACTTTTTTTTGTTGATAGATAACGAAGAATCGACACGAAATAAATTTTGAGTTTTTTTTTATATTCGGGAGTAGATTCGGTTTCATTTTTGACACACATTTTAATGAGATCTACATTTCCTGTGCTGAAAATATTTAAATTGTGAATATTAAATGAACTGTGAGTGATGCAAAAAAAAATATTTTACCTTAAACGTTGTTTTGATATTCTTCGCAAAGACTTTTTTTATTTTTTCTTTATGGCATTTTCGAGTATTTTCTATTTAAAAATTTTTCACACACCATCAGTAGCTTGAGTTATAAATTGCATAAAAACCAGTTAGAAAATCATAAAGAGAATGTTTCGATGACATGAGATTTTCTTTTTTTGCAAGCGAACAACGGGTCATCATTGTGCAGTGTAAGTAAGCAAAGCAATCGTTTCATTTACGATCGTTTTACCGTCATCAGTGAAATTTCTTCTATCTGTCTATTGACTCGTAAGACGAGATTTAAAAGTGAAGATTTTATGAGCCTAATTCATGATGTTAATTTGCTTTGGACCGCTGATGAATATCATTGAGGCGTAAGCAATTACCATTTACCTGTTATCAGTTAAGCATTACATAAATTACTTTTAAATGTCTTTTTTTGAGATTTCATTGTGATTTTTGGTAATCAAATAAAAAAGCTCATGTGTAGACATATCAGAGATTAAATTCAAGCTATGATTAGAAACCCAGAAGCAGTAGATATAAAGAAAATGACAAAAAAAGTGACCGGAGTTCGTTGTAAATCGACAAATGCTTCCTTCCAAATGTGAAGTTGATTTTTAAAAGAAACTCAAAGCATCATGCCGCAGACGGAACAACATCGGAATGGATTCTGTTGACCTAAACGCCACTTTTACTTCCGATGATTTCTCGGTCAACAGTCATGTAAATGCTTTCTTTGTTAACTTGAAGTAAGTTGAGCAAAGTGACGAATATTAATTGAAGAAAAACGATAAAATTTCTTGTTAATGAAAATCTTATTAAACAATCGTCACGGGAAAATGTTGTTGAAGCATTTAATTGAAAATGGAATTGTTTTGTGTTTCATTGTGATTTTTTTCCTCCTGAATGTTTACCTTTTGTTAGACAATTAACTGACAATGAAGACATTCATTGATAGTTTATTGTTGGCGGATAATGAACAACCACACAAACCATCTTCGTTTCTCTTTGAGACTAATCATTACAATTAATTATGAGTTGATGTTTCTGTGGTTTTTATCGGAAAATCTTCTCTCCTTTGATAAACACAAGTCTACATAAAGCTTAATTAAACTCTGTTCGATTCACTTGATCGCTAAGCAGCTAAAAATGAAGGAAAAAGTTGCAAAAAAATTACCAACTCATAAATTTAGCTAAATCTATGTTTGTTTGATGTTAAGTCACATTAACTAAGAGATTTCCATTTTATTATGCTTTTTGATTTATGGAAGAGAAAATTTCTTATGTGTCGAATTACAAAAATTTATCCTTAACATGAATCGCTGATTGTGTTGTTGAAATGCTTACGAAATTAAACATCAGAAGAATGATTTGTGATACATTAGGTTTAACTGTTTCTTTAATCCATTTAGTCAGAAACTAAGTAAGAACACAGATGATGCTTCATTCTAAAAAAAAATTAAATCTGTTTGGTGTAGCGGTTGAAGGAAATTATTTCAAGCAACTACACATTTCCGATTAAATCATCGAATAAATTTTAGCTGATGCAAGAAAGATCAAACACATGACACAGAAGAAATGATGTTTGATCTTCAATTTCCAATTAGAATGCTTTCAATCTAAAAGATTAGAAGTGAAAACGGAAGAATTCAGCGAGACGCTCTCATAATGCGATATTTTCCATTTCTCCACGAGTTTAAACTTTAAAGAAAAAAGAAAGAAATGAGCGTAATGTAAACATGCCGCTGATGGTTTTGTTTGGATTTTGCATTTACTTCTCTTCATTTGTGTTCTGTCTTTAGCTGCTGCAAGACGTGTTGTTGATTGAGAGAAGAAAAGAAAGATTTGGTGCGGTAAAATAAGTGAACGGTTCATTCAAGTCCAGATTCTGTTATAATTTACACGTTCTCAGTCGTCGCGTTTATTGCGCAATTTTTATTTGTTATCGCTCATCAACGTGTGGATTTTCTGTTACGGTTATTAAATTTAAAATTACCGAAAAACAAAAAAATAAATAAATATGAAGTTGAGTCAGAAAATAGTGTTGATAAGTCTTGTGCTGCTGATTGTCTTAAGTGTTTGTGAAGCAAAGAAACGTCGAATTCCAACGAAAAAGCAAAACAAAATTCAAAAACAATCAAAGCTTCCAAAAATAAAGAATCAAAAGCAACTTCTGTACGAGACACGTGAAACTTCGCCACCTAATTTTGTGACACTTTTAATTTTTCGACTCGTATATGGAATAGCATCACAAATGGGAGTAGAAGATCGTCTACCGGGATTTATTGCGCCACCAAATGCTGAACCAGATTACGGATTCTTCAGTTTTGGTGGTGAAACTCCAAGCATCTTCGGAGGTGGCGGTGACGATGATTACGATTTTGGATTTTAATTGAAATAGTTAATAGAATAATGACAAGTTAATCATGTGAAGCAACTCAGGAATGATAGAAACTAAGAAGATAAAAGATTATATGACTTAAAACATGGGTTTGTTGCTTCATAATAAGTCATTTAAATCTTTTGTTCTTCTATCAACAACTCCAACATCTAAATTGATTAACAAAAGCCATTCATTGTTTTCTGAACTCTGTTTAAGTATCATAAACATTTCAAGTGAAATCATAAGTAGATAATGATAAAAACATTAGGAAAATAATTTCTTGACCCACATTAAGAGTCATCGAGGGGAAAAAGTTTAAATTAAAATAAAAGAAAAAGTTTATCAAAAGCATGAGAAGAGCATTTAAAATTCACAAATTGATGTTCGTTATGCATATCTATAAAGAAGACGTTTTTTTAATTCGCAGTCAACAAGTCAACATAAGAAATGCGCATCGAATGGCCAAATTAAATCGTTTGAGTATACCACACACCGAATGGTGGACAAGAAGCGCGACTGAGTGATATAATTAAATAGACTCTAAAGTGCTCGAAGAGTCGAAGCATAAAGAAAAACAGAATCAAAAAAGCATTTTAATAATGTGGTTAATCTAACAGTACAATTTCCATTCAAACCATCGATTCAATTACAATTATTATCTTTTTCTTCTTTAATGATTTATTTCTTTTTGACGAATAGGTGTGCAGATAACTTTGTAAAGTTAGTTATTCTCTGAGAATCTTTAGATTACTTCACAATAATAAATTTAACCCAAATTTCCATGAAAGAAATCGAAATTTTCTAAGCCCTAACGCTGTGAACGAATTTTTAATTGTTAAATTTGTAGAATGTTTTATTTTCCAACCATGACTCGAGTTTGTGAATGAAATGAATGATGATCATAGTTATTCAAATGACGAATGTTCACCAGGCATGCGACAAAAACGGAAATAAATATTTTAATTCATTCAAGTTTCAAATTGATATTTATGAGATTGACATCAGAAATGATTTCTTAAATCAAAGGTTTCACAAATCCATGTTAATAATAATCAAGTTTAACTTAAACATGATTTTAATGTTTTCATCTAAAAGAAAGCGACATTCCGAGATAAATAATGCGATTGCCGACTCATTAAATATCTCGACACCTTTTCGATTGTTTGTTTTCAAGTTGATTTATCGTCTGTGAAGCCCTTCAATGCTATAATTTTTCATGTCCGCAATAAAAGAAAACCAATTTAAATAATATTAAGAGCTGATTTTATATTCGTCAATTCAGTTGTAGGTAAAAAAAGTCACACACAGAATTGAACAGAGAAAGCCAAAATAACAAGAAGAAGTTTTCTGTTAATTATGCAAATCGATATGAAATTTGTTCGTTTAAAATGCTGAAGGTATAGAAACAAAAGTGAAACTGATGATATCTCTGCTTCACTTTATGATTAAAATTGGCTTTGAAAATTTATTAATATTCATTGGATGAATATTTGAATAACATTCAATTATCTATCTAGTAGATAAAATAACATTTTGTTAACACAATGGTCATCATAAAAGAAATTAAATGAAATGTTTATTGATTAAAATCAGTAAATTATGATGAATGGTTAAGCTCATCAATTTCACAGCATCGTGTGAGTCTCATCTTTCATCTTTCAATTTAAACATTCATAAAGTAAACGAAAAGATATCATTTGTTAGCAAACAGTCATCGATGCAAACAACAATCTTGATGGAGGGAACAAATGTGGGTTAACGATACAAAATTCGTTTCTTATTTTCCTTTTGGCGTGTTCGAATTTCGTGGTATTGTACGTGATAAATATTCTTGTGGTGAATAATTCGTTCGCTTTTCCTTTTCGTTTTTGGTAAAAGTTAACGGAAGTCAAAAATCTCATAAAGAACGAATAAGTGAAACAAAAAATAGTTAATTTTGGCATAATGAAATTTTCTTTTATCAATCTCTTAAAATCTAGTGAGAAACTCTCTGGTTCGTTTGAACCAAACTACTGTTCAAGATTATATCATAAAAGCAACAAAACGTGCAAATGAATGGGTTCAAGTATTTTTTAATGTAGATTGTTATTTATGTAAAATGTCATACAGATACATTAGAAGAACTTCTTTATTAAGTATGTTCTACTCTAAAAATTCATTTGATATTACTCATTAAATTGTTTAAAATAAAAAAATGTTGAAATTAGATACTTATTTAGTAATAAAATTTAAATAACTTGAAGATTGTTATACTTCCTATGTTTAATATTTATTCTCTTATCATTCACACGGATCAATAATTTATTGTAGAATCGACACAATTTCAATAAATTATGTAGCACAATGTGTAGGATTAATGAACAGTTGCAAAATTGCAATGTTTATGCATTGCGATTATCTACTTATCTAGTTGTACGAAACTTATTTATCTATTTGGTAGAAATTAAGAAAGCTGTAGTTGGTGTAAATATTTATTTGAAATAATTGTTAATGTTGAATTATTTATTTGTTTACTTTCAAACATGCATGCACGCATGAGTTGATTTAATTGAGATTATTTGAATTCATTTGAATAAAACAGTTATCGATAGAAAATTTGTGTTTTTTGCTTTATTTATAATTTTAATCGTCAATTTTAAAACATAAGAATATTTACCTATGATCCCACTCCACTTAATAAAAAATTCAATTAAAAGCCTTAGTCCATAGATATTTTGATAGAGTTAGAAGAAGCAAATGATTAATTTAATTATCAGAAGCTTTCCACTTCAATGACTTTTTCAAAAGTTTCTTTTTTACTTTCTTTTTCTATTTTAAAACTAAAGAAGATGCAGAATTCTTTTGAAGATGCTTCAACAGCAATATATCTTGAATATGGGCTCTAAAAGTCACGATTTTTCATCCATTCATTTCTTTTTCCTTCATTTCACTATTATCGAGTTGCTCTTACCGTGAAAGTATTTTGTGATTGTTTGAACTTGAAATAAACATGGAAATGCATAAGAAAAATGACGCCGCAAAGTTTTATTAAAATTTGCTCTATAAAAAGAAGAAACAAGAAATTCTTTTTGCACACTCAGAGTAAATAAAGTTGCTGGCTTTGGTTGATCAACCGACTACATCGGCACTACTGTTTCTGTTTGTCATGCGGATTAAGAAAAAAATTACATTAAAGAACAACAGTTAAGTGTGTCAATTGATTGCAACTTACTTGTGTATCTTACACATTTGTAATGTCTTTGTCTTCCCTTCATTTTAAGCCATTCATTAATAAGACAGGTTTGAATTAAAAATAATTTCAAAATGATGTCAGGTAGTAATGACACGAAAACATTTCACTTTTAATGAAAAACTTTATTAAAAAAAATTATTTTCTTCTTAAAATTTATTAATTCATTTTTTGAGATGTTCCGTTTTGATTTTGTTGCGGATTTGGCTGGTTTCTTGGTGGGTTGTGCAAAAAATGTTGCTGCTCGAGATTTTTCGTTCGTCTTCTTGTGTAATGTTGCCACAATAGAATTGCTTGATCATCAATAAACTTACAACATGGAGCGGTGACTATTTTTCGTCGGAATTCTTCGCTTTGAAGTAGATCAAGGAAATATAAGCACATCGGGTATTTCAAGAACTTTGCATATTCCGGCTTCTTCCAATACAGTAAATATTTGAGATAATTTACAAAACACGGATCTTTGAAGAAATCACGTTGAGCCAAAACTATAAAACAAACCGTTAGAATCTCATTTCCTTCTAAAATTAATAAAAAATAAACTTACAGTGCAAGTAGTTTGGATTTGCAAGACATTGAACGAATTCAAGCTCGACTTGGAATCTTAGCCTTTGTTGGTCATCACTTTCTGCAGCTTGAAGAGCTAAAGTTAAAATATAAAAAGAAAACAATAATGGACAACTAAGAAATGTTTCAAAAAATAAGGTTTTATGTTAGTGATAAAATGAGAGAATAACATGAATCAATATACAACTCAAACTACTTAAGGAAAACGTAGATAACAAAATAAATTAAGATTATTTACTCACAATCCTTTGTTTTGTTTGTTCCTTTCTTATTAGCCATTTAATAAGTTGTGAAGAAGTGATATTGAGCAAATAATTTAAGTGTTTTGGCCGTTTTGGGAATACGTGTTTATGAGGAGGATCGTGAGATGGATTGGAAGTTGTGGGTGATATTATTTACAACATCCAGTGACAGACAAAATAAAGTGATTTCTTCCAGCTCACACGAATGTGAAGTTTAAAAACTTAAAAATAGTTGCTATTTTTATCAGTTTTGTGTATGAATTATTTATTTTTTAGCATAAACCATAAAGAAATCAAGCAAGTCTAAATTAATTTTCCACTAAAAAAGAATAAAATTTGTGACTTCAACGTGTGCCTTTATAAATAACGAGAACTATTTACTCACAGCTATAGATTGACATTTAGTATGTATTAAAGAACTTTATTTCCAATAAATGTAACTTAAATTAGTTTTAGCATGAAAAATATAAATTAACACTTTGTATGGACAGTGGGATCCAGTTTGTTTACAGCGGGGTATGCAAGAATGCGCAGTAGGACATAATTTAAATAGCAAACCGTTGAGAATATTTTCGCAACTTTGTACACGCTCTTCCTATACTTTTATCATTTTATGTGGCCTTGATTTTTTTTTCGGTCAACGTCCGAGAATCTACAACTTGTTGTGGGTTTATTTGCCTATCATTTTTTTGAGCTACTTGCATCAGTGTGGCTGGTATTTTCTCGATTGTCATAAAAAAGTTCTTTTTAATTAAATATGAAATACAATATGAAACAGAATTTCTTTGCTTTTCCATCAATATCATTGGAAGACGATATAGAAGACGGCGTCGTAAGTATTAAGTTAAAAGTTCAATTTTATATAAAGCAACATCTGGTATTGATTTATCAAAATTTGTTTTTATTATTTATTGTGTGAGAGAGTTAGACAATTTTTAAATTTTTTTCCCGCTTCTTTGAAATTCTCCGCCAGTCGAAGTTTTTAATCTACTGACTTGTATGAAAAGAGTAAAAATATTATTTAATATTACTAAAAGTACTAAATACTTTGACTTTATTAAAATGAGTTGTGTTTAATAAATTAGAAGTGCAATTAAAGTTGTTATCGCTTTATACTCCTTAATATATGCATAAAATTATGACTGAATTAAGTAGTCAGAAGGAAAATTTTAAAAGCTATTTGAAGGTATACTTCTTATTTGTGTAATCTTGTAGATTCTTAAAGCTTTAATAATTAGTGTCAATACAAAGCGTCATCGATCCGTGAACATTATTTTGACTCTGAATTATTACGTTTGGAAAAACATTTCGCAATATTTAATTTTTTGTTATTGTATTTTTTTAGTGTCTCGATGCAACCGAAGATTCAGCTGAAAATGACTATTCACCAATGTTTTTAAATGGTTAGTCACTTGTATTCTGTTAATATTTTCATTTTCCACTATTTTTTATAGCGATTATTTAATCGTGATGGCAAGCGGAAAAATCAATAATTTTTTCAAACAATTTTCTTTCTTTATTTACAAAAAAACACAAATTAAAGGCGAACTGGAAGCGGCAAGAGCTTCGAATGTTAACTTATTCATTGCACAAAAGATTAAAGCAAATTCAAAGAAGAAGAGAATACCGCCTAATCAGAAGCGAGTAGGACTGCTGGTTATAACAAATTTCCGTTTGTGTTTTGTCGTTTTTGAAGAGAGAGATAAAAATGATAAGAATAATTCCAACAAGGTAAGTCGAATTCCCTCGTATGATGTCATCGTGTGCCATCATAACATTTGTTTACCGTTACAGAAAACTGTGTCTCATCAGGAGAATAATTTTCTGGGTCGATATGACATCACACTCTCTAATATGGATGAGATTTACGCTTACACTGACAAGAAGCACAAACTCGTGTTACCACACCAAAAGAACAGCTCAAGAATCGATGCAATAAGAATTGTGTGCAAAAACTTTCGAACACTCACATTTGACTTTCAAGATTCTGAAGTTGGAAAAGGAAAATACATCGCTGATGCTTTAGTGCAGTTTGCATTTCCCACAAGACATAATTTACTCTTCATGTATCATTTCAAGTGAGTGTCATGATGAATCTAATTAAAAATCTTTCAATATCAATTCTTTGATAATTTTAAGGGAGAAATATTACAACGCTTCGAGATCAATTCGAACATTTCGTGAGAAACACGATTGGATTCAAGAGTTGGAACGTTGTGGGGTGTCGTATCAAACAGGTGCATGGCGTGTGCTTTCCCTTGATTTTCCAGCAAGTGACAATGCACTCCCACAACATTATGTCGTACCAAAACATTTAACAGACTCACAATATTTTAATTTATGTGAAGCATTTCGATGTAAACGTGCAGCGGTGTGGGTGTGGGGACTTGGTAATGCTTCACTTGTTCGAATGGCTGATTTGCTTCCTGAACTTCTCAATAATCCGAAAGAAGTGACACCATCAAAAGATAGTCTGATGTTGGAGCATATCAGAATATGCGACAAAGTTCAACCACGATGCATTGAACTTACCAAAGTTTTACCCTCCATTCAAGATGTTCATCAAAGTTACATGAAACTGAGGCTAATTTGTGCACCGGTCAGTGATCGTGAATTAACAATCCAAGATGAACGCTTCCTGACGGTACTTGAAAAGACTTGTTGGTTGCTTTACTCTTCGCTTTGTCTGAAAACAGCTTGTGAAGCTGCTGGGTTTTTGAAAGCAGGAGAATCTGTTGCACTACAAGAGAATGATGGACGTGACATGTGTTGTCTTGTGTCGAGTTTAGTGCAAGTGCTTTTAGATCCTTTTTACCGTACAATAACCGGATTTCAAGTGTTGATTCAGAAAGAATGGGTTGCATTAGGACATCCTTTCAGTGATCGAATTGGTCATGTTTATAACAAGCAAGTCGATAAATCGCCAATTTTCCTTCTTTTTCTTGATTGTGTGTGGCAAACACTTCAACAATTTCCCGAATCATTTGAATTCTCGGAAACTTTCCTTACAACTATTTGGGATTGCGTGTTTCTACCGATCTTCGACACATTCCAATTCAATTGCGAATATGATCGACAAGTTGCTGTTAGAGATGAAAGTCTTTTGTCGAGGCCTATATGGGATTGGGGTGAAATATTTACAGACAAAGATATCGCTTTGTTTTCAAATCCATTGTATAAAAAGCCGCTAATGAGTGAACAGGAAATCGAACATCATCGAAAATCAAAATTGCCACCAAGTGCATTAAAACTTCCGGGAATGGATATTCTTCCAGTTAAGCCAACACCAAGGCAGAGATTCTCTCTACAACAACCAGGAACTAATAAATCAATCGATATGGAAGCAAAATTATTGCTTCCATCACAGATTCTTAATCATCACGAAATTCCAAAGTTAGAGAAAATTCACACGTCAGTCGAAACGAATCAGGTAAATTTTCAGAATGTTTTTTAATTAATTTGTTCAATAATTTCAATTTCTTTAGGATAAATTCTTGGAGCCAAGTTTCTTGATTCGTGATTTGGATATTTATGCGCAATGCTATTACCGATGGATGCCCATACTTGAAATACGCAATGGAGGCTTTGCTCAAATTGACTTATATAATCGAATGATCCTTAGCAATATTCATAAGCTTCAGAAGAGCTTGGAAACGGGTCACATCAGTGATGGTCAGTTGGATTTAAGGAGAGATGATGAAACGATTACAACGGCAGCTGCTCCATCCGATTCTACAGCTAATGGAAAGAGTAATCGCATTCCTATTGTGAATTCTTTCTTCCCTTTCTCCATCAATGACGGAGATGACGACAACAGTAACTTGAACGATATTCTCATCTTCAGTTCGGATGTTTTAACGGAAGGTTCAGTATTTGAGCTTGACTAAAGTTTATTCCTACGTAGTTTTATTCAAAACTTTTATTGTTATATTCTACTTCAAATATCTTCCTTTTTAAAAAGCTTATTTAAAAAAATGGAAGACAAATCGTTAATTAATTATGTCGCTATATGTATTTTCACGTAACTTCACTTTTTTGTTTTTAAAGAACTTAGCGTTAAAAATTATTTTATTTTCCTTCTCGTCGATTTTTTTCTTTAATTAAAATACTAAAAGCGAGAGTGATTAGAAAACCAGAGAACCTGAAAATGAAAATCTTACGATACTAAAATTACACATTAGATTGCATAAAGAACCGAAAACAAAAGATAATAAATAAAAAAAAAGCTATTATAATTAGAAAACAATTAAAACTCTTTTTAATTTGTTGTACTTGCAAGTTGCAACTTGCAAAAGTTAATCCGGGATTAAGTCAAGTTGCATTTCTTAATCCTTGGATTATCCACCATTGGAGGATTAACTTGACGATGTTTCTGAAAGCTCCTTAAAATGATTTAATTAATTTGTTTTTCACACTTATTCGACGAAATTTTAATTAAAACTTAAATGAATTGTTTTTCTTATTTTTTCTCGAATTCTTTTCTTAATTATAACCAACGAAGAAAAGAAACAAAAAACTTTTTTATTTTCGCTCTTAAATATTTTTTCTTTCTTTTTAATTTCATCTCACGACGATGTCATTTCTCATTATATAAAACATAAAACATATTTTCTCCTAAATTTCCATCCGTGCATGATCGTTTCGTTTGATTTTCTTCTTTTTCTTCTTGGAACACGTTTTGGTAAGTAAAGTGGAAAACTTTTGAATGAACGAGTCACGCGAACACGATTTTTGTTTGTTTGTTTCATTTGCAAAGTGCAACACAAAATAAATGTAGATAATATTAAAAATAAAATTAAAAGTACTAAATAGATTAATTAACATGGAATTTCTCTAAAAATCTAAAGTAATGTAGAGAAACGTCGCATTAACTTTTCGTCTTAGATAGTGGTAAGTAAAAGTAGATAATAAAATATCCTAATGGTGAAATCTTTTCTTAATTCTTTTCGAAAAAATCAACGACTTTTTAAAAACATTTCTTTTTCCCTTCTCATGTGAAACAAGAAAAGGTAAAAAAAAGATTTTGAAAGGATAAAAATTTAACATCATAACAGCAATAATTACAAAGTTAGTCTTATCATTCTTTCGCGTGGGTGGCATGTCGCAATTTTCTATCTCTCAAACGGTAGTTCTTTGTGTTAAGCCCACACGTTCAGCGAAATTTCCCAAGAGTGAACCAAGTGTCGCTGAATCAGTTCCGTTTTTAAATTTGTAGCCAATTGTTGAGCTGTAGCAATTATAGAAGAGCGTACGTACGGCATTCAGTCTCTCGCGACGCATAAAATAATCATTGGCAGTAAAGCAATCATCATCAATAAGCGTACTCGTTTCATTTGATCCATTTGCCGCCATTGAGCTCGGTCCACTGTTGGCACTTTGATGATTCGAAAAAACATTGTTGTGAGAATGTATGGGCGGATTGGAGTTATTGATTACATTAATATTGTTATTGTTGTTATTATTACTATTATTGTGGTTGTTATTATTATTGGTAGATTGTTGATTGTTGATCAATGGAGGAAGTTGCTGTTCATTTATGACAACAATGTTTGAATCTTGACTTCTTAAGCTTCCAGTTCCACTTATTAATTGCCAACTACCAACCGATATACTTGAAGACGATTCTTGACGTTGACGATGATGTCCACCGATACTACTGTTAGCTTCTGATTGTGGCACTAACATTGGACTTGTTCTGGAATTAAAGAATAATTTTTTATAAGAAAGTTAAAAAAAATTCCGATTCTCCTACCTCTTACGAAGCAGAGGCGACCAATTGAGGATGTTATTGCCGCTGTCATGTGACAAACATTCAATGCTATTGTTACTGTCTTGACTGTGCAGCCAGTTATTTCTATAACGAAGAACACATAAAATCCTCAATTGGAAAGTGTCGAAACGGAAGTTTTAATAATGTCAACTTACCCATTGAGATTAACATTTGTGTCATCGATGAGGCCATTTGATGATATTATATTTGAATGACTATCTTGATGACTTCGGGCACTGCATGTTGAATTTAAGGAAACACTTGAACCACGACTGTCACCATCGAAAAGAATTCCTTCAAACACATCACTGTCAGTTCGAATCACACCAATTGAGCTACTTCCACTGCTACTTTGTTTACTTCGAAATCTATTTAAGGAGAGAAATGATTGAGTTGACAGCCAATTGAAGATTTAATTTCACTTACCTTTGTCCAACAACACTAAATTCATCGTCCATCAAATATTTGAGGGCGTAAAAGCAGAAGAAGAAAATTTCTTCACCTTTTTCGAGACGATCAACAAGACGATGTCCACATAAAAGCCAATCGTAGGCAATGGTAAAATATAAAATTTGAATTGCACTGAGTGATTGATGAATTGCACCATCAGCCCACAATGAAAGCCTCAAAAGCGAAATGAAGAGTGGCGTTCGATCCCACCCACTGATGCAATGAATAAGCAAACCAGAACTGCTGTCTTGAAGATATTTCAGTAAAAGTTTGATGTAATTTTGTGTGATTTGAACCAAATCCCATCCTTTATATGAATCCCAATTGATGTTGAGTTGAGCTGACATTGGATCTTCAGGCACACAAATCTCAGCGTCAACATTTTTTTGCGACCAATCGAAGAGAAGTCCTTCGCCTGAATAATTGTTATCACGAAACAAACGGAAGAATTCACAACCAGGATAAGGCAGTGAAATGAGTTTGAAGTCTTGATATCGTTTTTCTTTGTCAACTTTCTCCGACGACGTCACATTCATCATGAACTTTACTTTCTTCTTCTCCACCATCAAGTCAATGATTGACCCAACATTAAGTGTCCTTAAAAGCTTTATGTCTTGATTACGTACACGATCGAAAAGTTGCCATTCGCTGCTTCCTTTCTCGGCTTTCTCTTCTGTGCATGCTTCTTCGTTAAGTGACGTTTCTTGAGCTTCATACGCTTCCTCATCAAGTGGCGATGACTTCACTGACGTTGTATTGTCAACACCCGCAAATAAATAATCAAAGCCACTTCGTGTGTAGATCTCTGGCCCTCCAGATAACGTCGCTGATCTACAAATGTACTTTCCTCGGTACAAAATAACCGGCAATGGAAATCGAGCTCGGCACCTTGAACGAATATTTTTTCATTAATATTTATTATTATTTAAGTAGGAAAGAATAATAAAATAAACTTGAGATTATACTCCGTTTATTATTAAGATAAATGTTTACTGATAACAACAAGAAAAATGTTTAGTTGTAGTCGGAGGCGCCAATAATTATTCAAACGCAATTAATATAAAAAGCAATTTGCTTACCGTGCAAATCGTGCCTTATTGATGAGATCACGCAGTTTACCGGCTTCATAAGTACTTTCGTAAATTGTTTGTTGTCGATTCGTTGGTTGTTGTTGAGATGTTAATCCATTGTACACGCTGTTGGGTTGTTGTTGAGTGAAGCTATGGTTTTCATACTCGGGAATCAACACCGTACTAGGATAATGAGTTGAGAGTTCACCAGTCGCATTTGATATTTCCACGACGCTATAATCGAGCTTCATGAGTACCGAACACTTTTGCATAACATCATTGCCCTATGGTAGAAAAAGAAATAATTTTTTTTTAATTTTTACCACCACATGAAGCCTATGAACACAAAATGTATCGGATATAAATATTGCGTCGCAGAAATCTTTCTTTTCGTAAGTATCAAAGAGCCATAAACACAAATAAAATCTTTCCTTAAATCCACTCACAAGAATGACTCGTTTTAATATTTATAAATACACAAAAATTCGCGCAAAATGTAGCATTGCTTCAATAACTCTTCAGACTTATGTATGCAGATGCTTATGAAAGCGCAACGAAATTTGACTCAACTGCATCGCTAGGAGAGAAATTATTGATTGTTAATCACGTTTCCATGACGAATATTTAGGGCCGAATGCAGCGAGATATAAAATCAATAATTTCTCCATATCGTCGATACGACAAACGATTCTATGATATTTTCTTCATTTTCTTCCGTGCACTCGAGAGTCATGTGGAAATGTTTACATTTGACAACGTAAGGCAACTCTCTGGCCAATTGAACTCATGTCTTTCCCTTGACCTAAATCACATTATGATGCTTTTTTGGAAAGAGAACTTTAAAGGTCTTTTGAAATATTTTTATGTGTGAACCTTAAGCTAAATAATTTAAGATTGAAGCGTATAATAAGTGAGAATATTTCACACATTGATCCGGATTTAATGTTCAGATTTTTTTGTCGATGTAATCAACTTTTGAAATTTTATCAAATACTTCAAAATTATTGTGAAAACTCTTCATTGCGAGTAATTCTTTCTTTTATTTACTTCGATTAATATGTTTTCTTTAAAGTTTTTTGTTGAAATTTCATATTTATTAAATCTGGATCTGGTTCTTTGTTGCTTTTGTTAAATGCGTAAATCCTTGAGAAAAATTTGTACAAATTCTGTGATCTCATTCTAAAGTAAATTGAGAATTTTATGAATGATTTATGACTGTACATCATTTTTCTGCCGCTTAGAGCAGCGTTTCTAATGAATTTCAGATAAAAGATATTACATTTTTGGAACAAATACTAACAAATGAAGATTCAGAATTTGAATCACTCGCACGATAACAATTTTTGGCGAAAAACTCTAGTAGCGTTTGAATATCCTGATGAAGTATTTCTGCATTCATCTTGTACACACATTTATGATATTTTCACTATTTTTAATAAGCTTAAATTTGCAAAAAATGAAAATGAATTCCCGAAAAGTTCACTACGAGTAACTCCGAAAATGTTTATTGTTGGTTTACTGAACACACTGCAGTGTCGGTTCGAATATTACGCACCGTTTTGAATTCAGTAAATCTGAAGTGAAGAGATGAAAAATATTCTTCCGCTTAAATGATTGTCTCACTAAGCTCCCACTATTCAGTCTGGTAGTGACACTCTATCAGTCTAAACCGGAACTATAATTGACTCAAATTTGAATCAGAAAATCTAAATAGCGATTGTGGCACTCACACCTCCTTTAGACTTGCCGAAGTTCAGAATGTTTTTAAGGGTTTTTGTGTTTCTCCTAACGATAAATTTCTTATCGTCAACAGAAATGAAGGAATTAACATTAAATACAGGATATAAAATTCCTCTAATTGGATGTAAGTATAAATTAAACATTTGTTAATTACTTTAAAGTGTTGTTGACTTTCCAAAGTGGGAACATATTTAATTCGAGGAACAGAAATGACAAATCGAGTGATAGACGAAGCTTTAGAAGCCGGTTATCGTCTTTTTGATACTGCACAGAATTACAACAATCAACATTTCCTTGGAAAAGCTTTCAAAGAACTTTTACCGAAACATAATCTTACAAGAAATGACATTTTCATCACTACAAAATTTGGTAAGCACCTTTATGACCTTTGAATTTATTTTCAAGATTATTTAAATGCTTGACATTGAAAAACATTATTTCTTCTCTGTGATGATAAAGAGCCTTCAACCATTTATAAAACAGAAAAAGATTATGAAGATTTAGTTCGTGAAGCTCTGAGAAATCTTCAGACAGACTACGTCGATCTTTTCCTCTTACATTGGCCTGGTAAGTGTTAACAAAGCTCTAAATAGAATACAAAAATAATTGCGTCGTTCTTTATTTTTCTATTAGGTGTTAGTGGTTTACCCAACAATTCCACAGATGTTTTGAAATATCGTCACGAAGCTTGGAAAGCTTTGTCAAAGTTTAAGAAAGAAGGATTAATTCGATCCATTGGTGTTTCCAATTTCATGGTGAAACATCTGGAAGATCTTAAGAAGGAGTGTGAAATTCCACCAGTATTGAATCAAGTTGAATGGCATCCCAGATGTTATAATAACACGCTTTATGATTATTGCAAGGAGAACAATATCGTTCTTCAAGCATACTCTTCACTTGGAACATCATCAAGCACATCACTGCGCAAAGACCCAACTGTTATGAAGATTGCTGAAAGAATTGGGAAATCTCCAGTTCAAGTTCTCCTTCGATGGGCTACTCAAAACGGCGTTCCTGTCATACCCAAAGCAAGTTCCAAAAATCATCTTGTTGAGAACATGAACCTTGATTTTACAATTCCTGAGTCCGACATGGGAATTTTGAATAATTTCACCCAAAATATGCGTTTCGACTGGGATCCTAATAATGTCATATAAATGTTCAGATTTTTTGTTGCCTTTCACTAATAAAAATATGTTTCGTTAAAATTAACACACTTTTACATTAATTATCGCTATCAAAAGTCAAAATCTTATCACATTCTTCAAAAAAGTTTAATGATAGTCAATTGATAAAACTAATGGCCTTTCAGATAACATTTTAATCATAGCTTCAGAGTTATTACGATTGTCGTGGCATTAACATCACGTAAAAACGGCCAACATGAAAATTTATTTATTTTTATTTTTTGGAAGTTTTGTGACGAACTCATTGGCGTTACCGAATGGAGCTCCAGAATCAGCATGTGCCACAATGACGCCACAACATGGAGTAGAACCTCAAACATCAGAAAGCCCTTTTCGTATTGTTGTTCCTAAATCAAACATAAATGGGGGAGAAATTATTGATGTCACTATAGAAGTCGATCCAGGAAGAACCTTCAAAGGATTTTTTATTAATGCAAAGACAATCGAAGATGAACCGAGAGTTGTCGGAGAATTTTTGGGAAATGATCAAGAAGCGATTTCATATAATTTCAGGAACTGTGGGGGAACTAGCAATACGGCAACACACAGCGAAAACGAATTGAAATCGGGAATTACATTGAAATGGAAAGCACCTGAAAATTATCAAGGCTCGATAAGATTTCAGTAAGTTCCGTGTAGTAATTTTAAAGTGAAAAACTTACATTGAATGTCATTAAAATTTCAAGTGCTACATTTGTACAAGAACGTGTCACATTTTGGATTAATCAACTGTCACAAGAAATTGTNAACGTAAATAATAAAAAATTAGTAAGATAAAAATTATTTTCATCATCAACTTAGAAATCTCAGTATGCGCACAATCGCATAAAAAATGAATATTTTTTGAATACTTGCAAATAAATGCATAAATGCACAATCGCATAAAGAAAAGGTAAAACCCTAGAAAAACTTACATTGAATGTCATTAAAATTTCAAGTGCTACATTTGTACAAGAACGTGTCACATTTTGGATTAATCAACTGTCACAAGAAATTGTCGTTACACCTCTTGACAATGCAGGCAATAACATTTATCAAGAGTGTTTGAGAACAAAATCATGTTTTGGATTACCGCCAGGTTGTCTTGAACAAGAAAATTGCTCTTCATTTGGTGCAGTAATTGTCAGAGATGGAACTTACACATTTGAAATGCAATCATCAAGTAAGTTTCGTGCTCTGGATATCTTTCGAATTAATGGATGCTTGATTCAAACGATTAAATTTAGGTGGAGCGGGATATATCGCAATGGCCTTATCATTTGACAAGTTTATGGGCGATGATTCAGCAATTGAGTGTGCGATTGAAAGTGGAGTAATAAAAGCATATGCTTCATTAACAAGAGCTATACCTCAAGATTATGGTGCTAGACGAAGTATTGTTGTAATGAAATCAAACATTAAAATTATAATTGAGAATTATAATTAAATTAGAATTTAATTGCAGAATCAATCAGCCATAAATTTAATAACATCAAGACTGGAAGATGGCAAAATTTATTGTCGTGTTCAGCGAGATATAAGATTAGAAATTGATGGAACTGTCTTCTCTATGGCTGAACAACATTTTCTGTTAATGTCAAGTGGATCAACAGCATCACCACTTTCCATCGGCTTTCATGATATTAATTACGCTTCATCAACTAAATCTCTTTTATTTACTGAAGATCCGGTAGAAATAACGTCAATTGCAAGGAAAGCTTTATTAGTACTTCATGGAAGTTTCATGATTGCAGCATGGATTGGTTTGACTGCATTTGGAATTTTCTCAGCAAGATTTATGAAGAAACTGTGGACAGGAAAGCAAATTTTCGGCAAAGATGTTTGGTTTGTCATTCATTCATCTTCAATGGCGTTGACTTGGATTCTCACAATCATCGCTATCATTCTCATATGGATCGATGTTGGTGAATTTAAGTTTTCAACGCATTCATTGCTTGGGATAATTGCAGCTTCATTGTGCTTTATCCAACCCATATCAGCGTTCTTTAGACCAGCACCAGATGATAAAGCTCGTCCCATTTTCAATTTCATGCATGGATCTGTAGGAAAGTTAGCTCAATTACTAGCTGGTAAGTAAATCCATAATTTGGGAAACATCGATGCAGCTTGAAACTTAAGTTCCTTTAATAGTTATTACGATTTTCTTCGCTACCCAAATGGATCGAGCTAATCTACCAGATTGGACGAAATATGTTCTTATATCATACGTTGTAGCTTATCTAATCTTTTACGCTATGCTCAATGTAAGTGAGGGATTATTCAAAACACGTTTTCTTGATAATTTTTGCTATTATAAATTACATTCTGATAACACATTGTTTGTCATCCACAGAACTTAGCAATTGTGAGTGATATTAAAGCACATCAGAATTCTTTGAAAGGAGCTGAAAGACCACAAAGCAGCACACCACCGGTAAGTATTTAAATATTCCATTTAACAGTTTTTAGGATTTAATATTTGTTTTTGACAGCTTGCATTTCCTCGGAGAATTATTTTCATCCTTTTCTCAATCGCTATGCTTGGCTTTGTCATAACTTTAATAAATATTTTTGCTTTGAATGTATAATTATCAACATTCGACAGAAATCCTGAAAGCTAATTCAAGTTCAATTGAAATTTGTCAAGGTTTATGAAGTGTGTGACTCAGCAACTAAAAATATAATCAACTTGTTGTATTCTTATCAATGAATTGTTGAAACAGGTGATATTAGTAAATTAAAATTAAAGTCGATTAATGCTTTTACAAAATTATAGTCATGGTGTCTCGACATTCGCTGTTGCTTCTTATTTTTTATGTGAAATGAAATGAAAGTAATAAAAAATAAAAACAAAAACTTTGATTAGAAACTTTCCTTTATTAAACTAGATTTTCTCTTTTTCTTTCATTATTTACAATTTTTAGATGAAGATTTGCAATTCATTAAAATATAAAATCTTAAAATTAAACATCCTTGAATAATTACACAAGACAAACAAGCAGGATTTTTATTCGGTAAACATAAATAATTATGTTGCTTGAATTAAAGATAAATGTGTATAAATAAAAGTTTACATTGTAAGCTATACGAAACAAGTGCTGATTAATTAAAACGTCTCCATATTGCACTGATTTCTTCATAAGCAGATATCTTAACCATACAATCGTTTGATATTTAAAGTGTTGAAAACTCCGTAGAAAAATAAAAGTTTGCCCATTTAATGGCACTATATAAATTGCTTCTTGCTCTTTATAATATTCATATGCATGCGTTGTTCAATCTATTCAGAACTTTGATGATATTTATAAAAGAAAAAAAAGATTTCAAATTTAAGAAGAATAAAATTTCATTAACAAACACATAATCATGACGTAAATTTTACGGACCTTAACAGTAAAAGTATGGAAACAAATACCCAAAGACAGCAGTTGCGATATTGTCGACCTAATCTAAATGAAAGCTACCCCGTAAAGCGTTATCATTGTCCATTTGGTATAAAAGTTCTTGGGGGGCTTAAACTGATAATTACAAAAACAAACAACTTTTCAAATTATTTCTTTAGATATTTAGAAATGGTCAAGATATCAGTAAAAAAACGTTTGCGTTTCTCTCTTCACATAATTTCTCGGTTAGCATTACGATAACCAAAATTATAAAAAAAAACTCGATAAAGTATCTACTCGTAAAACATTTTAGGATCGTTATTTGTGAAACACTTAAAGAAATTTTCAATTCTTAGATTTCTCTTTCACTTTTTTTGTGCACGAGTTCGGTTAATCACTATCGACGAAAATTTCTTCAAGTGTATTAAGTTTGTAAGTATTTAAGTTGAAAAGGAAAGTTCTCTAGATCGCTTATGTGTTATCATTACTCTAAATGTATGATTGCATCTAATCAAAGAAATAATAAATAATTTTGTCTTGTCTATGAGTCCGCAATTATTTCCTTTTTTTCTCTTGTGAAATGTTAAAAAAACTTATTTTAATTTATAAGAACGGGAATTAATTAATGTTTAATAAATTTATTCATCTAAGTTGATAGTGATAACCATTCGATGTCAATAGTGACGACTTCTATTACCACTGCTTATATTTTGGTCCCTTAATTCGCTGCTGCTTCTATTGTTAGATTTATTATGGTGATGATGATGATGGTGACGCTTTCTTTCGCCTAAAATTCACATAAAATAAAAAAAGGAGAAACATGAAAATTAATTTCCATTGCATAATCATTTTATAGAAAGAATTCAAATGGAACTGTGCTTGAGTATTAAGATGGAAGTTTATGCAGCATGAAACATGAAAAAAAGCACAAACAATAAACAAAATGTACACCAAAAGTTTCTTCTCAATGACAACACACAAAGTAAGTAAATAACTAGAAAACATTTAACTTGCTTACCTTTGACACAAGCATCTGACACCACCATCTCAGAACCGTCTCTTAATCCTAGACTATCACGTCCATAGTCACGTGTCCCACCTCTGGATAGATTATCCCGTGATCTATCAAAAAATCTGTACATTGAAAGGTTTTCCATCATTTTTATACAGGAATTGAGTGAAAAATATTTACAATGAAAGGTTTTTACATGCTTTTAAATGACATGAAGTTTAATTTGAGTTAATGAACGATGGGATTAGGTAATGAGATTTATTTACCTGTCTAAATCGCGTGCACGATTTTCCAAGTTATCTCTCGATCGACTAAGATTTGGCGGATCAAGTGTTTCTTTACGTCTTAATTGATTATGATTTTTAGATGCTGATTCATGGAGATTTTCCCACGCTTGACGATAATATCTGGAAAATTGATAAATACTTTCAATGATTATCCAATTAAAATGAATCAATCAACTTTTCATTCACAAGTCAATCAATCGAGAAAGTACCTATTCAATCCATTTCGTGATTCGGAACTTGAACTGTCAAATGAGGCGACGGTATTACAATCAGGAGAGGCTCGATGACGATAGTGCTGTGTAGATGAACGGTTTCTACGGAAACAACATTGAAAGTTAATCTGATTGCGAGTGTTAAGAAGCTTATTAATGCGATTATTTTCTTAAGTGAATGCGAACATGTCACATTTGGAGATTGGAACTGTTTTTATCCTTACATATGATTATCATAAATTTGAAAGTCAAAACTATGGCATTTAATGGCATTATCTTGATGTGGTGGCGATATCGGTAAATTTCATAACGGTGGCGAAGGTTCGCTGAAGAAGCCAGCACGCGATTGATAGAAACCATGACGACCAAACGTACTAATGTCACGTCTGGCAAGTTTTTGATCAGGAAATGGCAATGCCAAAACGGTGTACCACCTCGAGGGCAAATGATCTTGCGACAACTTTACATCATGTTTACAATTCTCGAAATATTTCTTCGACAATGTCGTTGAATTGCTCAGCAAATTTTGTGGTTGTTGTTGAGTATCAAGTGACGACTTCGTGCTGATTATTTTAAGATTTTTTTTTTTTTGATTTTAATTGATCGAAACACAAACGAGCCAGAAAAGGAAAAATAGAAAAGTTAAAAATTTGTCTTCTTCTCTTTATACTTTTTGTGTGTTGTTAACTTCAATTTGCCAAATGTTTGCTTTAGAGACAGTTGAAGAAGAATAGAAACAGCCATAAGATAAGATGAGATGAAGAAGATTCTAATAGTTGTGCGAAATTATTGCGTCAAGACGATTTGAATGTGAACATTTGTCGCATTATCATGTGCCCTCGATTGAGCTTCTCACTAAACTTCAATCATAATATTTTTATTCTAAGAGTATTTAAACTAATTTACAAATAAAAAGAAAGCTTTTCAGATATAAGAATGTGCAATCAATCAAAATTCATCAACATAATGTGATCAAACAAACAAAAAAGTGTTAAAAATTATTCTGAATTTTAAGAAAATTCTTAGAAATTTTAAAAGCATTTAGCAAGAAACAAAAACTGATTAATTAAACTTTAATTCGTGCTGTGCTTTGAAAAGGAAGAGAACCATTCAATACTCTAAACCATTTGCAATAAAAGTTGCTTTCATTAAAGACACAACGCTTACCTTCTAACAAGAATCACAATTGTAGTTATGAGAGCTGCTAAAAAGACGAAACCACCAAAGGAACTGAGAGCGATGATTGATGATAAGTTGAGTTTAGCTCCGTATGTTGATGATGAGTTGACAGTTTCGTCATTATCGACTGGCGTTGGAACATTGACGTCAGGCACATGATTGTGTCTGTGAGAAAGAAAATGAAAGAATTAAATGACATTAAGATTTGTCAATGAAGTGCTTACCTGTTGTTATTAGTGCCGGCAACCTCATTATCTTCGGGATGAGCGGCATCGATTTCTTCTTGAACATTTCTAGTCGTTGTCTCGATTTTGCGTGTCGTTGTTGTGACGGTTGGCTGTGGTTGGTTGTTCTTTGGTATGCTGATAACTGGGCGAACGGCCTTACGTGGCGGAAACTCTTCACGAACAGTTCCGGGCAAAATGTCGGTGTCATTATTATCTTCTTCGTCATCCAAGTCAATCTGATGAATTGGAATGCTTTTTTGTGTTGTTGATGTTGAGAATCTTGAACTTGTTCGAATTGGTGTCGAAGATTTTCTTGAAGGTTGTTGAGATGTTCTGGTGCGAGTGTAAGTTGTAGCTGGAATGGAAGGTGTCGGTGCCTTTGTTGTCAACGTCACATCTTCAACACAAGCCGTAATTGGACCACTCCATTGTCCAGTTGCCGTGCACGTGATGAAATTTGGTCCATTAATTTTAAAACCTCTTGCACATTGAATCTCAGCTTTAGCGCCGAAAATTGTTCCATTGGGAGTTAAAATCTTTGAATTCTTGTGATTAGCAGGTAAAGCGTCACATTCAACAATCTCACAACGTGGCGGTGGGCCATTCCATCTCTCATCGATGTCACATGTCAACATAGCACGTCCCAACATTTCATAGCCTTCGTTACATTTGTAAACAACTTGGCTGAGATATCCAACCGAAGCATTAACTAAACTATACGATCCATGTGGAATTGAGGCTGGTAAACCACATTCAATGTATTTACAAACTGGTGGGAATTCATTATAAAATCCAGTCTCCAAACAAGTTCGTTGCGCTGGTCCAACAAGCAAATGCCCTTCGTCGCAACTATAATCAACCGTCGCACCTACATCAAAACCTTTCGATGTGATCATTGTTGAGTTTGGTGGTTGCTCTGGTCGTCCACAAGCCTTCGGTTGATGTTGACAAATGAAATTCAGTTGAGTGTTGCAGTTTGTGTCACTCCACAACCAACCCTTTGATCCATCATAACGAGCGCAATCTTCATCACCACCAGGAAGATTCCAAAATGACACAGACACGTCTTCCCCACCAATCCACTTCCAAAGATTACGTTCTTTGCTATCTCGAACAGCTCCCATCCAATATTGCGATGAAATATCGCTTCGATGGCGTCGCCATAATTCCCAACTAATGAAGCCTTGAAGTGCTGGATTTGATTCATTGATTAAAGTGCCACCACGTGATCGACAGAATGCTAAAGCATCACGAAGATTCATCGGTTGCCGATTATAGAAAATGTAACACTTTCCATTATAGGAAGCTAAAGCACCAGGTGGTTGATCTCTGAATGATGGGCAACGTTCAATCGGAAGAGCTTGATCTGTATAAACAAATGCTTCACAAATAGAAAGAGCGGCTGGGTGATTGACTTCAAGATGAACTGATACGAATGCACCAGGCATTGGTGGATTGCATGGCAGGAACAAAGGTTGCCCTTCTTCCAAAACGCCAGTGAAACGATTGCAAATTGGGTTCGTTCCTAAATCAGGTCGATTGTTACCGACCCGAACCACAATTGTTGCTGGCTTATTGTTGCCTGGAAAAATTTATTTCGATTATTTGTTTGATGTTATAAGAAGAAATTGAGTAAGAACAGTAATTCTAATGAAACCAGTCATCATTTAAAATGTCGATAAGTGGTGAGAAACAGCTATCAATACCGTTGAATAAAGTTTAATATGTCGAATTGTTATTTGTAACAATTGTTGAACATAAGAAGAGAAAAGAAAAGTTAGTAAAGTTTATTAAGAGTACGTTGACGGGTAGGAAGTGAGTAATTAAAAAACGTTCACAAGCAAATATCTCTCAGTTTATTCACTTTCATAATCATCGTCACTTCCGATTATTCGTTTTCAATTCATGTTGTTAAATGTATGTGAAGTTATGTAGCTTATACTCTTTAAATACATTAAATGATGTCATATGAAAGACATGAATGAAGTTGTTTTCTTCGACATGCTTTTCTTTTCTTTATTTAGATGAATAAGCAAAGGCAGAGAATGACAACTTTAGGTAATACTAGAAGTAATAATTTCTTGACTCAAACAACTGAATTAAATTACAGTGTGGCGTAAAGCACAGAAATTGTTTCATTTCTTAACGTAATGCTTCTTAGTCATTGCGGCTTTCAGATGCTTTTAATATTTTTTGCAAGTTTGATCCGAAAAATGGAAAAGTTTGTAATCCAATTGAATTATTTCTTTCTCACTTCCTCATTCGTTGATTTTTTTTAATTCAAATATCTAATTATTGCTATTGAAGAATTTAATTTGATGTTTTTGTTAAAATTTTTCAATTACGTGAAATCAATCGATGGTACGTTTGATTCTGAAGTTGCGATTATGAAAAAAGCTTAAAGGGAAAGTCAATCATAAGCAATTATTCAATTTAATGCATTAAGGTCCAGAATTCAATAAAAACTTTATTACGGATGAAATTGCGATTAAGTGAAAGTCAATTTATGAAGTTAAAAATGAAATTATGAACTTCTTCGGATGAAATTACGGGAACGAACTTCAAGATATGTATGAGAATGAAAATTATTGATAAATATTGACATTGAGACATTCACATCGTGACTTTCAGTAGATTGAATTGATCATCTGTCGGTATTTGCAGTGGAAATTCTCACATCGTCGATATTTGCCCTTAAATGTTAGATTTGAACCAAAAATTAAACCCGAGGCTTGTCTCGATGTTTTTAAATGGAGAAAGTGACTAACAAATCATTCACTAAAGTTCAATGTCTTGATACAATTAATCACATTTTTCCTTATGAAATTCATCGAAAGATTTCAATGATGGGATAGGAAAGTTTTATTTGCGGAATGAATTAATTGATATTTAGCTTTATTATGATGTTCCGAAGTTCGAACAACTTCTTTTTTGTTGATTTGCATGTGAACCTTTAAAAAAGCGAAATAAAATTAATCGGAGAAAGTTTTCTCACTTCAAAGTTATTTTCTTCTTATGTTCAATTGGTGAGACGCTTCGTTTCGTCAAGCGATCATATTTTAAAAAGAAGAAATGCTGTTTCACATCCATAACATTCATTTTATTGCTGGAAATGATGACTCTAAGCACATTCGATTTCACTCACCACAACATGATTTTCCAAAATCCAAACGAACCAACTGCACCATGTAGGGCTCGAGTAAATTAACATACCACCAAGGTACACGTTCAGGTTTCGTCAGCGAACATGTTTCAGCGGAAAAGAACGATGAGGTAGATCCGTCGATGGCTTTTTGTGGAATGCCCGCGCCATCAGTGGAGATTTGCATTGGCGCTTTGCCAGCTGCTACATTGAGAACTGAAATAATAGAAGAAAAAAAATTTAATTTAAAATCTAAATTAAAAGTTATTTAAGTAAAAAGCGCTTCAAATCTCAATTTCTTTTGATTTCATATAACAAGTTCAAGATCAAACCGTCACCGACGTTTTTTTTTGTAGTGTTAAAAGCGCTATTTCGTCTCTTTTCATAAAAAGTGAAAAGTTTTAGTTGAATTTATCTCGTAGGCGTGTTCCAACAACTTTTTTTTTATTATTTTATTTATTTTTGACCGCTGTACTTGAAGCTGACACATCGTAGCCTCAATTTAAACGGAAGAAATTGAAATGTTTACAAAAAGAAGGAGAGAAAGAAATGTTGTGTGAACCTTTGCATGCTTTAATTCATTGATTTTCAATTAAAATGTCTTATAAACCTTAAATTTTAATTAACCTTTTAAAATATGAAAGTCCAATGATAAATTATGCAATGACTGTGACTGTCAATGCTGGCAAAGGAAAATCTTAAAATTCTTTAACTAAGAAAAGTCACTTGAGAAGATTTCCTTACAACTTTCTCTTAAAGCGATGAAGTCATCTGTTCTCATTTATAAATATCATCACAGATTGCGTATGAAACAATTCTCAATTGAAAACAACTTTTAACTTGGCTTTAATCATCTGCAAATAAAAGAAGCACGCCATGATGCAATTTCATGTTACACTAAACGGTTCCGAAAAAGAAAAATTGCTACAACAGTTTTCATTCCGTTGCCATTGACCATTATAAAACTAATAACAAAACAACAGTGCTTCAATTCAATCTGTTTGCTTTTATGGAATAGTTTTTCTTACTTTATTCCATAGATAAACTTTCATCGAAGAAGAAAAGATGAATTTAATGACGAGCGTTGTTATCTAGACCAGAGTTACAGTTACGCAACTAGCGCGTGTATATAATTTCAACTTCATCGCTCAAGTGTTTTCCTTCTGATCTCACATGCAGTGGACTTAATAAATACTTAAGTAAGTGAATTGGCGTGCAATGTAATCTACCTCGTCAGATATATGAAGAACTTTTCACACATTAACTTAAAAGTTTTGATTGATTGTTTTCACTCCTTTTAAATAAACATTCAAACTTTAAATTTCATTTTTGTCTCATTCTTCTTTTTAACGAAAGAGATTATTTTTTTATTTTACTATATGAAACATAAATAAGTAGTAAGCGGCATTTAAAGTAAGCCGTAATTCCAATTCTTTACTCTTTTCTTTTCAAATCGTTGAAAGATGAATCAGCAAACAAATGCTTAAAAATTCCCAATTTGAAAATCTGCGCCGCTTTTTGACTGCAAATAAGAAAAGTTCCGTTTTATCATTAATAATTTTTGTGTTTATATTTCGCTGTGATTTCTCGAATAAAGTTTCACGGAATTTCACTGGCTTTCTTTGGTATGCAGAGAGGGCGGTGAAGTTTCAACAATGTTCTGTCACTCAAATTCTTCTATTGAGACTTTGAATTGCAAAATTTCTTTCGATGCCGATCAAATCTTTTTAACAACTACCTAGTTGAGCAAACATTAATCCAGACAAAATGATATCTGGCCTACTTAATTGATCGCAAAAAGCCATTGAGTTGGTCTTTCTTTTTATTCATGCTTAACAATGTTTCTAAATAACAATTTATTGAATGCTTGAGAATTCAATTTCCCAATCGGTTGATAATTGATTTCCAAAGACTTCTTCTTCCTTCCATTCCAAACGATCACACTTTAACCGTTAAATGGAAATGTGTCACATGAAGACCACAAGGTGGCATAAATACTGATCACTTAGACATATTTGTAGGTGTTGGAATGTAAATTGCTTGCAATAATCTGTTCTGACGTCACTTCTTTTAAGCTTCTCCAGTGATCAGGTTAAATATTTCAAATCTTTGGTCTTATGGCCATGGATAAATGAGATAATTTTCTAATTTCGTGAGATTTGAATAACATTTTTTCACATCGTTTAAACTGTCGAGCGATTCTTTTGAAAGTCATAAAAACAACATTAAGAAATCTAAGATTTGAATGGAATATTTCTAATTATTCTCAACCACTGACATCTTGAACTTTTGTCAATTATTTACATAATTGTTGTTGAAATATTTAGAGATTGTATCATGATGACATGAAATAAACTTAAATAGAATTTTAAATCGTGACAAAATCAATAGCCTTAGGTTTCGCTATCAAAGTAAATTTAGAACGAATCTTTTTCAGCTACCGTGAAATTACAAGCGAACGGTCAGCTTCAGCTAATTATATCATCAGCCCAATTTTCTTTTGTTGATTTGCTCAACATGGCATCAATCTTCCAATTGCTTGTTTTTCCCCTAAATTCTTCATACAATTTTTGCCATTATTGAGATGCTTTAAAATTGGAGCAGTCTTGTAGCTGCGACAACTTGTAAAACATCAAAGTCGTTTTCATGAAATTGCATAAAGAAAGAAGGAAAGAAAAAAAAACTTTCAAATCTTCGTTGAAATTCCATTGAGAAGAGAACATTGCTCGTAATCTGATTTTGTCACACTCCAAATATTACTTGTAATAAGGCGCAACTTTATGCTGCGTTTGCTCTTAGTTTTCTGGGTCTTTCTCTCTCGTTCTTTATCTCTTACAGTGTACGATCACAGTCGTTTCAGTTGAGTGTACAATTTAATTTGATGACAATCATTATCGTATAATTTTCATCATTCATCGTTCTTTACTCAGATGGAAGAACTTGATTCTCTTGCTCTTTCTTACCGCATTCATTCGTTAGGTGATGAAGAAAAAAAAAGCTAACAAAAAATAACAACAAGTTGTGAGCTAGCTGAAAGTATCATCAAAAGTAGCTCACTGTGTCAGACAATGAGCATTTTTTTTTCTTTTCGTTTGTTATTATTTCGGCTTAAGTAATTCCTGTAATTTTTACTAGCAGTTGCTGCTGAGAGATTCCAAAAATGTGAAAGTGCTTTTTGTTTGTTTTCGGAGTTTTAATATTGCTACTTATTTTTTATTTAATGCTTTATGTCGTTTTATGATGCAAAACTTTATTCAAGATTTCATCAATGAATATATTTTGCAGAAAGCTTAAAGAAATAAGAAATAAGAAATTAGCCAACATACCGTCATTAAGTTCATTCACTTCTTTTTGAAAAAGAATTTCAAAGAAATGTTTAAGCTTTCAAAACAACTCCAAAAAAATGTTCAACCATAAACCGCATTTGACCTATTTGAATATTTTTGATTGCCATATGAGAAGAAAAGTTAAAATATCTACACAAATATTTTATTGTCTTCAAGTTCCTCGATCGGACTTACAACTTCCGAAAATTTACGATAAAAATAAAAGTTTTTTTATTTCCCAACATTTGTTTATGTGAGTCATGTCGCGTCTTAAAATACAAGACAAGATTCACTGTTTGGTTTTGAGAAATTCTTACATGAAATTTCTTCTTCATTTTTACTTTTCATTTTGTCGGCGCATGCTAAACGTCATAGATATCCATTGTCTAAGATACTTGAGTTGATTGTTGAGTTCCTCAACACATTCTCACACATATTAAAAATCAAGGAAAACAATCTTCAATGATCGTCAGCAGCTAAGTAAAACAATAACATGAAAAGTCGTGCACGATTCTTCCAAGCATTCTCCCCGTAATTTAATTAACTTACTTTTTCTTTCATTGTCTCAACTACTTCTTGTTCATTTTACTTCCAAGGTATTTTCCAAAAAAGAAGAAATTAACACAGCTAAATATATTTATTACAAAAAGAGTAAGTTTATAATTGTCTCCGCTGTTTTTGGATGACCAAACTAAGTTTTAAGAAACACAAGACGCTACCCAGAAGCGCTTGAAGTCATTCAAGAGAAAGTGTTTAATTATTTTAATTCCAGCCTTTTTTCAATTTATTACGCTCTTCAGTTTTAAATCAATCTTCGGTTATCAACAGCTGACGTTCTCTTAACTTTCTTTCATCTATAAACCGATGAACATAAATTGCGCAATAAAAATTCTTAATTTCCTCGAAACCAAATTCAAAATAATTTTATAGTTTCATGGTGTGTGAGTTAGCATAATAATTTATTATGCTAAGAGCCTAAATAAGACTCACATATTATCATTAAACTCCAAACATAAATTCCAGACTTCAGGTTTCTCATTAACAATTGACCCAATTTAATTTTCCTCACTCTTACCTTGTGTGGTTTTCGTTTTGTTAAACACGTATTCAGCAAATTAAAATTCTTAAGCTTATTTCTGAGTTACAAAACAAGAAAATAAGTAAGACGTGTGCTTGAAATTGAATGGAATTGATGTACATACGACGATGACTATTCCTTGAGTAACAACTAAAGCGTCGATTAATCATTCACACTTTTCCTGCCTTCAAGTTACGTTTATAAAGGCAAAACTTTATTATTAAAAGAATGACCCAACCGCAAATGATACTTCTCATTGATATTTAGTTAACTCTTTTAAATTATGTTTTAAATATTTTTTTCATTTTACTTTGTGTGAAAAGATTTTAATTGAAAGAATATTTTTCTGGGTCCCAATAACCAAGACGAGGATAACTGCTTTTGAAAGATAAAGAAAGAATAACGATAACCAAACTTAACGGGAAAGTTTCTCTACAGGTTTCATCTCTCACTTCGTTGAGATTCAATAAACACAAAATCATCATATATTTTAATGTTATAAAATATTTTAGAAACAAAAATTCGACCTCAAAATTTCTGCTTTTCATTTTCGGAGATATTCAGCTTTCAACTTAAATTATACAAATGCAGTTCTTATGCAGGTATTTCGTGAATACCAGTGTTGAGATTGATCTGATCAGATATTCTCTTTAATGATGTTACTTAATAATTAGACACAAAGATTTTAATCACAATCATTAATTGAAATCCATGACTGAACCTTCAATTTAATTCTACAAAAAATCATTGTGTCGGCCTATCTCTTAACTTAAGACGCTTTAATATGATAGAAGTCTATCGAAATGCTGTCTGTTTAATGAACAAGACATGAACTCACTAATAAGCATTCTGTTCAATTGTACGAAGACGTAATCAGTTCATCAAGCTAATATTTCGACGGTTGGAGCAGCGACAATGAAAGGCGATTAAGAGACGTGAATGTTAACGGTATATCATCAGAAAGATATTTCAATTTGAATACAAGTTTATTATGTTTAGAGGATTTCTTATAAAAATATTTAAGCCTTCATATTTTGTTCATTCTTTCAAATATTTGAAATAAAATTTAAACAAATCGCATTATCGCTTAATTGCCAACAAAATGGATTATGAAAAGATTTATGATCCAAACACTGTGACTAATTTTAATTCTTAATTCACGCATTTAATATTTATGATGATTGTCACATCAGAGTTATTCCTCTTCAAACACAACATAAGTAAAGAATTTATAAAAAAATGTTCTGATGACGTAATCGAGAAAGCAAATGTGGAAAGGAAAGAAGAAACACGAGAAAGTGGTGAAGGTAAAGAGAAGAGAAGAAAGATCGGTCAAGGTTGCATGTACGGAGAGTATTGATTCCCTATTTACTTTTAAATCCATTAAGTCAAACACGAAAGAGACCGACAATCAAAAGAAAGAGGAAACCTTCATATTAGCATCCTGCTTGTAATTGTACCACGATCAGGAATTCTTTTCTTTGATAATTTTTTTATTCATTCATCTTCATGATGAGAGAGTTAATTTCATTTCTTTTTTTCATAACATTATGTTGAAGTGTAAAGAATGTTCATCAAATTGCTTTTCATGAAAGTGATGTCGTTGATGATGTAAAGAGAATTAAAGCGATGTGTCATTGCACTGAGATATTTTTTTCTTCATCTTTTTTGTAAATATTTTAGTTACGTGTAAAGTCCAACATCTAAGAAAATTGAGATGTCTTGATTAGATGTTTGATTACCAACTCCAGGAAATTTAATTTCTTCAATTTCTTATATTTCATTCTATCTCGTGCTGAATCACACTCGAATTTCATGTAATGAAGTGTTGCACATTATCGTGGAATCAACTTCAATTATTGGTAATTCTTACATTTCTCAGACGATCTCTCGTGTGAAACTTAAAGCTGAAATCGTGAAATGAAAAGTTTTCGTTCTATTCTTCTTCAAATATTCAAACATGAGAATACCAAATAATATTAGCGAATGTTTTGATTGAAATTGTTAACTTAAAAACTCGCTCACGTACTTTCAATTGAATAAGTCACGAATTTTGTTAGTTAAAAAAGTGTTCACGTATTCAAATAGAGATCTCGATAAAGTTTTAACTCATACTGTGTGTGATGATTATGAATCTGAAGAAGTTTCTAGTTAAGAGTCTCAAGATTTGCAGAAAAGTGAAAGAGAAGCAAAAGTGAAAACCCTTCACTTGAAAATGAAAATTTCTTTTATTTCTTGTTCATTGTTTTCAATTGTTCTCGGGGTCTTGTTCATTGTGATTTATGCGGTGTGCCACATTTTTCTCAGGCCTCGTACTAACAATTTAATTTGTCTCAGCTGATTTTTTTCCGTCATAAAGACCAAGACATCATCTTGTTAGATATTCAACAAAGCGACGATCAGTTGTAAAGGGAGATATGGTTTATTGACATGAAACATTGCTTTGATTGCTGTAGCAGTGTCTATTGTGAGAATAACTTTATGATGATCGATGGACCTTACCAAAATTCATAACAAGCAAGTTTTATTTACTTAAAATCCGATGGAAAATTGGTTTGTGAACAAAAGTTGAAGATCAATGCCGTTGTCGACGGCTGTCGGATTATGAAGAGAAATTTATGATTCATGAAGCGCTTCCTCGCTGCTTCTTATTGATTAATGGAGAAATTTATTGAATTTCTAAACTTACCACAAAATGGAATGCCTTCTGGTGTCCAACTGCCATTGTCACAAACTCTACGAGCTGGTCCAAGTAATTCAAAGCCTCGCTCGCATGAGTATGAAGCAATTGCGCCATTTGTCAGGGAATCATCTGAGAATGTGACGGTACTGTGAGCTGGCGATCCCGGAAAATTACATTTCTGTTCAGCTGTAATTAAAATGAATAAGAGATTTTAGATTCAGATATTTCTGCTTTTCTACACAAAAATTCAAGTTTAATCGAATAATTTTTGTTTGTTCATCTGCGAAGTAGTTAAAATCACTTTCAACTGTGAATTTCTTTATGGAAACTGGCGTAAATCATTATTTTCTATCTAAACAATACGATGAACAGCTCATTAATATGAGATTTCGTTGCATGATTTTTTCGAAGGTTCGATGACCTCAGTCGCGATACGCTTGAATCTCTATTGTTTTAAAGATTTGTTTTTTGATGAAAACTCAAACATTGCGTTAGATACAGTGATTTTCAGATCGAGAAAATATTCAACAATTAATTCAAGTTTATGCAGATCGCTGTTAATATGAAAGTTTCTCAGACATTTCAAGAGAAAAAAAAATTTCTTCATTACTTTGCCGATCAATTTAATTCTAGTCATAACAAGATTTGCCATTCACTACCAAGCACCATTTATTTAACAATAAATGAATCAAAGTTCATGAAATGATTGGAGAAAAGGAAATTATCATTTAAAGTAGCTTTTAATTTGAAAGTTCATTTCATTTTACGCCCCTTACTGACGGATTGTAAACTTAAGTAGGTTAATCTTTAATCTTTTCTAGTTTAATTTCGCACACGTTTGAACTCTTTAAACTTCTCTTTAATCAGATGAATTGTTTCTAATAAGTTTTTTCCGTATTACTCTTTCTAATCGATCACATTAATGTGACAGTTTCGTTAGAAAAGAAGAGAAGGAGGAATCATTAATCACGAGTCGACGCGAAGTTTTTTAAAAATCGTGATCGGCAAGCAAAAATTGATCATAATCGTAAACACAGACTACCTCTTCAACACCTACTTTATTTCTTCATTTCAATTTAAATTCATCACCGAACATCTTCAAGAGGATTCAAACAGTTCAACACTTTAACATGTCAGAAATGTTTCATTTTGTCTTGCAATTAATCAAAACAAAACGATCTTAAGCAAGTTTCCAAAGAGTCATAGCTTCAAATATTCCCGTTGTTATATTCACTTGTTATATTTTAAGCTCCCCATCAGCAACCATATTGATGAATTAGAAAAGAAACAGTTACGAAACATTACAACATATTGAGATAAGTACTTTTATGTAAATTTCCATTATGGAATTAATTTCCAGAATGTTGAGTATCATTATCGGGATTTCTTAATTTTAAAATTAACCAATGGAAAAGTGGCTTTGAATTTATTCTGACACTTTAGTGGATAATTCTTCCATCACACATTGATTAAGTTAAGGTGATGGTCGGAAAATTAAATAAAAATATCTTTGAAATGTTCAAGGTTTACCTAAACATCAACAAAACATTTCTCAATTAATCTTAAGTAAATCTAAACTGGAAATTTAGTGTTAAGTGGAAAATCAATTTCAGAAAAGCGTAAAAGTATTTCGAGAAATAAAAAGTTGTAAAATGCGTCGAAGTCACGAACTCAACCAAGCAATCTAAATTTTATGCAATCTCGATTAAATATGTGTAGCCGAATGAATTTTTATTTATTAATTTAAAATACGACAAAAATCTCATTTTTACTTATTGAATTCTAAACATTCGAGCCTCAAATACGTTTCAGTAAAAGTTGTCAATGGAATTTAGGTTTAAAAATTACATTTTATGTTGCTCAACATGTTTTAAACATATGCAAGCAGCAGCGATTATGGAATTTCAATTATGCGGTTTTCCAATGTTATGTACTGCAGCACAGCAGACACTTATGAAGCTTGTTGTTTTACAGTAAAGAACGGGTCATGTGCGAAATTATTAATTTGATTGCTAATGCTATTGATACTGTTATGGTTCTCAAATCATTACGATGAAACAATCATTCTCATTTATTGAACAGACTTTTCTTTAAGAAGCCAATGAAGAAAATGAAAGAACCACAAATTTGCTGTCGGCATTTCTTTCATTTAGTTAAATCAATGTCTAATAACGATTTATTAGATTTGTATTTGGAAGAAATCAGTAAAAGGTGTAGAATTGGAAAGTTTCATTACACTAAATCATTCAGCCAGCTGTCAGTTGATTTCGCAAAGAGAATCTTATGCTTAAACTTTGAATGTAATTTGTGGGATTTTTTTTTTGTTGAAAGTGCTTTTGAGCTTTGTTTCGAGTAGTTAAATGTTTAAATCTTTGAACACATGTGAAAAATTAAGGAATTTTGTTTCATAAATGAAGTGAAATTCAAATGAAATGCTTTGCTTGCTACGATAAACCGTTTGGACAACTGGAAGGGCTCAATCGGCATTCTCATCTTATAAACAGTGGGCTTTCCTAGCGAGAATAATGGGAGAGAAGAAAAAAGAAATCAATTCACGAATCATGATATGAAACGAGTTGTATTTTGATTAATTAGCTGCAGCAATTCAACTGAACTGAACAACAGTTACAGGTTGTAAAGAAAATTAATTATTTTTAAGTTTTCATTACAGTAAGTAGAAATTTCATCAAAAAGCACACTTGCGGTCGCTCGTTTTCTTTGATCGAAAATATTTTTCCAGTTATTTTTACTGGAGCTCTTTCATGTTTTGATAAATGATGATTCGAAGGTGAGTGCTGCTGAGTGCTAGATATTATTCGCCTAAGATAATTTAATTAGCAATTTTTGGGAAGAAAAAGGTGTTTCAACAGATGAGTAAAATATTTATTCGGATTGAGATGAAAATTATTGCAGCCTTCTTTTTATATTCAAACGGGCGTGTTGAAAACAATTTTGTGACCGTTTTAAGAGATTCTTTTTCAATTTCAAACTCAACTATCATCATTTATAATTCAACATCATCATCAATGTCATGAGTTAATGAGCGCGTACTTGGACAACAATTTGCATATTCAAGTACTTTCTTGCTCATCCCACTCGTCACGATCTTTCATTCAAGATCAAGAGATGAGTATAAACGACGCATGATTTATGAGCTTCAAGAATATTTTCGAAACGTTAATGATTTTCTTATGAGGGAACCAAGAGAGATTAATAAATTCATTAATCTCAGTCTTTCGGCCCCGTTAGGGAGCTGAGTAACTTCACTTTAAACGCCTCGTTGAACAAAAGAACCACTTTTTCCATCAAATCAAAACAAACTTTCGTGGTTCTTTTTCTCATATTTAGGCAGAAATCATGAGAAATTTTTAGTTGGGATATAAATTCGTTCCTTTATCTGCACGTTGTATTTGAAGCAAACAATATTGTCAACCGGAAGTTCAGCTCTTATGCAAATATTCAAGAGAAAATATCAATGTTCAAACAGATAATTTAGTCACATAATTGTGTAATCGAGAAAGACGAATTGCATAAAGGTGCGGCAATCGACCACAATAAGTGATGGAAAATCATTGATGACTTTTTAAAGCTGATTGCGCAATATCCTTTTAATTTTCGTGCCACGTTTTCGTGATTTAACTTAATGAAATGATTTTCACGTAAAAAATAGCTCATCATAACTTGCTGCTCCTTTCTTTTATTTCTTTTTCGGTAACAAGCAATTGCTCGTGTGCACGATTATTGAATCATCCAATTCAGGAAGTCATTTAAGACAAGAGCTTCATTATCTGCAATTGCATATTCAATAGATGCCAAATTTAATTTCTTTTCATGAAACTTTTTGCAATTTATTTCGCTATTTAGTCTCGTTAAAAGTTAAACCCCGAAAACCACTAACAACCTCAAATTTCTTGCAAAAAATGTATTTTGCAGGTAAGCATCATCATTTATTAAGTTGTTTTGCACTTGTTCGTCGACAGGTTGAAAAGTTGCTTATTTAAGTGAAACTCTTTTCTTCTTGTATTTATTCTTATGTTGTGCTGTGGTTTGTTGGTTTCTCTTTTTTTACGGATCCATCTGACGTGATGAATTTTACGAGATTTCATAATTTCAGTGTAAAATCAGTTCGAAGAAAGAAAAATGTGTGTCTAAACTATTTACTAGACCATGAACCTTTCATTAACGTGCTCCAAAGATCGCTTTAAGATTTTAACATTTTTGGATGATTCTTATGGGCTTCCGCGATGGGTAATTTATGAGGAAATTGTTCGTTCGGAAACACGAATGAAATTGATTTTCTATTCAACGCTTTTAAATTTCGTTGCTTGTTTAAATTGTGCTTTGATTTAAACACGAGATGAGTGGTCAAATGTGCTCTAATTCGAAATAAACACACACAGGCAGTTTTTTTCATTATTCAACTTGAGATTTTGATATGAAAAGAAAAAAAAAGCGAAAGAAATGTCTCTGAAGCAACTAACTGTAATACTTTACTTGCTTCTTTTCATTCCATTTAATTTATTTTGTTTTAATTTTAAAATAAGGAAAAAAGTTTTTGAAGGAAACTCTCATTACATATTTTTATATGCAAATAATTTCAATAACACTTTCTGGCGATGATTGCCTTGAAAGTTTTTTTTTATTTTCGTAGAATTTAAATTGATTCGTCAGAGCTTCCATCAATCAGAGGGGGAAAATTTCTTAAAATTCCATGAAAAGCTCAAACGGACTCGATATTGAAACAAAAGCCACAACAATCGTCAATAGCAGTTCTTCATTCAATCGTAGAGAATCGATTGGCAAAAAAAGAGAAAATCAAAGTTGAATGAGTTCTGCTTATCATTCATTTCTTTCTTTGGCTTCATGTTGTTGAAACGCGATAGTCAAGTAGAGTAATCAGAACGACAACGACAATTTACTGTCATTATTACGAAGTGCAGTCGAACCGCTCGAATGCAAAGCATTTCAATGGCAAAAGTAACAAAAATGTTAAAAGCAAGTCAATTTTGCAGTTTAAACAATCAACTTCGACGAAAAAGTGATCCATTTTAATGCATAATTTAACCGATTAAAGTGAAAATTCTTTTCGTTTCTAAAAAACTGTTCAAAGCACTTTTATTATCTCTTGAAGAAATGGAGCACCTGACGATTATTTCTTTTTATTGTATTTCAATTTGCCGATCTACTTGTGAGTCACGCGAGAAATTAATTTGTCAAAAATTGGGATTTCGGTGAAATATTTCATTGCTAATGTTTCTGTTGATTGAATAGCTGGGAGCGACTGAAAATTTGACAAATTAAGAAGAAATTTTTTATCTACAAAGACGCTTCTGACATTTCTTTGAACGCTTCTGTAGGAAGATTAAAATTTTGAAGAAGTTTCGCAATATTTCTTCATTTTTTAGCATTTCAACTTAATTCAAATTGAATGACATTTTAATGATAAAGAATTCAGATCGCCAACATTTCGTAAATCGAAATGAAACATATAAAACTATTGCAGCTAAAATACGTGAATTAAATTGAAATCATGGCGATTAAATGAGAAGTTCTGGCAGGTGGAATTTAAAATAAAATAAGGTAATCGTGCGACGGTTGTTGATGAGTTGGAATTAGCACAATATAAACATTGATCGGTAGCATTGCATAAATAGATACTTGAAGTGAAACCCATAGCGGCTTATCAAGCAAGATGCGCTCGAGAACTGTTTTTCATTTAAACTCGTTAAGCTTCCGCAAGAAAAGTTTTCACAAACAAATACAAAAATATTTGATCTAGTAATACAAAACCGGCTCATAAAAAGTGTGCAAACGAGAATCAGTTTTTCTCTCTTCCTATTTATTCGTTCCATAGAATTTCATTGAGACAAGGCCGGCGAAGATCGATTGAATAAGTTTTTTTTTAAATTTCCACATAACCATATTTTATGTGACTTGATTTTCCACGATTGCGTTATTTAGAAACCAGATTCATGTCATGAGAAGAGTTACCTGCCTAGCTACGAACCAGCCAACCTCATTTTTCTATTTTTTTTTCGCTACGCTGAAACGTTCAGAAAGAGAAGTTAAATAGTAAAAACATCGTAGATAAAAAAGAAACAGTTAATCGATCGACAAGCTAAACATAGCATAATTTTTCAATGCTCGGGAATTATCAAAATTATATGAAAATATCATCGTAAAAGTTCCAATTTCTGGTTTATCAGAGAAATATTTCAACAACTTAAAAGCATCCAAGAAAAAGAAATCACAAAACCAATGAAAATTCCAATCAACAACGCGAAGAAATGTGAGAGGTTTCTGTCCTTAAAATTTATGCAAATTGAAATCTTCAGATAAAAATGAGTTGAAGACGAGAGAAATGAAAGTATCTTCCCCAAAAAATTGCTTTAACACGTAAATTTATGGAATATCTTAATGTTTGAATAGGCTTTGTTAGTCGCGAGTTGAGCTGATGAGAAATTAACTGAAAATCTCTCCTTCTTAATATTTCTTTTCTTTCCCTCTTATTTTTATGGATTATTTATCAATAAACTTTCACAAATTTATAAACATTCTTCTGAATGTATAAAGGGAGAATCCGGGATTGCATACGTCATGATCTCATTCATCTATGCTAAGTTAGCATTTCATAAAACAACAGCTGACCTACTTAGCACTTAAAACCCCTTTTTCAATTCATATGATTATTTCTGAATATAAAATTCCATCCCGGAGTTTCTGACCGTAACAGTGCGCACCTGTTTAACCACGAAAACAGAAAAAATGTAATAATAAAAGCACCATACGATAGTCCGATGCCTTTATATTATGTTCCGAAGCAAAAGAATTATAAAGAAGCAGTTTTTGGGGCTTCCAATAACGTCTAATTAAAACATTGTGTCTTTACAGACGGAAAGAAGAAAACTTAGAAAGAAAGATGGAAAGAAACACTTCACTGATCTCACTTCCGAACGGTAATGGTGATGAACGTAAGAAACTTACCATTTGCAGAGTTAATTGCATTAATTAATCCATAAAGCGCTATCAGGTTGATTAAATATTTCCTTCGAACCATTGTGTGTTTATTTGTTGATTGTGTGATTCTTTTATATTCAAAGAACTTATTTAAATTACAATGACTTGAGATTAATTTAAACCCCAAACTTCACATTAATTTTCTTAAATCAAAAATTTCTCAACTTCTCTTTTTTTCCTTCTTTTATTTATTCTTCCAAGTGCAAAATATTCATAAAAAAATTAATCAATGTATCTTGTGGCATTATCACATTTTATCTTGAATAATATCAGCACTTTTCTCTAATTAGAATCTTTCACTCGATTTTCTTGTTTTATGTTTCAATTATTCACCGTACGACTTTGAAAATTTCCAGTTAATCCTTTCTCTGTTTTATGAGAAAAGATGATTAAAGTAGATCGAACCGTAAGAAATGAAAATAAAACTAATCGCGAAGTAAGTGAAATACGTCTTGTTGCTTTGAAGTTTATCGAAGAACTGAATAAATGTTTTCTTGAATGAAGCGAAGACGTTTAACACAACCACAAGAAAGTACATACGAAGTTTTACGATCGTAAACGAAGTTTTATTTTATTCATTTCATTTCTTTCGAGATTTCTTTCAACCTCGAATTCGCTAATCAGTTTTCTTCTACTCTCACATTAAATATTGAGTTAAGGAAAAAATTTCTTTCCAACGGTGATTGGCGCTTGCTTAGGCAATCCTAGGTTGGTAGTGTAGAAGCTATTGAAGTCTTTCGATAATATTTATCCGCACGCGTAATAAGAGGAATAGTGAATGTCATCTTGCCTAAGGTTCATTTCTAGTAGTTGATGAATAATAATTAAGAATTAATCCGGACGTAAAATTTTACAACATTGTTGTCCCTGTTGAAGCTTTTATTTTGGTGCAGTTTTTGGTGAATTTACAGCTATACATACCGGAGCTACCTTTCCTTTAGAAAACTATTTGGGTTTTTAAGTAAAACTCAATTTGTTGTTTTGTACTTAACAGTCAGACAAATCAGTGGACGAATGTTGAATGTTAATGATCTGTGACCTGTTGATTGACTTAATCGTGTTCATCGATATATGTAAGAAATTGGGAGAACCTTTTATGGATCTCATTTGAAATGAGATGGAAATTTAGGGTAATGACTTCAGGACAATTTTCGTCTAGTTGGAAAACTTAATGAACAGATTTGTTGATGTTTTAGTTCTTTATTAAACCTACAAATGATGCTTGACGAAGAGCTTTAAAATCACAGATGAAAATCGTCTCGACTTCGAGAAATTCAAGACCACTGGGAGGGCTCACTAAATTCCCACACGCATTAATTAAAAGACTGAAAAGAAAAGTTTAAGTCAAAGTCTAAATAATTTGAGTGAAAATTTCTCATCGCATGACGTTCGTTTTTGTTATGCTAGATATCATTTCGCTTTTGTTTGCATTAAAATTCGCTGCCTACTAAGTAAACTGTATAAAGGTATTTAAGTTCTTGTGGCTACGATTTTATCGTGATTAAGATCTTTCATGCAATAATGGCCTAGTTTTCAATTTTCTTTCAAACATAATCTAAAAGAATTTTAATTTATTCAATCTTTGGAAGCAATGACCCTAGACGTTTTCATAGTTGATTGCTGTAACTTTCATTTGGCGATTCTCATGGAACATAAAAAGCTACCAGCAAACTCATAATTAAGTAATTATTTAATTACTTCTTGTTGACAGCACGTAGTGCATGCGACAAGTAATTTCATTCTTTATTTATTCAATGAAACCTTAAAGTCAACAAGCTGTTGCTGATTATTTAAATCTCTTTCAGATTGGTTTGACATGCGCTGATGGATCAACTAAATCATTGCGAAAAAAAAATTAAATAAATTCTTTCACGTAAAAGGAATAAAGTAAAAAATTTCTTTTCTTTTTTCTTCTGTTGTGACATAAATTCATAATATTTACTCATGTACACTTGTTGGAGGTTCCATGAGTAATTTCATTAATGTGGACCCGCCTTATTTTCCAATGCATGCAATAAACATAAAACTCATGTTAAAAGTCAAGTACTTTGAAAATCTTAAGAAATATTTTTTATTTTGTATCTTAATGTGACATATAAAATGAGATTAAAGTGACAGTTGCCTTTAGAAGATGAAAGATTTAATGACGCGTGTAAAAATCATCAGAGTGATTCCTGTTTAAAATGTCAACGATGCAGATGAGTCTGAGAATTTTTGTTTAGCACTTGAACACTTTTTTTTTTGTTAATTCAATTGAAAAGAAAGCGAATGTTCAAGGTATTTTCATTCTGACATGCTTTAATTATCCATTTATTATTATGATATTTCCGACAGTCATTAAGTTTACCAATTTTGATTTTGAAACAAAAAAATTAATAACAACAACAATAGAAATTGTCACTTCTGTTCTGCTTCTGTTAAACGACAGGCATTTGAAGTATTTTTGTTTAAAAGTTCCCGTTAGATGAAAAGAAAATTTCGAGCCAAAAGCTAAAAGAATTTTTAATAAGCTCGAACTAGAAATTTTTTAACCCGAAAAGACTGAACAAGTCTTTGAATGAAGTGAGTAGTTATAATGAAAATAAAATAAAAAAACTTTCTCCTTTAAAAACAACACGCGTTTGTCTCTTCTTCCTTTGCTTTCTTCTCTTGCGCACAACATTTTCTGATGAATTCAGTCTTTTTCGTCATTGATAATCAGTGAATTTCTTATGACTCATTTAATCTCACCCGGGTTGAGCTTTTCTCCGTGATGAATTTGAAGTGAAAGAAATTCCTATTTACAACCATGTAAACACTTTCGATGGCAAACATGAGTCATTTGCGGAAATTTTACTTTTTTTATGACTTTAATTTGCGGATATCGATTGTGATGTATTTTAGTTGATCATTAATAATACTTAAATTGCTATCATCAATGTTATTTTGATTAAGCCTCTATTTTCTAATATTATCTACTTATCTTCCCTCTCTCTCTCTCTTAGATATTAATATCACCAGACTAAAGTTCCAATTTCGATGCCGTTTCTGCTCCAAAAAACATTAAAAAGATTTCTGAGCAACTCTGCAATCTTAATTATGATTTTCGGGCATGCTCGATGAAATTGGATTACATTTTTGTGTCTTAATTTTTAAATGAGTAATTTGTGTTTAATTTTTTTTCTCCTCCTAGTTTTTCGTCTATTACGATCATTGTAGATCGCGACTTACAAAAGATTCTCGCTGTGATTTTTTTTGGTTTATTTTTTTCTCATTGTTGTTAGCAAAGTAATCTTAGTCGAAATCGTTCTCTTGTCGAAGAAAAGAAATATCTGAGGCATGGAAAATAACATAATCATTTTTTATATTAATGTCGATATGATGACTTTATTAGTCGCATTAACTGTCATTCTTTTAGTAATATTTTGAACTTAATAATGGTTTACAGTTTTTGGAATATTCATAAGCCTACTAATGAAGTAGTTGAAGTTCCAGCAAATATGAAAATTGTTTCAAATGGAAATGTATGTAGTTGAGAGCATTTTTTTGCCACTTCTTCATTAATTTAAAAGTGAGATCATTATTTAATATCGAAATGTCTAAGTCATGTTGCGCTTCTGAATTTAAAGAGCCACTCAAAAGTTTTTGAGAATAAATTGAGCGATGATCAGATAATCATTTAAATCATGCTGAATATGAGTCGAGCTTAGATGTGATGAGTGCCAGCAAATCCGACTATATTTGGTAACTGTTTCTGAGTCATTAATGTGAGTATTAAAAATTAAAAGAAATTTTGAAGAATCATATAAAAGATGATCACCAGCTTATCTAATCGTTTAATTATAACATTTTTTTTACTCATTTTTAATTCAGACTTCAATTGATGTTTTCGTGCAGAAAACAACTTCGAATTAACTTCAATTGGTTAGAAATAAAAAACATTCAATTTTCATAGGAATGTTAAGTGTTAAGAAATTCGCAAATGAAGATCATCAATCAATAAATTTGTGTGAAATGAAAATGAAAGCGTCGCAAAGAAGAAAATTTTGTTTGTTTCCACTTCCGTTGACATCTTAAGACGTCTTTCTTCTTAGTTATCGCGACTTTCAATAAACAATGATAAATTGATGTCACCGATTGAAGTTTCATTTTCATTTACATGATCATAAGTTAGATTTGTCTCACGATAACACTCAAGTACGGTTACAAATTTGTAGGATTGCCTTTTATTTATGTCACATGTGTAAATATTTCTCTTTAAACTTTTTAAAGGTAAGTATGGCTTAACTCCGCATTTATTTCTGCTCATGCAGAAAGCAAAAAGGAATGCAGAAAAGAAACTCAATGAATCACAAAAGATGAATATCGGTCAATGTTTTGCATACATTACAGCAAATACCGTTGAGGTGTGAAACAAGGGAATGCAATTGGGATCCGAGTGACAGATAATTAACTCGTTACTTACTAGGTGGCAGAAAATTATAATTGAATATAACTAAACAATAGCTTAGCCTCAAACAAGTTTCAATTTAAACTTTCAAAAGTGGTATGTTGACATCGCGTCGTAAAGAATAAGTTTAAACATGATAATATTGTTTGATAGTTTTCCGTTGATTTTTACGAGCACGACCATCTCGTTCATACTTACATAGATTCGCTTTATATAATCTGAGATAAGTATTGAAAGGAAGCAGAAACTAAGCGCATTTCCTATGTTTAAGCAATCAACTCTACTAATATGCTTTAAGAAATCTGGGGCGAACAGTTAGTTCAAGTTGCATAATAATCATCAATGTCTGGGTCGAAAGTAGAGTAAAAATAAAATGTTATGATAACTGCTAAAACTTTCATAAGCAGATAGTTAGAATTCATTAGCATCTATAAGAAAAATAAATCAAAAACGATTTAATCACATCATAATATTCTTTATTACATTTGAAATTATACTTTTAAAAAAATATTTAATTAAAATTAAAATTCCATTCAGAACATTCTTTGATACATTTAACAACCGAAATAAAATTGAAATGAATTTTTATCAAAACTGCCAAACACATTTTTAAGTCTTTTTCCAGCCAAATCACATTCGAATTAATTTTCACAATTTAGAAAATTTCTCACTCTAAGAATTCATTTCATAATGTGCAGTTTAATGATGTTGATGACTTTTTGTGAATTAGAAATTTATTTAAATTGAGTGAAGGTGCTTGTGCCTTTATTATTATAATTATTAAACATAACTACCTAAGTATGCAAATGATGAAATTTGCTGATTTTGTTTCATTCCTACTTTTATAAGTTAATGTATTATTATTAACTATCTAACATTAAATTAAATTCAATTTATGATGATGAGATGCGTTGCAGTATGCAAGTTTGATGGCTAAATGGACATAAATACTTTTTAAGTCAGAAAGCTTCAAGCCTTGCGAATGAGAGCGAAGTATATGAGTGAATTAAAGCATGAGTATGAGTGAGGTGGTTATGCGCTAAAATTCGCATGAATAAATATTTAATCGTTGTTGATCTTCGAAAGGTTGGATCGAGGTAGAATCTACTTGCATATGACCGTCACATTCGTATCAGAGTCGATTGACTCTTCAATTTTCTGTGAGCTTAGACCAGTTCGACAACAAATCTCATCGAAATGATTTAATCCATTATAAAGTCTTTGACGTGAGTTTGGTATCGATCCAGTAAAAATAGGATATTTGTTAATGCATCTGATGAGATTGTGCTTGAGTCCAAATTCAACCAACTTTCTCTCATCAATGTTGTTCAGTCTTGGCGACAATCGTATACAAAGCGTTTTAAGACTCACTCCATGAGTCATTTGTGAGTAAAGTTGAAAAACTCGGTACATGGTGGGTGGAGGATCGTCACGATTCAAAGTGACAATGGCAAGACATTCTTGACTCAAATGATGATTTTTTGTGAGTTTTTGAAGATTTCGAGTGCACATGTAAACGTTTGAATACTTAAACAATGGTAGAAGCTCAACGATATTATAATAAACCAAATTCTGCACGCAAGATTTGACGAGCGATGTTTCGACATCAGCACATGCAGCTATTCGTGACACATGATAAACGCCGTTAATGTAAGGTAGAACTTGTTGTGTAGTAAGATCCCATGAATCAAACGACATGTCTTTAAATTCTAAACGCAGAATTGGAACTTGATGATCAAAGACTTCAGGAGGATCGTCTGCTATTCTCACAATCTTCAAATAGATTGTCGTTTCACCTTCAACAATTGTACAAACTCTCGTCTCATTGAGGTCTTTCATTATTTTGTTCAGCATGTGTTGTATTCGTGGCCTGTGCTCGTCACGAGATAAGAACCCGCATTCGGTCTCAATCATTATAAGATACTCGGCAAGCTTTTTCACTACACTTTCATATTGAACTGATCTCGAGAAATGATCACATACGAAGCACAAATTGAAGTAAAAAGCATTTCGAGCATATCGAGGACTTGTGATCCTAAAATAGAAAATTTATGAGCGAATAAAATATTTAATGTAAGCAAATGATCTCACTTTATAGGATATCCCACGATTTTTATGCCTAAAGTGTTCACTGTAAGTATTTGTCGTTCAAGTTCTCGCTTTGGAAGAATATACACATTTATAAGATCAAAAACATCTTTTGAAATGTAATTATCTGGAACTTGGTGTTTAATTAAACTTCCAACTGTTGCGTGAAATTCCTATGTTAAGATTAAAAATATAAATCATTGAAATTAATATTTTTATGATTAGTTTTGTTTGTTATCAGAAGATTAGAAACCCGGAAATCATTTGACATAGCAGTTGATGCTAATCTTGTCAAATGAGTCATCAACTTACACTTAAAAATATGCATTTAATCAATCCTTCCCGTCCAGCTAAATTGCTTATATCTGAAGTAAACATTCTGCTAAATCACTTTTATCATTTAACTAAGATTTTCACATTTTACTGAGGCTTAAAGAACGAATAATATTTTATTGCTTTTTACGAAAAAAAACGCGACTGTTTAGAGGATAAGCTCAACCTTTTCTAACTCGGCCTCGCCAACACTACATCATGTTGTGTCACAAATTACTTGTGGAGCAGAACTGTACGAATTAGTTATAAAAAAATTATAGCAAGTTTGTTATTCTCATTTCACCCACACATTTTTCTTATGATAATAAATAAATGTCAGATGCAATTCAAGGACGTTGAAAATAAACAAATAGGTCATTATTTATTTCATTTATTGATTTTTAACTGAAATTAACATTAAAATCGTTTAAGAATTTTAATTCTTAAGCATATTTGTGTCTGCTTCCATGATTCCGGCTGATAATTTCTTCTCCATTTCACGTGCATCCATGTATTCAACTTCTTCATCTTCCACTTCCATTGCTTTATTTTGCTCTGCTTCAAGATCCTTCTTTCTGATACCTTCTGGTGCTCTGATAAGTGAAATGTTCTTCTGTACGTCACGGACATCATCGTGAATCTCGCGTTGTGTTCCTTTGCGTAATCTTTCCATAACAAAATGTTTCTCACGACGTTCCTTGATTTCATTCACTCGTTTGATGGCATCTATAGTTTTTGTCCACAATTCACGGTCGTATTTTACTGGAGCATTTCGTCTTTTCTCGAATTCGAAACATGGATCCACAGTGAGTTCTTTGCCGGCAAGTTTTCGATAAACTTTAGTCCATTTCGCCTTACGTGGGTTCTTCTTTCTTGTAAATGCTCTCCTACACTTCTTTCTGCAGAATCGAAATTGCTAAAAGTATTTAATAAAAGTTTAGAACAATATAAAAAAAAAACATCAAAAAAAATAATTTGACGAAAATATTCCAGCCAAACTTACTTTGCAGTCATTTCTCACGAATAACATACCATGACCAGGGTATACTTTGCTGGAACAGAAATAGCAAGTTTCAATTCTCATGATTATGCTATTTTTATGTTTCTTAATCCAATTAATTCTTCTCTGCAGAAAAATTTATTTAGGAAAGTGTTAAGAACCACGTTTGTTGTTTTTATAGCAAAATTATAAAAGGAATGCGTTTAGCATTTATTTTGAATTGTTGAATTTGGAATTCCGTTAAAATTCAAGCACCATCATAAGTATGTAAAAGAAATCATTGAAAGATAATTTATTAAACATGATTTTGAGCATATATACATAATTAAATAATAGAAAAAGGAAATTAATTAAGAATTTAAACTTTTTTACTTGCACACTATTGTATTTCAATGCTTTTGTACCAAAGTAAAAAAGTTCTTTAGTTTTAGAATGAAAAGAAGACTTTCCGGAGATAATCGTGCTGCTTACAGTCATTTGAAAATAAATATAAAAACATCTGACTAAACCAGACAGTCAGAATTGTAAACATTTTCGTCAAAAACGTAGAATTGACTTAGTGATGTGTCGTGATGGTGAAGTAAGCAATTTAATAAATAACATAAATTAAGTTCATATGGTTTATTTATAATTATACACTCATGGTGAAAAATCTACGTTCCTTTATGTGCAAGGAAGTTGTAAACTTTATCGCGATTAAAGAAAATAATGTCGTAATTTTTTGAAATAGTCAATAATGTATAAAGTTAAGAGATTTTTTGGATTAATGGCGGAAAATAAATTCTACTTTGTTATCAAAATAAAAAGTTCATTTCATATTTTAAAAAATTTCTGAGATTTCAAGTGCATGTGTGAAGGCAGGTGAAAATTTAAATGGCTTTTCTTAAATATTTAAAAGTCACGACATTTTATGCACTATAACTTTGTATGGATTTATTATGAATGCGTTTTATAAAAACAAATCCAACATGCTAAAGAAAAGCCATCAATTAAATAATTAAATTTACGATGATTAAGGAGTTACATGAGGCTATTTGCTTTCATTTGAAACTTGTTCGTCGTTCGCATTACTTTAGTTTCATAAAGTTCTTCAAAGAAGTAAGACGAAGTGATGACATTTTCAGAGTTACGGGGAAGTTTACCCCAGATAATCGCTGTTTCCATAAAGAATATAATTTTAGTCGGTTAGTGAAATGTTGCAATTGGATACATCAAAAAATTAATGCTTTCCCTTCTTCATTTAAAAAAGGTTTCGGTATGACAATCGGTTTCCCGACAGTTTTAATCCCAGCTTTACAACAAACAACAGAAAGAAAGCCTTCAAGTGATTTATCTTTAAACAACTCTCAGATATCTTGGATAAGTTCAATAAATTTAATATGCGTGCCATTGGGTTGCATATTTTCGGGAACTTTCACATATTATCTTGGAAGAAGACGAGCGATGCAAATCGTATGTATACCGATATTTATATCTTGGATTATAATTTATTATGCTAAGGACGTTGCGCATCTTTACATTGCACTCTGTTTAAGTGGATTCACAGGTAGGAGAAACAAAAATTTTATATGAAACGTGTTTTCCGTGGCAAACATTTTGAAGGCGTGAAACTCGTTAAAAGTGTCAACAAAACTTGTACTTTCAATTGAAGGTCAAGTGGCGTTTTCTCGTCGTGTGTAAAAAACTTTTATACATAAGCTTGAACACTTCATTCTGATAATTTAAATAGGTGGAATACTTGAAGCACCTGTGCTAACTTATGTTGCGGAAATTACAACACCAAAGCTTCGTGGAATACTCGCAGCAACTGGAAGTTTTTGTATAATCCTCGGAGTGTTTTCTCAGTTTTTGATGGGATTATACTTTGACTGGAAAACAATAACAATCTTTTCTACTTTTGCTCCATTATTGGCAATAGTTTTATTGTTCTTCGTACCTGAATCACCTCATTGGTTAATCCTCAAAAAAAGGGATGAAGAAGCAAAATTATCCTTGATGTGGTTGCGTGGGTGGCACAAATCATATGAAAATGTTAAGAAAGAGTTTGAAGAACTTCATTCGTGTTTAATAATGCAAGCACACTCAAAAGAAAAAGCAATTCAAGAGCTTTTGAAAGCTTTCATGAAACGAACTTTCTTCTTGCCATTCTTTATATGCACATTAGGGTTTTTCGTCGGAAATTTCAGTGGAATGACGACACTACAAACTTATGCAGTCCCAATTTTCGCCGAACTTAAAGTTCCAATTGATAAATACTTTGCTACTATGTTGCTTGGAATCATGGAACTTCTCGGAACTGCAATCTGCGTGATTCTCGTACGATTTGTAGGGAAACGGAAACTGACATTTGTATCACTTCTTGGCTGCAGTATTTGCTTCTTTTCAACTGCAATGTACGCGTTTTTTATCAATTATTCACCTTCACAGTTTCAAGCAAACACGCTTGTTATTAATCTACCGATGAACATTGAAAATTCAACAGAGAATTCACCTCGGGCAATAGAAACATTCTCACATTTGGCAGTGGATGAAGAACACTTCAGTTATTTACATTTGTCACCTGATGATGTCAATAAAACTTCATCAATTATTACTGACCTTAATTCAAAAACTTCATCTTCAATCTCTTGGATTCCATTAACACTTCTTCTTGGGAGTGCATTGTTGTCACATAGCGGAATAAGATTACTTCCTTGGATGTTAGTTGGTGAGGTTTATCCTGCAAAGATTCGTGGACTTGCTTCAGGATTTACCGGTGGTTTCAGTTACATTTTTGGCTTCTTGGCTAACAAACTCTTCCTCACCATGGTTGCCAGTTTTACTTTGCCAGGAACATTTCTTTTTTACTCATGCGTTGGATGTTCTGGTTGTCTAATCTTGTATCTCATTTTGCCGGGTAGAAATTTTCCACTAAATGTAATGCATACAAATTTATTGAAATTTTTCTTAATTTTTAGAAACTGAAGGTAGAACACTTCAAGAAATTGAAGAATATTTTCGTGGCTATCATAAACTTCCGAAAACAATAAAACATAATCAACCAACACAAGGCAATGCTAACAATTTTAATCACGAAAGATGGAACATTAATAGGAAGTTTGAAGAGCGTCACAAAAGCACTGAAAATAATTTTCAAACAGCAAATGACAATGATTTCATCGATACTTACATCTGATTAGCTGAGTTACATATTTTAAGCAGTTGAACAAAGCATCTGAAAAGAAGCTTAATTAATTTTAAATAAGTTTAAACATAATTTCTTTTGCTTCAAAAATGACCAAAAAAACTTTTTTTTATTCTTTATTTGTATCACTTAAATACACATAAGGAAATAAATTCATGATTTTTATGTTTAAGAAATTACGAAATATAAATTAATTGATACTTTTATAAGCTAAGTACGTTTATAATAAAGTTACGGTTGAGATTCTAAGAAAACACAAAATATTTGTTGTTAGCATATTTCAATTGAACGGCAATGAAAAGTAATTAAAAATCGAAATGTAGATCGTTAGCATCTTTCACGATTACAATCTATAATATTATTGTTGATCTGAGTAGCATTCGGAGGTCCTTCATGGTACAAATACTGTATGGGTAGTAGTCGTGTCTCAAATTTTGATTTTGCTGGGCTTCTTCCTTGAAGTCCACCTGGACGTGGAGGTGATTGAAAAATGTCATTTTTATTGTCGGGATATTTTGTGGATGAAAATCTGTTTGTGCTGAATGATCCTTGAAGCATGGGAACTGGAATGTAGCTGACAGAACAGCTTCTCCACTGTTCCTTCTCAACACCTACGTAGCACCTGAAGTCAAGGTGAAAGAAAGCGAAAGTTTAAGGAAATAGCAAGGCAGAAGCAGACAATTAACAAGTTCTTGGATATAAATAATTTTGATTGCTTAGAAGAAAGCATTTAATTAAAGCGTAAGCAGAAGTGTAGTAAGCAAGATAATTGAATAAAATTATTATTTAAAAGTTTGTTTCGAAATGATTTCAAAAAGCTTTAGTTGAAGTTGCAAAGGTGTTGCTAGAGAAAACATTCATAAGTTATGTTTGAAATGAAGCCATTGTGGCTGCTAAGTTATGTTCATTAATAAATCAATAAAACAATTAAGTAAAAATTATTCCACAACATAACTTTTGAATGTCTTTTTCCTTCTCTTTCTAGAAAGTTTAGGGAAAATTGAAGAATAAAAGAAATTTACCAAGGATAGTCAAAATCTCTACTGAATCCACATTGATGATCGTCTCTACAGCAAAAATCCCAACTGCCAACTTCGCCTCCTTCTAACTCACAAGAATAAAATCCAGCAATGTGATTCTTTTCACATCTTGTTCCATAACGACATGCTTTGCCACTCACGGTGACATGGCCACCTTTTGTTTTATTGAAAAGGGTTTTTGTATTGAGAGAAGAGAATTTGTTTCTTTTACGTGTGCGAAGCAATTTAAATTTAAATGTTTGCAATCATTTGAATGAGTTTTGCTTTGATGGAAGGCGGAATCGAGTGATAAATATTATACAAATGAAATGAAAATGAAATGAAATGTACGATATGCTACAATGTCAATTAAACTAATACTGAATGCAATGAGATTTTGTGCTTTTGATTTCAAAATCTTTCGATAAAATCTTCAATTTTTGTTCGTGAAAAATGGAGGAAATTTCAATAGTTATCATTGTGCTTTTGATGACGATGATGTTGTTAATTTAGTTTGTGAATCATTGAAAACATTGTGTGAGATTGGCGATGATATTGGTGATGATGAAATCACAGATGTTCTATTAAATTGTTTACCGGTGTCTCTGAATATATCCATGCGACGATCATAATTCACTCGGTTGCCACTGATCGATGTTATCTTGTCGCGACATGTATGATCGAAAGGATTCCAAGCGAACAGCCAATAATCTCGATTTGGTGTGTGAGTGTAGTGAACATCAAGTTTCAATTCACTTTGATCCAAATCTGACATTTCACAGTTGAATGAACTTGCTTGTGAACTTAATTAAAAAGAGAAAATAAAAGTTTTAAATGCTGCGCACAATACGAAGGAAATTAATTTGTCGTCATACCCGAAGCTGAATGAAAGACATTTAAATGGTGAAGTTTCGCGATATTTTATACATTCATTCTTGCACTCAATCTCTGATGGTACTGAAATTACTTTTTTAATGGCAGATGATACTAATTTGGCTGCAGAACCATATCCTAAGTAGCACACTTTGTATGAAAAAAATTGCGAGAGTTAAAAAATTTAAATTAATGACAAAAATTATTCTCTCACATTTTGGATTCTTTGGATCATGTTCGTGTTCAAAATTTTGAATTTCACATCCTTTTCCATAGCTTGCACGTTCAAAAACATCAAATCCTTTATCATGAATCAAGTGACGATCTTTGTTCATATCACGAACAGGCCAATCAGACAACTGACAATTGTCAATGATGGTTCCACTAACTTTTGAACCATAACGGAAAGCAAACGATCGACAAGTGAAAGTCTTTGCTTTAGCGCATTCAATTTCACATTCACCAATTGATCGTACTGTTAATGAATCTCTTACAATTGATTCATAAAGTCGACGTGTTTCAATTGCTTGAATGAAACATTCTGTAAAACATTTTCAAATTTAAATAAATAATAAGAAATGTTTAATTAAAATTACTCACGATCATTAGAATGACTTCCACCATATTCTGCACGATTTCTTGGTTCCTTTTTACAAACTTTAACATCATCACTCATTGCATAAATGTCATACTCTTTGTCAGGAATAATGTCAGCATAAGAGTCAAGTAAACTATATGAACGATCACATAAAAGGCAGTTGTTGTTTGATGGATCCGAGTAGCGGAAACTGAACACAGAACATCTGAATTTATCTTCACTATAACACATTTTTTCACATTCTCTGATATCTGGAACTGAGTATGCATTGCGAACGACTCCTTTATGTAACCGGAAACCTTCACTTGTCTTCACAGAACATTCTGAGAAATTAAAGCAAGAAATGAATTTTAATCTTTTGACATTAAAACTAAAATCTTTTTTTACCTTCATTGTTTGGCCGTCTTGTCCACATCTGATCCCAATTACCGCTACTTCCACCTTGATATGAGCCTCTATTTCCACTACTTCCACCTTGATATGAGCCTCTATTTCCACTACTTCCTCCTTGATATGGACGTTCTTCATAACCACCGCCAATCATATGACCACCATAACGATGATGAACACTGTTTTCTTCGACTGGTCCCAGTTCAAAATAATTAAATTGATGTGGCCCATCTTTTCTCTTGATATCGTTTCTTATTCCCCAATAATCCATTTGTGGACGATATGAAATCGAACCACTTGTAGATCCATAAACACCACCGTAAGTTCCCCAAACATTGTCTTGTCCAATCATGTACGGTATGAAATTGCTGGATGGCTTTTGATGGAAATTCGTGGGATGATAATCTGGAGGTGGTTTATGATGAAAGCCTGGTGGATGAGGCTGACGATCTATATAACCAAGACCAGGTCTAGGTGGTGGTGATTGAGGTGGCAATGAATCATGAGGGTGCCCACCATAACCACTTTGTTGTGGTGGTGGATCAGGTTTTGAGTGTGGTCGATAAGGTGGATCTGGTCGGTCGTAATCACCAGGTTTTTGTGGAATGGGGACAACTGCTTGTGGGGGTCGATGACCATAACCAGAATCGGGACTGGGTCTTGAGGGCGGCAGTGGTCTCTCTTGATATGGCTTTTGTGGACGATATCCATATCCGCCAGTTTCAATGTAACCTCCTGAATTTGAAGGCCTTTGTGGTGGAGGTTTGTAATAATCCGAGCCGCCACCTTCTTCTGTTCCATACCGATCAATGCTGAATCCATAAGATGGAGGTGGTCTTGAATCGGGATAATGTTGTGGTGGTCTTGAGTCTGGATAATTTACAGGTGGACGAGGTTCTGGTTGTGACGGTCTATTGTAATGAACTTCACCCCCGCCTGCGAAATAATTGGAACCTCCATAACGATCCCATGAATCGGGTCTTGATTCATAGAAATTATTTTGTGGCCGATATCTGTCGACGGCAGTGGAATCCGGTCTGTATCGATCTTTTTCATTTCCATAAGAAGGCTTGTAATTCGATGGAGGTCGATATGTTGTTGGTTTCATGTATCCCGGATTTGCACCGCAATCAATGCAAGGCGATGCTCGGCATTTTGCTGAACTTCTATCGCGCTCATAATAATCGTAGTCCGGATGTGAAATAAGATTCGCATCACGATTATGTGGACTTGAGTACAAATCCATTCTTGAGAGTGGAACTTCAATGAGTTCGCATTCACCTTGCCCTCGACCACTCGGATCTAAACGATAATTAAAACCTTCGCACGAAAATCGCTTTTCGTCACCGCATTCACGTTGACAATCTTCAAGACGTTCACAAATAAGCGTTCGTCTCACCCAATGCGAAGCAATTCGCTTTCCAGCCAACACACGTCGGAAGCACGCTGTGGAAGGAAAATTTTAAATTAATGATGGAGGTTGGAAAATTTTATTGAAAATTTGCACTTGTAAGTGAACTTTCATCAACGAATTTTATCATTATTAATTTATTTTCCTTTTTTACTAAATTCGATTTGGTTTCAGGGAACAACTTAAAGCAACAACAAATTTTGTTCCAAATTTGGATAAGAAAATAATAAAGAAGTGATGAGAATTGAAGTTGTTCGTTCCAAATGCAACATAAGTATTAAGCTTAAATGTCAGCTTGTAATCAAAACTTATTTTTTCAAGTTTAATTTCTAAATTTCTAATGCATTTTCTATGTTTCACTTCGTTTGTCAATAAGTCAGACAGTAAGAACTGGTTGAAAGCTTTTCATCTTCACAACATCGAGTTACACACCTTGAGTGTCCTCAATGATTACGATTGAGTTTCCTAAGTTGAACGTTGCTTTTGCGAGATTAAATCCTAATAGGATTGTAACAACACAAATTCTCACTACAGAATGCATTATCCTTGACTAATGAATTTTATTTTTCGCTTTTACTCGATGTGAGTTCATAAACACTTTCAGACTTAAACAATAAATCACATTTAATTCCACGCAAGCAATTAGTTTCACGAAATTTCCACACATAAATTTATGTATTTCTAAATATTTTTATGCAAATATTCTGCTGATAATCTTTAATTTCCCATGCTAAATATCCATTCAATGACTACACAGCAGTAACGAAACTTTAAAATATTTTCGATGACCGTTTAGTTTGTGTGCATGATTCGAGATTCAATTAAATACTAGAATGCGATTCAAATTTGATTTTCTATTTATACAAGTTTTCGCGACGATGCTTTGAAGAGACTAGAAGTGTTGAAGAGAGAGCGAATCTCATTTGGTTAAGTTCTACAAGAGTTTAAAATGCTTCTTAATATGTGAACACATTTCAAAGACTCGGAGAGACAACTTTAAAGCTTAGAGTGGGGTTGGAGATGTTTCGTTCATTTATTTACAAAATGTAGCCAATTTTAAAACAATTGAAAAGAGATCTCTAAGCTTTTCTCATCCAAATTCATGCAAGCGAAAAATCACAGATATTTATGCGTTTATGGAACAATTAGCTGCGGAGTTTAACCTTCACAAAAATAAAAGAAGAAAGAAAGAAAAATATTCAAATTCAAACACATACGCAGCGCAGCATAAGTTGAGGTTCGTAATGCAATATCCACAATGGAAAATCTCAAGAATGAATCTCTAGAGATGCATGAATGCTCTCATAGCTTATGTAAAGTTTCAAAATAATTTAAACCTCCAAAAGCTCGCTTTATGATCGCTTGAAAACATAAACAATTCATGATTGTTGTTAGATTGAGACAATCGAAGATGATGTTTGAGGGTTTCTAATTGCATTTCAAATGATAATTGTGCGGTTTTTAAAGCAAACATGATCTTTTCTTTCTGATGGTTTCTATTGACAAGACAACAGTAGTCGAGACGAAAGCATTTGACTTTGTTGCAGATTTCTACTTCAAGTTCAGATTCTTAAGCAACAACAGATACTTATTGTTTGACAAAATGCTTTCAAGTTAATTCACAGCAAAAAAAAATCTACGGCATGTGATTAATGAATGAAATGATTCTGAAGAGCGACAAGGCGAAAAATTTTATGCAAGAAGTTTTCATTCATCAGAACTTTCCGGTTGTCGTTAAAAGCGCGCTCCACTCAATTGAATTAGAAACATTTACATATGAATTTTTTAAGGACTAGTTGATTCAGCATTTAATAAGAAAATTTCTTGAAAAAATTGACGTAAATGATGAACAATCCCATCTAAATATTCAGTGAAGTCAAAGAGAAAAATGTGATTTATTTGAATAAATTTTTTTTGCGATATTTTATGTTTCCTTTTGACTTTGTAAGTAGAAGTGCCACTTGACTGTCTTAACATTAATCTCTCGTCGAGGAAAGAGATTTTTCTTTGTGACTAAGAAGATATTGCGACCAACCGTGGCTACTTAATTGCACTTTAGTTCCGTGGCTATGAATTAATTAAAACAAGCTTCCAAGTAAGTCAAATGTTATTTTTTTAACATAGCACAGAACACAATTAAATTATTCAATAGCGTGTGAATTGAATGTGCTTTTGAATATTTTTTTGATGAGTAGTGTCGTCAAATGTCTTTTCTGCAAGCTTTGTTTTAAGCAAAATACAAATTTATGATGACTTCAAATCTTCATCAAGTCTTGTCTAATGTTGCCTTCAACAAACATATCAGACAATTGATGTACCGACAATTATTACTAAACATTGACTTGATTAAACGCAAAAAAAGGAAAAATATGGTGCATCTTTCGATAACAATCGAATCAGTGAAATATTATTTGTTGATGCTTTGTTCATCCGCTTTTTGTGCAGTTGAATCGAGGTCAGCAACACAATTGCATGAAAATCATCTCGCAGTGCTTTTAATCCATTCTTTTAATGTTTCATACGAAATTTAAGCAACATTTTTCGTAAACACTTCAAAACTCTATGTTGAAGATCGGAAGTTAAAGTTTGCAAGTCTCGTAAGAGTTCAAGAAACTTTAAATGAAAAATGAAAAAAAACTGTTTTGCTTTTATAAAACATTAGATGACTTTTGAGAATCATTGTTTCAAATGTTTTTTTGGAACAGTTTTATAATTTACGTTCGTCATCCCAAGCAGAACAAACAGATTCGCTTAAAACTGTCACATAAAGTTGGAAGAACTGTGACGTCGCTTAACGTTCATGTCACTCCACTCTTATGATCGTGTTAAGGTCAATGTAATACTTATGTCGGATGAAAATTGAATAATCATTTGTGAAAAGGGAAACAGAATAAATTTCATGCTAGATTATAATTAAATTCCTCTTATTTTGCTTAAATAATTTGAGAAAATGAAAATTTATTCTACGAAAAAAATTAATTACAATAAAATAAAAGGTTTGATCAACACGAAAGGCATGAAAGGCTGTGAGAGACAAAGAAATATGAAAAAATTTCTTTAAATTTATTTTGTCTATGACGATATTGGAAATTAATGGAAAATAAAATTAAATATGTCGTTCAATCGTGATAGCAAATCTAATGTTTGACTAATTTTTATTTTCATTTTACGAGGCTACATCTTCGTGACTTTATTGTTCTTTCTTGCAATCAAACTAGGAAGTATTAATTCATTTATTTAAGTATAAAAAGAAGTGACTAATGCAACTTTTCCTTATTCAAGTTCAACTTCTAAGCTTTCAAAGCAGACCACAATGAGAAATTTAATTTTGCTCGTAGTTTTTGTCATTTTCACAAGTAAAAATATTTGAATTAAATCAAGAAAATATAAATCTTAATTTGTAAATCTTTAGTTTGGATAAGAAATGTCAAAGCAGGAGGCGAATCATTCCCCTGGAGTCCAAGCTCCTCAGAAACAGCTGTTAATTGCATTTTAAATCCCTCAAATGGAAAAGCTACAAGAATGGCCGTGGCTGATTGCGAGTATCCTTGTCCCGAAGGAAAGGTACAGGAAGTTTTCCCAGGATTTGGATGTTGTTGTAAAGAGCCAGAAAGTACTCCATCATCATCAAGTCCTTAAACTAGAAAAGTTTTCGGGAACAAGACAAACAATGAAATTTCCCGAAACTCGTTTTAATATTTGAAAATTTAAGCGGAAAACAAATTTAAAAATAAAGAAAAAGTCTGAAAACTTCCACATAACTAACGTCTAATAATTTACGAAATGATTCAAAAGCTTTTTAATATAAAAGAAACTCTGCATTGAATTTCGTAAATTGCTAAACAAATTTGTTGAATTTGAATAAATCTCTCGACTGCATCTCTTTATAGAATTTAATTGTTACGCATCGTTGATTTTGAAATCGAAATGATTTCTACGTATGCTTGTTAAAGCTATTTTCAAACCAATTATCTAACATAAATAGATATTGAAAAGTATTTGCTTTTAGCTTGATTTTGAAACTAAATTGACATTTGCATGATACGAACTGATGGCTGCTAAATCGTTTGCTGCTAAATTATCTTCACAGTTAAATGATTTAATAATTAGAAGAATCTTCGCACAATTTTCCAATATTTGAAGGATTATCCCAAAAAATTAACAAAACTCCGCCAAAATAAACAAAAGTGAAACTTCAAACTCAACGCCGCCACATTAATTATTAAGCAAGAGCACCAAGCATGATCTACATGACATTGATCACATTCACATGAACAAGAACAATGGATGAGCTCGAAATATTCAACTCCGGCCAGTGGCTTTTGTTGATAGAGAATGTTTGGTAAACGCAGCGTAAATAATTTCGTTTTCATTTCTATTGAAAATTTTGTAAATAATGGAAAAGTTAGAATCGTTTGCGGAAATTCTAAGAATTCTTAAAAATCTTCAAAAGTTAACTTAATGACGTCACTTTTAATACTCACGTTTTGTTATTGGAACATCTGGCGTGTTATCAATGACTTCATAGCCATTCTTTCGATTATCATTATAACCATTGAAACCATAATGTTGCCCACTCTCTGGATACCTTCCTGACGCGTACAAACCCCCCGAACCATAATGACCAACATTTGATGAAGATGGTGGTGCGCCATGATAGAATCTGTCGTGCATAGATGATGATGGTGCATTGTGTGAGTAAATGCCTGGAAAATGTGAATCTTTGTCATCAGTGTAAACAAAATTGTGTGGATTGTAATTAAAGTTAGACTGAGTGTAAGGAAAATAGCCAGGCAAGGGATCAGGGCCGATAGGAAAAGGATAAACGGGTTTGGTCTGTTCAATTTTATTATTTGTGTGTGTGGGTGGAGGATCTTTATCGCTTGATGAAGGTTTGTGGTTAGTAATGATTGGTCGAGTAGGACGCGTGGGAGGGAAAGCTTCAGGTTGGTTGCCAGTGGGATGATTTCCGTTACTAGACGGATAGGTTGATGGATAATTGTTTTTGTTATTGTAAAAGTCATCAGGCGATTGACTCGAAGGCTGGTTATTGGAAGCAGGTTCAGGATAGTTTGATGAACCTATGGGTGTCGTTGCAAAGTCACCTGTTGTCGTACCATCGCCTCCATCAGTTGAATAAGTACCGGAAGTTGAAGCAGGACTGAAAACTGAAGATGTTGGTCCACCATCAGATGGCGAATAAGTACTTTGAGTTGGACGCGATGGTGGCAAATTTGTATTTGCCGCTCCATTTCCTGGCATTTGTTCGAAACCTTTAAAACCCACCAACAAATGAGATCAATTTAAAAAATGAGAGAAAAGTTGACAACAAACCTCCTGGTCGAGGAACTTGACTTGGACCTCTGTTCGGTCCAGGATCAACCAAACAATTCGACGTTTTCCTCGCATATAAATCGAAATCTGGATCGAAGATTGTGCCAACGGGACTTGCTCCAGTTGAATCAATGACTTGCGATGATAGTTGGCAGGTCCCATTACCTCTTGCAGAAATTCTGATAAAAAATTATAAACACTTTCATTCGAATTAATAAATTTAAATTCAAGTTTTACCCAAATGCAAATGTTACGCATTCCATATCGTTGAGACAAAGATTCAGACATTTGTCCAAGACGTTAGTGTCGGTTTTTCTAAAAGTCTTATCAAAGGGCAGCATAGCGCCAAGAGCGATTCGCTCAAAGCAATCTGAAACAAACATCAATTAAAATCTCATTCTTGCTTCAATTGATTGAATAAAACATCCAAACATGAACACTCAAGTTGCATAATCTTAACTAATTGTTAATGTTAAATCATCTAAAACAATTTAACGATAGAAAACAAAAGCAACGAACTTGCGTTGTTTCTTTTTTAGATAATTTTAATGTGAGACGAAAAAATGAAAACGGATATTCATGATTATTTCTGTAAGTAAATTTTCAAGTATTTTAGGAAGATCAAGCCTTTGTTTTTCTACTTGTCGTTCTGATCATGACAACCTTTACGCTGAGATGTGCTTATTGGGGTCAATTTCAGCACCTTTTATTATTTGGAATTTCCATGCTTCAAGAGTGATTCAATTCTTAATGATTTGTTTCTTGGAAAATAATTTGCTTAGTTGGTGTGCCTAATGTTGTGAACGGAGAATTTTTTTTTATTAAAAAGTGTTTTTGTCGTTTATAAAATGTGTCTTCAGAATAAATTAATCATCATGTGAAAGCTTTTTTATATTTAGTTTCAAGAAAACTATGAAAATTAAGCACTTCCATCATTGTAACATTTTTCTTATTCTAATCTAACTCTTGACAATTAATTCACAATGAAAAATCTCGTTTTCAATTTCTTTTTCTCAATTCTCACATTAGTAGCTTCTTAAGATTATCTGTTTATGTGGACTTACGTTGTGGTTTAGAAACAAGCTCATTATCTAGTTGTATGCAGTCGACAAACGATGCGATCACAAGCAAATTTATTAAATTAATCGTAATTGAATATTTCTTCTTCATTTTATTTTATGTTGCTGATCAAATGTCTTTTTTTTTTCTTAATTTCACCAATCAATCGTAATGTTTATTTCACTTAGCTTAATGTGATTCTCTTAGCAAATGGTTCACTTTTTATTATCATCACATTTATCGTTTTTTAATTAATTAAAGCGTGAGACGAGTTGATTCTTTTTTCCGTTAGATTTTTAATCACTAAAGTTTGTCGGCACTAATCCAATCGAATCTTTTCTCTAATTTCACATTTAAGTTCAACTCCTTCATGTCAGCTCGAAATGTTTCTTTGTCTTCATTTTTACTTCTTTTTTCATATCTTTTTACATGCTTGCGATGGCTTCGTTTCCCTGAAAGATCACCCAGCTTTTATTATTCACAATTTCTTTTTCATCAACAAATTCGCAAATTAATTTCAAGAAGAATAAATTAAGAAGAGAAAAAAAATGTTTTGGCATCGTAAAGAGGTCGATGGAGATTGAACGAATTTTTATGAAGTGCGAGAAAGACGAAAACAGAAAATAATTTAATTGAAGAAATTTAGGAAGTCATCAAGAAGCAACTGTCAAAGTTCCTGTTGAGAAAGTGAAGTTTTAGTTTTTTAGGTCATCAGGTTAAATCTGACACTTTTAATGCTTTCAAGTCGGAGATTTGGCAATTTTTAAGCATTCGATTAATCGATGTCAACAGCGATGTTATGGAAGCAAAATAGAAATTCTTTGAATCATATTCGCAACACCACACAAAACAATTCTAAATGTGATCTTCCTTTTAATTACAATCAAGCACAAATCATTGACAATTTCAATGATGTCTTCTGCTAACTTAATTCAAATTTATTCAATTAAAAATTCTATTGTTCAATCTCTGATAGTATGCTGTATGTCAGCATGTAGAAGAGATTTGAATCAAAGCAAAAAAATGTTTAAATTATTTTCCATTGGCACTCGTCATGTTTATTTGTTGTTATAAAAAGTCATCAAGTTTGTCGATGAATGAGAGCTTGTGTCCTCAACATCAAATGATGAAAAGGCCCCAATCTCATTAAAAAATCTGCATCTAACACTAGCTAGAACGATAGATGAGCTCTGGATGAGTTAAACAAGGCGAGGTCAAATAGTTGAATTAAAATTAAGTTCTACTTTATGTAACGACATAAAATACTGTCAACAAGTTGGCTGCAGATTTATTTACAGCCTGATGATGACCACAATTCATTCATAGTGGGAAATGATTTATTTGCCATTTGATTTTTACCCAACAGATTAACTTTGACAAGGTAACTTTTAATTTCATGAATTAATAAAATTTTCTGATAATTAATTAGAAGTCGTTAAGAATTTCAAAATTTTCACACACAAATTTTTCTGTTTTATTTCAAATTTTCCTCTCAATTCGATTTTCCATCTTTGATATATATTTTCACATAAAAAATTCACTAAAATGTTTCTTTCGATATTTTATATCAAGCTGAAATCTCTTCAGCCGAAAAAAAATTGCGTCCTAACGCAATCGAACTTCAACACCGACTGAATGTTGAACGACTCTTCTTGATTAAACTGCGATTAAACAAAACACGAGTCGACATAAATTTTCGTTCATATAAAGCGACGAAAAAAGAACAAAACACTCGAAAATTTTTCGCTCAACGACAACTCAATCAGCGAAAAACATTTGTAACGTTGTTGAATTAAAGTTTTAGCATTCATAGCAAAACATTGCCATGTTCAACATTAAACAATGAAAGCTTCAAGAACACTTCTTAAGATCGACAGACCGATGACAAACATTGCACTACTTAATTGCTTTGTGGAGACGAAAATTCTTTTCAACATTTTCTTGGGGGAGTTTATCAAACCGGAAAAAAGCGAATGAAAAGAATTTCTTCCAATACAACTGGAACTAATTGTTTGGAATAAACATTTTCATTGTTTCGTCGCGTTAACGATCACCAGAAACAGGTTAATAAAATGTTGCTTCTTAAATCAATGCGAGTCGTCTTTAAACGGTAACTTGCATTTAAAACTTCTTTTCTGTCGTGAATATTTCCTGTCAGAATTGGAAGTAAACAAAAATCACTGACGTGAAGTTTTCGTAAGCCAAGCAAGGATTGAAATTTATGACTAAGGGAACTTCTTGAGGAAGTTCAACACATGTCTGAGTGTTTCTCTCTTTCAACATTAATAAAGATAAAGATCAAAATCGTTGTCGAAGCAAAGCAGTGATCATGTTCAAGGTTTCGTCTCTTATAATTAAATGTTATTACATCACCCCGATGAAGTCGCACCACCAGCCAATTGTAATTACGACAAGACGATTTAAATAAAATCGTAATTCGAGTCTTTTCTGACTGAGTTATTGTGAGATAGAAAAAAAATCTTTTGAGAAGAACAAAAGATGGTCGATGGTCGAGGCGACGAACCTGAAAGAAAATCGAGTATTAAGAACATCTTTTTTTGCGTTGGCATAGTTATTACGATCTTCCTTTGGTGACGATGTTCTCGATTTACAGAACACAACCGCAAATTATCGCATGACTGGTGATTGCCTTTGCAAGTATAAATCACAAAATTGTTCTTAAAATCTTCAAGGGAAGGTTTCTTTAATCTTTCATAAACTTTAAACTTTACAGAACATTAGTTCGTCTCTACTAATGATCGATCTTCAAAGTGCTAAAATTAATTTTAATTTCTGAAATTAAAACGAGGAAAAAACGGTTTTTTGGACATCGCAATTACCAGAGTGCTTATTATAACTTCTGGTGGAAATGACAGTTAGATAAGTTGATTGTCTTACGAAGTAATTAAATTCGCAGAAGATTCGTGAACCATGAACAATCTTTTCGTCTGTGAAAATGAAGAAAGAGTGCTGAAAAAGAATTTTGAGAAAAGATTTCGAATGCATTCAGGCCGAATTTTTGCGAAAAAAAAAACTAAATTCTGACAGACGAGAGAAAAAACTGTAAGAATTAATTATTTTTATTCTTATTCTCTTCTTCCTGTCGTGCCTTCATCCAACCGTTCTCATGTAATCTCTTCCCAAATAAAACCGCTGGTTCGGAACTGATGTATGTTAATAAATGTTAACTCTTAGTGTCTTCATTCACGTTAAAACATTTCTACATTGTGTATACATAAATCAAAAACGAATCTTTTGCTTCTCGCTTTGGCATCATCATTATGTCGGCTGATTCAGAGGAAACAGATTCAGATATACATAGTTGAGACCAGTTGTTTAATGCGAATTTGGTTTCAGTCTCTTTTATCTCCAAGCTTTTGTTTTAGTCGTATTTGGTAACATTGAACTTCAAGCATGGAATTTCGTTTTCATATGATGTCATGGAGAGTTTGATGCTTCATCGTTTCCTCTGCTTTTATGACAACAAAAGTGTTGGCGATAATAAAATAACAGAAAATTTAAAGCACATTAATTTCTCAGTCTGGGAATTCTTCTTTCTATTCATAAAAACTGAGGTTGAAATAATTATAGATGAAAATATTTATAAACGAGATGAACTTAAATGTCAAGGATCGTGATGGAAAAGCAATCTGTAACATGAATGAAATTTAAATAAAATTAAACACTTTAAATTAAGAAAACGACAGAGTTAGTGTAATAGAAATAGAACTTTTTATTGCATTCTAAAAAATTTCAGCTATAGAACAAGTATTTATTGAAGAAATTGTATTCTTAAATCTTGTAAATGAAGTTTATCTAAAATCATTCGTTTTTGCTATAGTGAGAGGGCGGGGAAGAAGGATATAAAACTTCTTTCAAATCTCGTTTCAAACTATAAAAAAAAATCTTGAAATGTAAAGTTTTTGTATGAGTCAATGAGGTGAACGATTGTGTAATCCCAATCACCGCCCTTAATCTATCGCTTTTGATCGAGAGAAAGGTGAACAAAATTTCAGAATATTTCTCTTCACGATTTTATCCTTAAAGTTTTAAATATGAAATTTACATTAATTTTGTTTCAATCTATAATTCTTACAGACATTACTTTTTTTAATTTTCGTGTTTTTATGTGTTTTTTGTATGTTATCTTTCCCACACTCAATTTACTTTCTAGAAATATTTATATCAGCATTGCCAAGTTCAGAATGAATAGTTTTCATTAATTTTTTCATAACTTGTATCTGTTTTCTTTTTTTCTCAGTTTTAAATATGTTTTACCCACTTTTCCGTCATCCTTCATCGCAATAATCAGTTAAGGCAATTAATTCATACATTTAATATTTATTTTATAGAAGGGATTATTAATCCTTAAGTTTAGATTTTTGTGTGGTTCTTAATTCTACTTTTACGATTTTTTTGTTTAATTTTTCTTTTGTTTAAATTGTATAATGTATTTTCCTTATAAAGTTTTCCTTACACTTTAATTTATTTTTGTTTTTATCCACTTAAAATTGTATTTTTTTTCTCATAATAGAAGCACCCATACATTAAATAAGTTCTCTTTCGTGAGTGTGTTGTGTCGTGACAATGTATCCTTTTCGCGGAAAGGAATCATAAGTTGGTAGCAAAAGAAAAAAGTTTATGAGAAAACAAGTTTTCAATTTGTTAATTAGAAGGATCGATCAGTTCTTCAGAAATTTCGGAAATTATTGAAATGAAACATCAAGGGAACTTTATTAATTTATTTTTTCTGAGCATGCCAAAAAGCTCACTATTACTTATAATTTTCAAATTTTGTATCAAATCGTATCAAATTTTTTTTCTTCGTTTTGTTAATTTGATTCTTCCAAAAAGTTTAGTTACGCAAGTCTTATAATTTTAGATTTTATTTTGTCTTAAAGATATTTAATGCTTTAGTACGTACAAAAAGGATCTCTACAGTTTTTACTTTAATTAACTTAATGCTTTCATGAAAAATTCATTGTTGTCGATTAGCCTACTACAAAAACCGCTTTTATTCGCTTCCATATTTTTTCAGTCCAATCCGTTCGCGAAACTTTAAGAAAAAAAAGCTTGTCTAAGTCGAGACACAAACCATTTGAAAAAGCTTTCATTTTGAGCTTTCAATAGTTTTGCATAAAGTGTCAAAATAAAAAATCATAAAAAAGAACTTATTAGAATGTACCTTTTTTTTCTCTTAACAGTAATAAAAACATAAAAATATAATTGTTTTTAACGATCTAACAAAAATGACGTTCCTTTAACCCTATCCATTAACTAATGGTAAGGGTTGGATAAATATATTAACGAAATCATTTTGTTTTCCGATCTATTGATCTTTTAAACTAAAACAAAATAACATTTTTCACCTCTGATACAACTTTGCATTTTGAAAATGTACATAGTTTCTTAATCTTTTCATTTCATTCTCTTGCCTCTTACTAGTTTCTAACTCAACGTTATTAGTTTAAAAATATATTATATTAAAGTTTTGAAATTCAAAAATGAGGAAAATGAAAGGAAATTACGTTTTACGATAATACAAAATTCTCCTTTTTTGTATTAAGTCAAGAAGGAACACGAAAAAGATCAATATTTGGGATCTTACAAATTAACATAACAAATATCAGAAGAGAAGAAAGGAAAAGGTTTTTCATTTAATTTATTTAGTATGAAATATTTTCTATCATCTTGAACACAAAAAGTTTATTTACTTTTTCTTTTGTTATTGTAATGTTTTCATATCTCGCTGTGCAATTAAATTTTCCACCTTTGAAAAACCTAAAGTTATTTGCAATTTGAGATCTTTTCTATGAAAAAAAATGACTTAAAGGGTTTGTGTTCTTAATGTTGCTTTTAGAATGAGCTTTTAAACAGTTAGGAGAAATATGCCAAGATTTATGAAACCATGAATGAAGAAACTGAAGATATTTCCTCATAGCTGAATGTATCATTAAACAGCCAAAAAATATTTATGTGGTTTTTAACAGAAGAATGCTTTCTTCAAGATTTTGTAATGTATTAGATTATAAGTTGATTCATTTTTCTTTCGCCATTTAATAGAAAGATTAATCTTCTTCTTCGGCTTTCCATATTTGTGTAGCATAGTTATAGATAATTTAAAAAGGGTTGTTTATAACTTTATTATCTACAATTCTGCACATTTTTCTTCTCATTTTTCTCAGTTTGTAGTTGCAGAACTATCATCTTGTTGTATTATTATAATGACCGTATCATTAGCATTTTGATTAATAAAATTATCATCATCCGTTATAGTAAAGTTATTATTTGATGCATAGTTTAGATTATTGTTGTTGCTATTGATGGTGTTGTTATTTTGTTATGTTAATAGGTCTTGCTGTGCATCAATCGAAAACAACTCCTTATACAATGCTGGGAATATGTATTGTGGATGTTCTTGTTTGAAGCTGCTTAACGCATCCATATGCATCATTGAGAGTTCCCTGCGAGAGAATTTAGATTTATTTTTCAGATTTTTTCTTAATATTAAACAGAGTTACCTGAATGTTGGAATTTTGTTGAGTAATGTATCCAACACTGTGACGTCTCCTTTTAATGGCGCGTGATTTGATTCCAATTCTTGCTTAATTGCAGACATACTCATGTTGAAAAGTCTTAAGATTTCAGTATTACCTCGGACACCGGTTCGTTCTGAAATATATAAAATGAATTAGAAGGGAACACAAAGGACATAAAAAGTAAAACTATGCAACCATTTTTGAAAGTCTTGACGTCACTCTCACCTGGCCAAAGAAGCACCAGACTTTGATACAACGCCAGCTCGGTTTCTGTTAGTTTCAGTTCAGCAATACTTTTCGCAGTCTCAAAAATCCCGGCAACAAGTTTCATTTCCAGTGAGTTTGTTGTGTAAAATGCTTCTTGTGGCAGCATCACCTCACCATAAAGAACGGAATTTTGAGACAGATCCATTAAACGTGACATGCGAATAATGGCAAGCTCAAAAGAGCCAGTTTTTAAGAGAAGAATCTGTAAAAGTTTTAATGGCAAACATTATAATTATTTTTTATAATATTAATCTTAATTAAAATTTTACCTGATCATCTTGACTTAATCGCATGAATCCGGGTATGAGCTTTGCAAACTCAATGATATTCTGAATCATAGCTGTTAATTTATCGGCACAATCCAACCATAAATCCTCCTTGCATAAGTTTTTGTAATAAAGCAGTTGGGTCATGTCCTTAATATTAAATAGAAAAAAAGGTATGAACGTTTAATTAAAATTTTTACCATCAAAAGGAATTTTCTAGCATGAAGAGAGAGATTCAGTAAAGAACAGCAATGCAACCAAACCCACCTGTGGTTTGCGGAACAATTCATGCACGACTTCCAACTTGATATTCGTATTTGCATGTGCTTCGGCTAATGTTTTTATCAGAACATCGTTAATGTCACCTTCAGCTAGAAGAAGAATAATGAATATCACTTTTGACACAGCAATGTAAAGAGGGTTCAGAGAACTATTTGCTCTCCCTCGACATGTTCTTTTTTTTTTCGTATCAGTATTTCTGATGGCATGTTATGAAATGTGATGAATAAATAGTAAAGAAAGAGAGAAAATAATGGATGGAAGAGAAATGATAATAAAATTTTATGTTAAAAATTTGTTATACTTCAAAATCGTTAAAAAATAATAATAATAAAATAAAAGCTCATGAAACAATAACTCAACATGCAAAGCACAATTTAATGTGTGAAAGATAAAAAATAACTGACTTTTGCTACTTTTAAATTTTTAAATTTTTAAAATTATATCCCTGAAAAAGACGTTAAAACGAAAAGAAACAATATTAACGAAATCAAAAGCTCGCCAATGGATTTTGTTTTTGCTATTTTTTTTGTGTTTCTTAGATGGTTTGAAGTCACTTCTTGGGATCGAATTTTTACCCCATTTGTTTGAATCGCATGAGCTGTCATCTTCAGTAAATAAAAGCTCCGTTTGTTGTTGGGAGTTTGTGCCTGGAAAAAGGTTAACTTAATCTTCTCCAATCTTTGAGAGAGTATTTAGTGTGTAGAGCAGGAAACTTTACCGTCATTGGCACCATTAGCCTCGTTGGTCATCGCAATGCTTTGAACGAGGTTAGCATTGATAACTTGACTGTTAGGAGATGGAAGGAAAGTCGTTGAATCAACGTAACTTCCGACCAGATTATCCACATTCGTAATCGATTCTTGTTTTATCGTAATTATGTTATCTACACCGGAAGTGGTGTTTGTGCTGTTTAATGCTGCTGCTGCACCTTGCAATGTTTCTTCGGCAAGCTGTTGATCTGAAACTGTTGTTAGTCGAGCTAAACGAATATCAGACAGCGAAATCGTTCGCTGATGTGATGGCGATGAGTTCTTATCTGCAACGTGAATTTTATTGTTTGTGGTTTTTAACTGCCTACTAAATTATGTTAGTTTTGTTGGTTTTTTTGCTTCTTTTATTTTTCACCACAAACCGAAAACAAAACGACAACAAAATAAAAACAAAATGGTTTTGTTCGATACAGCAGCGTAGCTTTCTGCGGGTTAAAACATTCATAATCGAATGATGCTTTCGAGCAAAATATGTTTTGTAAGAGCTTATTGGTCTTAACTAGTAAGATTTTGATGATACGTTGATTTTATGCAATTATACTCACATCCAAAGCGCATTCATGAATGAGATAATAGGAAGAAAAAAAGAAAAGAAAATTTGTCACCCTTACTGTGCCCACCGATAAAGTCTGAATCGATGATGGTGCTTCGCGGTTCGTAGGTGGTTGTACTATCAACATAATCAGCTGAAATATCATAGCCCATTGTTTGTTGTGGTGTGACGGATGCAGAGTAGCCACCATAGGGACTTCCATAACCCACTTCATTTGAATATGTGTTGTAACTGGACGAAATTTGACACAAAAAAGAAAGATAAAGAAATAATTAATATTTCATAACTTTTCTCATTCGAAAAAAATTGCGTAAGGTTGATAAAATAAAAAGTATTCAAACTTTTTTTTTTGTGGATCATTCGGCTTTCTATTCCGATTAACATACCCATTATAGCCATGATGTAACTGATCACTACTCGACGGTGTTTGTGTGTCAAATACTGAGCTATCAGGTGCTGTATCGCCCTGAGCTCGCATCTGAGCACGATGAAATCTTACTTCGTCTTCTACTTTTTCTCTCTGCTTTTTTGACATTCTGCCAAATTTGACGGCTGGAAAGAAATGAACGAGAAGAATCATTTTTAATTACACTTTTATTTTTAAAACCTATTAATAATAGCATGAAATTGGCTACAGTCTCTATCATTGGATGTTTGAAAGATTCTCGAGTAGATACTTTAAGAGTTCTCTCAATTATAAAAAAACAATTTATGTTTAAAGGATTTTGATTAATTTTCTTCAAACTAAAACTACGAGAAAATTTTAAATTTTAACTGTAAAAGTCCATAAAAAATTGTCATGCAATGTTTCTAATTTAAAAAATCGTTTCTGTAAGTTTAAAATTAGTCATTGTGTTAATTATATTTATAAAAGAAAAGTATGAAAGACTTTGGATTAATGAAACAGCCACCAATTGTTCAGTAATTGTCCCCAATCTTTTTCCATTAAAGAAATTCTTAAGCCTCGAGTTATAATTTGAAGTGCTACATAGCATTTCGAATTAAACTAGAAGCGAAAGAAACAGAAAGGAATGGGAAAGAAAGAATCAAAAGAACAGCTAGAATCAAAAGTACTGTAAGTCTTAGACAAGAAGAAAAGAATGAAAGAAAAAAAAATTATAAAAGTCACTGTGTCAGCGAACAGTTATTCTCTTTTATTAACAGTTTTGTTTCGCGGTTGTATTCTTGGATACTTTTTCTTCTTTTTTGCTTTCATAAACAGATACCTAAACAACACAGGTTATTTTTTTATATTAAATAAGAAATTGAAAGAAAAATCTTTCTAGGAGCTTAACAAGTTTCAACTATCTTCAAGCTTTAACAAAAATCTGAAATATTTCGTAAGATATTTGAACCTGTGAAGCTTTTACTTTATTTAAGTGAAGACGCTTGTCATGAAATAACAGACAGAGTGAACAATGTAATGACTTTTAAGCATTGAACATGAGAGTTTACTGATAACGAACACTAAATTACCATAAAAAGGCAATTACTAGTCTCGCTTGAAGAAGAAGTGTCAGAGATTCGTGAAATGATGCAATGCTTCTCTGTATTATTTTTGGTAATGCAACATTAATTCCTATTCATTATATTCTGTCTTCATTAACATTATCACAATTTACACTTTTTATTATGACAATTTTCGTGCAAAATTTCTCATTTTATATTGTTTTTGGCGTTGTTATGTAAAAGGAGAGTTACAAAGTTGTGTGAAGTAAAATAATTGCAGAATAAAAAAGTCTGTTGAGACGCCATGAACATAAATCAACTTTTCACCTTTCAATTTTAATTGAGCATGATCATTAAACATATAAAGGAAGTATTTAATTTATGTAAACATATTATTAATGATATTTATGTGATTTTCTTTCTTGTTTTCCCTTCTGACATTAATTTCTACGTGTTAATAGTTCAATTGAAACTAAAGTAATAGTGAAAGGCAAAAGTCACAATCAAAAAAAAAACTTAAAATTCTGTTAATGCTGCAAAAGACGACGAATATCATCACGCAAATGGAAAACATGTGTATGTGATGTGGTTTTTAATAACACAACATAACAGAGCATAACGGCATCATCGTCATAAAAGACCATCATGTGAGAATGAAATTAAGTGTTTTTATGTAAAATGCATCATATGACATCTCGTAGATCGTACAACTTATAAGTTTTGAACGTTCAACTTATATGAATCGTGCGTAGTAATTTTTATCGCGCTCTCCACAATATCAACCAACACCGGCGAACATAAAAGCACGTGTATGTCATCTAAAGAAGAATCACGAAGTGAATGCATAAAGAAGAAAGACAAAAAGAATTCTTGTGCACAATACTCGAGCATAATATGACATAACATAATATTAAACAACAACTGATATGTGTGTATAAAGAATAAAAATTCAGCTTGTATGAAGGAGCTGTGATAGATAGAAAAGTCGAGAGCAGAACAAGAAAAGAAAACACAAACGAAATGGAAGTCATTGACCTCTATGAGTATCAAAGTGCACGTGCTTTTTTTTCGTAAATTCGATAACAAAGCCGTTCTATGAAACGAATTCTTTCATTTCGTTGTGCGTGTAAATCAAAAGGGGAGTTTGGCGTTATTTCTTATAGATTTTCTTTTTTTTTCCTGTTTTCCTTATTTTTCTATGTTCTTCTAATATTAAAACATTCCCTAAAATGTTCATTAAATTTGATGAGATTTTTTATTGAACAAGAATTCTCATGCGCTTATTTATCGTCGTATTATTTTGCAATTGTGTATATAAAAGTGATTCATTAAAGTCGAAAGCGTTAACTTCTTCTCCCCTTTCTTTCTCTTCATTACTATTCCTGCTGCTAAATTGTTTATGGATTGTTTGTGCTGCTTTGTTTTGTATTCGGTTTCATGTAAATTGCAAGGAACTAATAGCAAAGTTCTGTCCAAACTCATTTTCAATTAGAAGTTAACATAAGCATTTCAATGATTGATTATTTCTTCTACCATGTCTGTTATTTTAGAGATAGATAGATTTCTATAATGAATAACATGTGAGAAGAGAGCAAGCTTAAAGGGTCTGTGAAGACATTAATAATTCGATTAATCGCCAACAAACGAGGGCATTAAACTTTTGTTTTTTTGCCAGAAATGGAATATTTAAGAAGCTATGAAAATGTCTTTCAATTTACTTTAATGAACTAAAATTCGATTTAGCTTTTGTTTAGATGGATTTCTTTTGATTAATTAATGTTGACAAAATAATAAAAAAAGATGATGAAGAACGAGAATCGTTGGGAACACTTGTTGTCATTTAAAAATAATTTTTTATAGAAACATTTGGTAGTCAGATGTGTCATGATTGTCAATTAAAATATTCTGTTAAAGCTCAAGCAACGAAATTTATTCAATTGGTGTGTGAGTCATGGTGAAAATGTTGCTGTTTTTGGCTGTTGACTGCTGTTTGATGTGAAACAATGGATGTTGGACAGTAAGCAATATTTTCTCTCTATTGTAAAACTTCACGCGATTCTTTTTAATTATTTCATTGTGTGTTGATCATAAAGCTGCTGAATTAGGAAAGCTGCTTCATATATTTATTTTTGACGCTTTAACTGTTCTATTGTCTGAATAAATAAAACATGGAGAACTGTGCAAGGAAGAGAGTGACTCTCGAGTCTATTGCATTTAAGGTAGGCCAACTTCATGATTAGAGATTTAGTAGGACACAAAGTGCAAAATTAAAAATCACAATAAACTTTAATGAACCTTTCTTAAAAGACAAAACAAATCGAGGTTCACGAAGCATGCCTTAAAATGAAATTCAACCCTTTTTCAATTCTCAGGTTTAGCACTATGGAAAACAATCAAAGTATTGTTTTCTCATTATAACCCAATTTCATAGAAAGCAAAATCATGAAAGGACGATAAACTTAAGCAAACATTTGAAGTTGTAAGTTGAAATTCGTTTCAAAGTAAAAGGAGAACTGTAGATAACTCACCATCACGACTCATTCCAAGTTTGAGGCACTTTTGAAGTCGACAATACTGACATCTGTTCCTATTAACTCTATCAACAACACACTGCTTATTTCGCGGACATTGATAATTTACAACCGAACTCTGAGAGCGACGAAAAAATCCTTTACATCCCTCGCATGTTATGACGCCGTAGTGAACTCCGGATGACTTATCGCCGCACACTTTACACGGGATTATTTCAATTTGGGCTAGAAAGAAAAAAGAACAAATAAATTAATTTATTATTTGATATTGAGGTTAACTTAATTTGGAATTAAATTAATTCACGATATGAATTTCTTAGTGCACCTGAATTGCATAGAAAATCAAGAATTAATCGAACAATTTTTTCGTTTTTGTCTACAATGTAATCAAAACGTGAGTCGAAACATGCTTTTCAATTAGCTTTTCCTCGCTTTAAGTCATCTATTGATTGATGAACAACTTGTTTAAGTAAAAATTTAATCCTGTTGATACGAATCTAATGTAGAGAGAGAAAATTGAACAACTGTCGTGTATAAATCCGAAAAATATCATGAATCTCCCCCTCTTGAATTTGAGCTCATTCTCAATCAACGGCTAATCAGATTTTCAGCTAACATCATCAAAACTCAGCGTCGTATATGAACGAAAAAAGAACAACAACAAAAATCTCAGTTCAATGAACAGTCGAGGCAAATGGAAGTAAAAATAAAAATGCATATAAAAGATAATTTAATCAATTAAAAGACTATTTGCTTCACAAACGTTAATTGTATTTTGCTTATAGTGTTGTTGCAACATCACCATCACAGATCTTAAATTTTACTTATGCTTTATCTCTTCGAGCTATCCTAGTTTTTGTTAAAAAAAAGGCAAACAATTATCTACGTTAATTAATTGATTGTAACAGATTCTTTATTTTTGTTTTTCCTTTCTAAAAAATCATTTAATTTCCTTCCAGATTGTTGAAGTTTGTGTAATTATTTATGCAGTTAGCTGAGATTGAGTTTCTGTGGAAACCAAAAGCTCCCACCACCTCCAATTTGTGAGTTTTCTTCGTCGTTGTAAGACACAGAACAATTGTTAACAAATCGTGAGTATTGCAATTGCATTTTGTGCCGCATTTTATTACTTCAACTCATTCATTTTTGTTTCTTTAACATTTCTCAAGCATTGTACTGAGATTCTCTTACAAAATTTTAATCAATGGCAGTTAAATAAATTCATCATGATTTCTTTGTAATTTATTATTTCTACCTTCAAGTCTTTTTTATTTCAAAACATTACGCAATAAATTTAAGAATTTGAAACGATGATCATCACTTTGTCAAATAAAATGCTTAGTGAAACGAATTTGTAATGAAAAATTCATTCGCAAAAACAAAAAGTCAACATCTTTGGGAGTCATTAACCCTTAGGCACTATCATCATCATCATACAATTTCCGTGCTCGAATCTTCTCATGAAAACTTACAAAGTATCGATAAATGTTGGGTTCGATGAAACATTCAATTGAAATGTAAATGAATCTAAAATTAAACTCTTATTGTAACATTTCGGGACACACCTTCTGATGTCACCGACTCACTACGATTCTCTATTCCGCATTGTTTTACGTACGATTCAACTAGAAAATATTCTCGAATTCGGGAATGCCCATCATCAAGTATTATAACATTCCGAAAGTTAAATTTAATTCCGCATGGGAGGAACGAAAATACAATTTTGCTATTTTTACTTAATCGCAATTTTTTTCTGGCTATCACAAATCATCTGGTCATTCACACTGAACAAGAAGAAATTCGGAAAATATTCCGATAAAGTAATAAAAGCTTTCATCCTGGCTTTAAAACGTTCGTTGATGAAATAACACTCGAGTTTCGTAAGATTATGAAGTTTATTTTTAAAAGTACGTGAAATTTTATTATTTTAAATTTTAATGAAAGAAAAACTGAAATTGACGAAGAATTTCGTCTCATATGTATGAAGTTTGCTGCACTTTTACCTTATCAATGTTATTCAAGTTGAATAGGTCAGGAATGTTGCACTTCAATTTTCATTCTGTCTTTTATGATTTTACTTTATTTCGCTATTCTACTTAAACTTATTTTTAATGGCTTCCAACATTTTCAAAATAAGTTTTGTTAACATTTCTTTGGCATATTTTATAACATTTCAGAAACAGATTAATTTTATAAATTGGATTTATGATGCGCATAAATATTTCTACTTTTTTTTTCAGACAAAAACGACTTTTAACGACTGTCGAGTGTGAAGAAATAAAAACTAAAAAAAAATATTTTACGAGTTTCACGAAACAGTTGTAATTGCATCAAAAGTTTGTCAAATAACATGAAATTATTTATAAAACTTTGAGAAATGTGAAAACTTTAAAACATTTGCTGATGGGAAATTTATTGGGGAGAGAAGTGATTTGGACATCTTAAAGGATGACTCAGTGATTATTTACTGAGATTCATATTTCAAGAGTGGAGAGCACAAACTATTTTCCTTGTTAACATTCATAAGCTCGTATGGGTTATCAACCGAATGAGCGAATTTCATACGGTTGAAAGCGAAAAGGCGGGGAAAAATCAATGAACTGATGAACATACGAGAAATTAGCCGCCTGAGCGAAAACTTAAAATTTGACTTTCATCACCAGTGAGAAACCGCGACGATGACAAACGTAATGAATCAACAGACGTAGACTTTGATGTCATGATTGATTCAGTGATTCTTTTCTTTTACTTCGCTTCTCCGTCAACACAAGGAAACAAGTCATCACAAAAATTTTCGACCGATAAAACGATCGTAATGTCGTCTACTCGGGTACCTCGGTTCAATGACCTTCGCTGAGGTAAACTTTTTTTCTGCAATGTTGTTTCATCACTCAAACGTAAAAACATTTCTTCAAAAGTAAGAATATTTTAAAAACACTCAAACTTGAATCGGAGAAATTCGATTTAAAAATTTTCAGATATTCTTTAAATTATACGTAAATTGCACTTCATGACTGAGTCATGGAATTTCACAGGAAAAAAAGATAAAGAAAAATAAAATCTTGCATCATTTTCCAATTACAGTTTTACCCCAAGACAAGCAGCTATCGATCGTCCTCAATCAATATACCGTTCAAAGTTCGCTTTTTCTTTATTTTTCACTTCTCTGCATTGCCTTGAGATGCTTGCGAGTGCAAAAACTGAACATGAGTGAGCTAGCGATGGCATTAAAAATTTATGTTTCATCTCATTGGTCATGAGCGTTAAGAACTGTGCTAGAAAATGTATTCAAACATCTCATCAAATGGAATCTCAATTGATCAACTCATAAAAAACCTCTTCAAATGTATTCTGAAAACATCCTTAAAAGCATCATGCATGAAAACATCTGAAGATGGAAGAAAACATGCAACTGAAAGAGTTGATGGAACTAAAGTTCTTCCAACAATGCCGAGTCAAAGAAACATAATGACGCTTTAATTCATTCATTTTTTTTCTATGCTGTTTTCTGTGTCATTTAGAGCATAGAAATATGCAGAGATAATGAACACAATGAGATCTCTGCAACAATAATGTTGCGAAATTTCCTGCAAAAAAACATTCTCAATTGAATATAAATATTTTTGATGATTGCTTTAGGGCATTGTTGTGTACATGAGCTTCATGAGACGTTCTCGTTTCGCTTTACAAACATTTTCACATCAATTTTTAAAAAGATTCCTTCAAGGGACTTTATTGTGAAATTCTTTTAATTATTTTCTTTTACGTTATTTGCGAGCTTCTGATTCATGGGATTTATTAACATCCGCCGAACATTGAATTTGAAAGGAACTGTAAAGAAAAACACTTTCCATACGTTTTAATTTAAGCTTCCATTCTTTTCAGGGACAATGAACTTTACATTAAGCGTCATGTTGATATGCCTAAATGAGTTTACGTTTAATGATATCATTCGCCCGAAAATAACACCAACTGAGGTTTGAAAGGGTTTAGTTTACTGATAGATATGTAGCCATTATTATAACACCTGCTTTAAGCGTAGGCGTAAACAAAAAAAAGTGATCAGGAAATAGATTGAGGAAAATATTTGATAAGCGTAAGTGTGCGAATGACCCAAAGCGTCCATCGACACCGTGAACTGTATTTTTATCTTGTTCTATTCATCGCCTAGTGTTCGAAGTTTTTCAATAATGTTTGATGTTTACATTAGCTATTTACATCAACGATAATTTGTTTCAATCTCTCATAGGCAGGCGACTTTGTAAGCCTAAAAAGTTCTTTTGAGAAAAACCTTTTCATATTTTGTACTCGGTTCGATGACCTCAGTTGAACCAAAACAGAGACGCTTTGCGAGAGAGTTGAGAAGAAAAAGGCGCGCAATTTTTTTTTCTTCTTTCTTTCAATTTCCGATACAATTAAAGTTTCTCCATTTTTCGCTTTTGAGCTCTGACAGCCTGGTTTTCCTTCTCACCATCTCTCTCCCGTTTCACATTGGGGCGAAAAATGTAAGAAGTCAGAATAAGTGGAAGTGAGAGCTTTAGTGAGCGAGTCTCATGACATACAATGGAAGACATCATGTTTATATTGCTAAAGTATAAGATTGAGGAGAATTTCATCTTCCGCATCACGTGGTTAATTAAAATATTTCGCTGACGTAAAGTTCGCTTACCTCGAATAGAATTCGGTGTTTTAATCTTTTCTGGATTCGCATCCTGACTACCATTACTGTTTCTATTTAATCCTATATTTGTACTAACTGTTGACGAAGATGATGAGGCAGATGATGCCGGAGGCATCGAAATGGCAGTTGGTGGTGGCGTTGTACTGTCGACTAAGTCTGGTCCATTAAAGCATTCAGTTGATGATCCCTGATTCATCAAACTGCTGCTGCTGCTACTGCTTCCTGCACCCAAGGCACCACCGTTTAAAGTATTAAACAGAATTGTTCCATGCTGATGATGAGCTAAGCTACTCGCACCACTGCAACTTCCAACATTCCTATGGCCGCTGATGTTACGAATTGCATCAATATCCAAACGATTTAACATTTTCTGACTTGAAAATGAAACCGTTTGATTGTTAAGGCCATTGTTGTTGTTATCTCTCGAGCTTCCACCACCAAGAGCTGGTGAAATAGTCAGAGTTCCATTTGAGAAGCTGCTTTGTTGGTGTCTCGCTTGTTGCTGTTGTCTCAATCCATCCAAATACAATCGATTATCGATTGACAAATTGGTAGAATGAGGTGGTTGGGATTGCACCAACTTGCTAGGACTCAGAATGGAACTTGGCGATGGACCAGACGACATTCCACCTTTCTCAGTGGAAGAAATTTCACTTCGAAGTTGTTGATGAGCATGTTGATGTAAATTCTTATTACTGTTCCAAATTTGTTGTTGAAAGAAGTTATTGAAGTTTTCCATGATCAGAAGTTGAAATAATTTTTTGATTTGCTTTTTTTTTGGTTTCTTTTATATTAAATTTTTCTTTTGATTTATAATCGAAAGATCTTCTTTTATCACGTTATGAATTTAACAGTTTTGATTTTAGGTAGGGAATAATAGTTTTATGCTTTGCAAGCTCATTTTAACGACCTTTGGTCGGACCCTTGTTCGTTTAATTGTTCCAATAATATCTTTAACAAAACAAACAAATGATCTTTTAACACAATAGTTTATCCCTGCACAGTTTAAACGACACTGATCTGTCGTAGTCAACAATAACTTTCAAAGAATCTTAGCTGTAATTACATAAAAGATTGCATATTGTAGTATTCTTTTTTTTTTCGCCGACACAGAAGCGTTTTGTGTCTCACGCTGAACTTTTTAAATACAGAAAAAAATATAAAAAGATGATACGAAAAAAAAATCGATGATGACTTTTTCATGAACCGAACCTTCCCCAACTGCGGGTCTTTGACTTTGCGATTCTCGTAAAAATTGCAATTCTTTTATTATTTTTTTAAATGCAAACAACAAAAACCTGGCGAACTTTTGTTGTGTAAATTTTCATTCCGTCTGGAGTAAATTGGAATTTAAGTTTTTTTTTTATAACTAACTAGGTGTGGGCTGTGATGTAGTGAGTGAGAATTTTCTGAAGTTTTCTACAAGTCGAACAATGTTGGTGAGAGTATGAAGAAAACTTTTTTTTTTGTACGATGTAGGAAGTGTTGGACTCTTATCACAGACAACAATGCAATTTTATTGCTTTTATCAACCAGTAATCGTCATTCTTGATAGGAAAATAAAAGAATTATGAACTCTTCATAGAGCGCTCTACTTTTATCGATTCACTGTTGTCTTCTATCTCAAGATTATAAACTAAACTCAATGATTTAAATCTTGGCTATTCTTTAAATTATTCTAACTTTATTTCATCATTCTTAAAGTTCAAATAACAAAAAGAAAAAAGCTTGCAAAATAGAAAGAAAAATTTTCATTATTTCAACTTTGTGATAGGTCAAGGCACGGAAATTGAAATTTCAAATTTTATGTTTTGCACATCGCCGCACATATGTCTCTGCTATTCCGCAGCACAACTATGTAAATAATAAAAAGGAATTTATGTGAGGCAAGGCATGGCACTTTAAAGTAGTTTTTTTCAACCCCTTTAAACAAGTTTTAAATCAATATTTTCTCTCCACCACTTGTACAACAATGAAAGAAAATGCTTTTCTGTTTGAGAGTGCACTTTAAAGTTGGATAAATTTAAACACAACTGGTCGTCTTCTTGTAATAAACTTTATCAAAGTTTTCTCATTTAAATCAATTTATAAATCAAGCGTAAGTTACCGCAAAAAAAAAAGTTCCACAAAAAGTCAGCACAAAAAATCTGAGGCCGTTAGTTACATTGCTAAATACTAGGGAAATGAATTATATGCAAGAATCACAAAAATAGCCAAGCGCGGCATCGCAACGACCTGAGGAAGAATACAAAAATAAATAGAAGGCAGTGCCGCTAGGAGTTCAAAAAACTCTTGCACGCACACAAACAAACAGTATCGAGTCATAGCCAAAACGGCATTTTGAGAATTTCTCGTGACGTCATAATTTGGGGGATGAGTGAGTAAGCAAATAAAATGAAAAAGAGAAGGAGAGAAGAAGTTTAGAAAAAGGCAAAAAGGCAAAGAACCGAAACATATGATTCAAATGCCGTTGTTTCTTGTCTTCGTGGTGTATTGTTCATGTCGGTATCTGATCGATATATGAAAAAAGAAAGCGAGATTTTGCGTTATGGTTTATGTTTAGTGACCAATTAATGCTCGATTTGGCGACAAAATGAAATTCTCTCACATCGCATACATCGTCAGTGGCCACTTAACCCATACAATCGCTAGCTCAATGCTAAATTAATATTTTTACTCGCTGCTTGTGTAGCATTTAATTCTGTATTCTTTTCCTTTTTTTGACTCGAAAAGTTTATTGACCATTGGGCAGGTTATTCTTATTCGTTTACTACTTTTTTTGTGGGTTAATAAGAATTTTTCGTCTTGAAGTTGAGTTCTAAATCTGACACTCATTCACATGCAATTACAACTCGTTTGTATTACAGGTAATTGTATAATTAATATTCCTCACAGAGTGATTGAATTTCGTTTGTTGCTTTCGCACAACAGAAATTAAAACTGTCTGAGTTGCAAATTTAACGAGATAAATAGAAATTCATTATGCAATCTAATTAGTAATTACGAAATAATTTTTGTCAATTGCATCTACATAGATTTTAACTATAGTTGAGGTGATGTGAATGTGACGTGTCGGGCATTATGGAAATTAAAATACAATGTTATCATGAATTATTAATTAGTGTCAATTATCAGAACGTTAAGAATCTCACTTTTCTATCGCACACGCGGGGACATTGAACTCACTCTTTTGATTGAATGCGATTTTGCTATTGATGGACATTTTTTCGCCAGTCATCTAATCGAAATATTATGCTGAAGGGAAGTTTTATCATTTTTTCTTTACAATTTTGCAAATTGCAATGCAGAGAAGAAAAATTATGAAACGTAAAATTCCCAAGGAAAGGTTTGTAAAATTCTTTAAAGCTGACGAGTCATATCGTAAAGTTAAAGGTCCGATTATTACACTTTAAATAAAAAGTTCATCGTAAATTCATTCTCATATCATCAAATAATAAATTTTCCTGCAAGTTCAGCGAGTTTTAATCCTGTGAATATGAATTTTAAAAATCTGCAATAGAATCGACAACAAGCTTCAATGCCATCATAAAGTCACGTTTGACTCGTCATTAAATACTTAATTGTTCGTTCTTTTATTTTATTTTAGATTGCACTTCTCCATGTTATTTATCAACAACATTTTTGAAATATTTTGTTTCTATTTTTATTTATTTTGATTAGTTTTTCGTTCGTCAAAAGTTCAAAAGCACTCAACTTTTTTCCTTCGCGATTTTTTCACTCACTTAAGAATTAATATTTTTTTTCTTCATCATTTGTTGTTACAATATAGGAATACATCATCACATGTGAATAGTATTGAACGAACACAGAACGAAAAAAATTAAATGTTGTTGATATTTTGGTGTCATTGAACTTCATGCATATGAAAATGTGTTTGAAGCTTTTTTTCTCTCACTCATTGTTGCGATGGAAAATTCATCATCACTTCAGCATTTTTCTTTTGGACTACTGCAGATTTTTATTTATTTCCAAATAATTATTTTACTTTTATGTTTTCCTGGTTGGTCTCCTTAAAATGCAATTTAATTCTCATTTTTTTTTAACTTTTTGATTAGTGCTGCTTCATTTTAATATTTTCACACACATTTTTCCGGGAAATGTAAGAGAACAAAAAAGAAATTTGAACGAGAAAAGTTCTTTTTTGAATATTAAGACGATTTCTATATCAATGATATTTTTTTCTTCCTTTGAGCGTCACTTTCCACACTGTCATCACTTCCGATACCGACTCGAAAATGACATTAAAGATGGGAAAATGGATGGGAAAATGTCGCTCAAGCAGGAAAAAAAAGATTCATCGAAATAAGATTTTTCCTCGACACGCGTTAAAATATTCCTTCTCATCGGAAATTAAAATGTTCACTTAGTTTTTCTTCGGCAGAAGTTTTTCTCGTTTCGCTGATTTAACGAATCGTTTGTTATCAATTTAAGTCTCTTTCGAATTTCATAAGCGTTTCAAGACTCATTATAAAATATTTCTTTCTTCTAAATATTTGTTATTCACTTGAGTTTTTCTTTTCACAGTTCAGATTTTATTTATTTATTAATTTGTGTTTTTGTAGACAACTCTTTAGAAAAGTTCGATTTAAATTATTTCTGATAACTTGTTTCGCGACGTCTTGAAACTAGGAAGCGAACAAAACTACAGAACCGCTGTAAACTGACGTTTAAAGGCACACGACGTTCGACGAGTTACAGAAACTGAATACTTCGGTAGAGTTCTCAGTGTTTTTGTTTGAAAGCAACTACGAAAAAAAATTATTTTTTATCGAGAAATTGTAAGTTCTACTCGCGTATATACGATTCACTCTCTCAGAGAGCACACTCGTTGCTTTTCATCTTTTCATGTGACAATGGGAAAATATCGCAATCGTTTAACTGTGTAAGTAATGAAGAAAAAAAGTTCTGAGTGAGTTTTAGACATTTTTTACATGGATGACAAGGCTGAGAATCGCGTTATCGTACATTGATCAGTATAGACAAATTCGCACGTGACGAATATATTGGAAAATTCGTTTTCTATTCCTAGACTTTTCACTAGTTTCTAATGTAAGAAAGTTGAATAGAAAATACTCTTTTCAATCTTTTCCACTTGTTCTCTTTAGCTCTTTACTAACTCTCGAAAAAAGAAACAGAAAAATTGCATCACTCTCGTCTAAAGTTTGAAAAACTCTGTTAGCAAATCAATCGTTCAATGAACGCTAAATGAAGAAGAGGCGGTTGTGGGTGAATATAAAAGACTAAAAGAGATACTTCCAGCTTTTTTTGAGGCTTTCAATTCATCACATATGCATTGATTGTTGCTTGAGGGAATCAAAATAAGAAACGAAAGAACTTGTACGCACTCAGAATTTTAAGCCATGTTTAATATTTTTTCACGAGTTTTTTTTGTAAAGAATCCCTTGAATGGAAGTCAAAAGAATGGAATCGATAAATAAAAAAAACCGCAAAAGAACTCAAAGGGCAGTTAATGTGGTTTTTCTTTATCACAGAAATATCACCGAATTATTACGCATTTTACTCTACCAAAAAAAGAAGTCCGCATATATCTTTCTCGATTTCATAAATTTTCAACTCAAAACTGGGAAGAAAGAAATAAAAGTCAATGACCTCGAATGAACGTTTCTCTCATACAAGCGGCTACAATGTATGAAATCATTTTTAGTTCCATTTGTAATCTCTTTTTTTTTTCGTTTCGGTACTAATACATGTTGGCTGCACCCAGAATGGGTTCTCAGTGCTCAGCTATTTCTTTTCCAAAAAATTTGTTGAGACGCGAGAAAGTTTTTCCGTCTTAAGTGTATGCGAAGATTCTTATCAGTACACCGCTATTTGAAACATTATCGCGCTTAAAGCTCGTAAAAATCGAAGGTATGTATTTTTGTTTATTCTGGCGAACATTCAACTCTGTTACGATGCGTGTTGCGGGTGGTTTACTTTTAATTCATATCGCACGATGTTTAGCTCGGTCATTCGACTTTCTTTCTTTCATTAGTTTCGATAACATTGACTTCTTCTAGGCCTAATTTGTTTATCCAAACATAATCGTAAATCAATCCTGCAAATTGTTTAATGATCTCTTTAACTTCTTTGAATACAAGCGTTAGCCTCACATCCAAGTTGTATCTTTTACACAAATAGTTGAATGTCTGAAGATTACATTGTGGAACAAAGTTGTTGACAATAAGATGAGTTCCTTAACATCTTTATGAGTGAGAGCGAGCATCATGAGGGCACTGTGTGAAAGCAAATGTCATGAAAAAGAATCGCATCTTTGCCAATTCCATCATTATCAATCTGTGGTGCATTGTCATCTTCTGATTCTAAATTGTGCATCAAAATTCCCATTTTCGTTCCAAAAACATTTCATAATGTAAAAGCTTTAATAATATCATCATTTTCTTTAATACTTCACTTAAGTTTTGCTTTATGTACAAAATGACAAAGTGAAGTTGAAGACAAGAAAAATTCTTCGTTATCTAAATGAATATCACTGCAGTGAAAAGTTTCTAAATGCAATCGGTTCTAGCGAAAGATTATGAAATTCTCTCCAATAAATTTTGAAATCCCATCAGAATTATTTAACACTTTTTTGATTGGTTAAGATATCAAATGAAAGTGGGGAAGAAATTGATGGAAATGCTGTCAAAACATCAAAAGATTCATTAATCAAGCATATATCATATAATATGAGATGTGACATCTAAACATAAAGATTTATTCTGTTTTCATTTAAGATCCTTAAAGATATTTCATAAAGATTGCTGAAAAAGAAAATGGAAAAAATGAGGAAGTTGCAGGTGAAAAACCTCATCATTTTCGTTCTATCGGTAAATTAATTTCTTTCTTCCTCCATTCAAGTTGTCGTTGGAGAAAAACAAATTGAAGCACTTTTGACTCATTTCCTCATTTAAACGAAAGTATCTTGTTCATAAAAACCTTTTTCTTGATTTATTAAAGACATTTTCATTTCTGTTGAGCTTTATTCAACTTGATCTTCATACTGATGTCGGTTATGTTTAAAGCTCAACTGTACATTGTAGATAAGCTCTTACGGGTTTTTTTCAATTCTTACCTGAAATTAAAAAGAAAAAACGGAATCAATTATAAGTTTTTTATGAAAAAGTAAGAAAATAATATTCAATAACTTTGTAACATGAATTAAAATGTTCATAACGTGAATGATGATTGGAATGGAAGGAGAAACGGTGAATTATGTTTACGGTAGTTGATGAATCTGAATTTCTAATGTAAAAATAATTATTTCATACAATAATAATCTTAATTCGTCTTGTTTGTATCATTTTCTGATATCTGGTAATAATTATGCGACTACAAATGAATCTTAACTATTTAAAGGTCTTATCAGTGAAAATTTACATAAAAATCTTTTGAAAAGTCTAAAAATTCATATTTTACGAGGCTGATGATATTATACATCGTGGCTGGTTACCAATTATGCAATCAATTCGCTTTGGATTTACGCATTTTGCACTCGAGAGAAAGTTTACTATAAATTGCTTTTAATTTGTACCTCACAACATTGTTTGGAAACATTAATTTTTTTAAAGGCCATTAAAATTTGCAATTGTTGTTAAAATGTCACGGAATGTATCGAAGTTAACTTTTATTGATTCTACGCCGCTACATATGGGGTGGAGAAAAAGGAATTTAAAATGTCAAGTTCTTAACATAGACACGAATATCTTATTGCATTTGCATGTTATTAAGTTTCTCTTTCATTTTTTATCTTGATGTAATTATTAAAAGTCAAATCATAAACGACGATTTATTGTATTTCATTTCTAATAAACTCAAACTTTGTTCGTTGCGTAGCAAACGTCGCACAAACAATTAGTGGCGATATTTTTGAATTTACAAGTTGAAAAGAATTTTCTGTTCTCCTCAAGGAAACTTCTGAAGGTTTGAGAGGAAAATGAACTGTGGAAAACATTTGTATGAAAATATTTCTTTCAATTCAATACATTTAAACATTTTTTGCCCTTATCAAAAAAGAAAAGTAATTTAATTTAGTAAATCACAAGAGAGCGAGATCGTAAAGTGAGAATCAAGAATGAAGATGAGAGAGAATTTTCGATAGAAAAGTAAAAATGTGTTAGAAACCACACAAATGTTCGTACACTTGAAAGTATAGAATAAGAGAGGACAATGACCCATCATCGAACGGTGACCCAATTCCGACAGCTTTAGGCGTATTGCATCTTCGTGAGTTTTCGCGTGTATTTTCATTCTTTCCTACGTTCGGTGAGTTCATTTTATTCTCTTTAACTAATCAAATTTTACGTCTCATGTTCTCTCCTTCTCCCTTTTCAAGCACATAAAAAATGTCTATGCTCTCATGTAAATAAACGCAATCATTTTGAAGCTATGTCATAAAATGGGAATATCAGTTCATTTACATAATTTTACCATTGCACATGAAAAATGCTTTTTGACTGAATATATTTTATTTTCTTTGGAAATTATTAGATTTATTTGGGATGGTGGAAACAGTTGATGCATAAAATCCCACGAAATTTCTTATTTTCTGAATACATCTTGTTATGCTTCTTAGACAAAAGCGAGGCATCTTTAAAAGCGTTGTTGAAATGAACTAAATGATGTCACGTGCAGTCAGTTGAGTGCATAATTTATGACTTAAAAGTAATGAAAGCGTTTTCCTTCAATTTCACTCTGAACGATTTTTATATTTTTGTCATTTATTTATTTATTTTTTATTAATCACACGTTCGAACATTATTGCACATCCTAATAACTAATTATGAATTTGTGATGGTGTTGACTTTGCAAAAATAAAGTTTTGCAATATTTGTTCACTCTCATTTTAATTTCAATCGCTCATTCTTTGAAAACTTTTCTAATATTCTCAATTTATTCAAATTTTCATGCACTGCAAAAATTAAATTATAAGGAAAGCTTCCTGTCGTTGAAGCTTTTTTGTTTTTCATCACTTAAGTGTTATCGATTCGATGTTTACTACAATTTTTTTTATCACCGTCAGCTTTTACTTTCTACGATAGTTTTCATTCCATCACAGTTAACATCTTCCGGTGACCTACAAACGTAACAACACTAACATGATGTGCAACTAATTAAAGTGTAATAAATCATAATAAAGTTAATCTCTTTGTGAGAATTCCGATGTGTAAAGTTGTAGGTAATACAACAGAAAAAAAAGATCTAAATGCAGTTTACTCTGTCCATGTCTTTGTAGATATTTAAAAAATTGTTAATACAAAAAGTGATAATGCTATAAATCAAGTATTGTTAGTCATTAAATTATTAAAATACATTTTGATATCTCTTGGAAACATTAAAAATTTCTCTGTACACGTTTTTATTTAAAGGTTCGATGCAGAAGCCGTTAAGAAACTGAAGTATAAAAATATGTGAAACTACAAATCATAAAAGTCAACATTATGCTGAATTATTAACAGTTTTATGATCATTTAGCGAATAAATCAATAAAGTAGAATTTTGTTGAATAAATTTATGTAATTTAAATAAATTGAATTTAAAATCCTTTGAAATAATTTTTTAATCGTCTCTAATGAAGAAATTAAGAAGTTACTGAATTAATAATTTTGCATTTGTTTTCAAATTAAAAACAACGCAATTGAATTCGTAAATATTTATGGGAATCAAATTTTATTTATTCGTAAATAATCCGATTGAAGTTTACTACACTTTTGTACTCATCTATGAAAAATTAATACAATTTAATTGCATAGAAAGTTAATTTATTCAATAATAAAAAATTTCAGTTACAAGTTGCTTGTTGTTGACATTTCATTAAGTTCTGAGTTGGTCATGCAAGAAATGCAAAACAAATCCATCTTTCATGTTCGATCTTTGAATGTTCAAAAGCCATCAATTAGCCTGAAAAGCATGTTGAAATATTTTGCTTCTCATAAATTGCAACAAATTTAATTATTTCTGTTCATTTTCCAACTGATTCAGAAGTTTAACGATAAATTGCTTCGAGGGAAATCTTAATGGTGTAATGATGGAAAATATCAATGTCTGATATCGTCAAATTGTATTTCCGATGAAGTGTTTTGCAATTTCCCTTTTTAGCGTAAAACTTGTGCAAAGGTTTTGAATTGAAAAGCAAAACATATTTCGATTGAAGTTTGATGGATACTTGATAAATATTTTGCTGAAGGTTTGTTTTCAATGAAAACAATTGATTTCCCGTGACCAACAAAGAGGTTTTTTTTTCGCAAACGATCTTTTCGACCAAAAAAACAGCACATAGAACAATGGATGGTGTTTGCGTGTTGGAAAATATGAAACAAAAAGCTCATTAAAACATAATAAATTGAATAATTGGGAAATGGTAATCGTGATTGATGCAATAAATGTGACAGTTAAAATGCATTCAATGAATAATGCCGCAATTTAATAAAGAACTTATTCGAACTTATGTACATACAAATTAATCTTGTTAATGTCATAATAAAATGTAAAATTAATTTCAGCCACACTAACAGTTTTCAATATCTTGATAATGAGTGCTTAAGATTTTACTTCTTTATGCTTAAAGCAACTTCTATCGATACTAATAAATTACAGAATTATGCAATGCACTTGAAGTTGACTTGTACCCGAAGCGTCTTCATGTCCATTCAATAACAAATCGTGCAGCTATAATCACTGTTTTCAAACCTGTTCTTCGTCAATAAGAAATAAGAAAAATTAAGTATGATAGAAATGTGAGAAATGAAAATAAAAATCACAGCACTGAGAATAAAGCAGCGAGTTACCTCATGTCTCTGTCCGTCCGTCGTTTTTTTGCTTACTTGTATATGTATGTTTATTACGAATAGAAGCGAAGAAAAATAAAAACTAATCGTTATTTTGTGCAAACAAAACGTCCTTGTCGAAGTCTGTTCAACTTTGTCCCACATTATTTCTAAGTTTTTTTTTTTTCGATTCAATCAGAAAACGGCTTCTAATGTATTTATTATTGCATATCCATTTGCTATTCTTTTTGTTATTGAATCTCTTCGTTAATTGATTGTAACTATCTAATATCTGGCCTTTTATGATCACTGCTAGATATAAAAAAACATTCAATAAACATTCTTCATAAGTTGATACTTATTTCGATTTTCGAAAGAATCAAACATTAATGAATGACGTGAAAATTCTCAACTTAATGCAAAATTTTCTTTGCACAATCTTTGCAGATTTCAAAAATAATTTTCAAAGTCCTTTTTCTCACCATAATACGAATTTGCGATCAACAAACAACATTGAAAATGATCTCCCGAAGAGTCATCGATGTGACGTCACATAAATAGTACAAAATCAAAAGCCATGCAAGCGCAGTATGATACATTTGTTTTGAGTGGAAATATGCCAAGCATTAACGCCAATGTTTTTACAGTTTCTGTTTTTCTTTGTAAGACATCATAGCTATAGCTGTAGATTTTTAATGATTTTTTTTTCTTCTTTCTTTTTCTACAACAAAGTTAAACTTTTGTGAATTTGTTGCGATAGGTCGTGAATTTTCGCATATAGCGAATAGAGCGAGTCTTGTTTGTGATATTCTCTGAGTGACGCCAATTTAATAGTAGTCGTCTTACAATTATTCATGCAACGAAATGCATAGCACACATGCAATGTTCTCAAATACATAGACATTGCATTAGCTTTTTGCGCAATTTCTATATCATGTCAGAAGCATAAGGAGATGAGTCGCTCTCTCATTCTGCTTCAAGTTTTTAGCGAACATAAGACCGATTGTGCAATGGTATGCATGCACTTCATTCGTTACCTCTCTCTATCTCTTGATACTTGCAAGCAAGTGTGTGAAAATATTTTTGCACTAGCATAATAATAGAACACTCGTTCGGGAAGCATTCCTAAAATATTTCTACCTTCATCCGAAGTTCGGACCTACCCCAATATTATTCATGTTGAATTTGCAATTCTAAATGTGCATAAAATTGATGCACTCACATGTTATTTTTGGATTTTATTCTCCGTTACTTTTTATTTCTCTTTGTTCAGATTTTATTGTTATTATTTGCGCTTATTTATGGATATGTTGCATTATGTATTGATGTCATATTAAATTTAATAGCTAAATGCAATTTTCATTGCGTAAAATGCGTTTAAACCGAGACAGTTTTTCTTTTTTTAAATTAAAGTTGTGTGTAAGTTTATGCAATTTATTATTAAACGTTTTTCCCGGCAATCAGAAACGCAAACTTGAATTGAATTTGTTAATTTTTGCAGTGTTATGTAATTGGTTTTTTTTTATAATCATATATCCCATAACAGGTTTTTACACCTATGCACTTGTATTTTGATTTTGATTAGCATGTATAAGCATCTCTGTTAAATAAAGATATTTATCTAAGGCTATAAGACATCTTGCGAGTAGTCGTAAATATTGCATTTAAGTGCGCAACTATCCTCGAACTTTTCAATTTCTTACTCTCTCATTGTGTGAATATAAAGCGATTAATACGAAGCAATATTAAAGCCACTGTCAAATAAAACAAAACTCTTTTTCGCACTAACCTACTTAAGAGCCCATGAAACAAATGATAAGGGTTAATTAATTGTGAAATTATGCAAACTATTCTGTTGGCGAAGCACATGAAAGAAAACCTTTATAAAAGTTTTGCAAAGTTATGACGAGTTGCACTTCAGTTTGTCATTAAAATAAGAATATAAAATTCCTATTCACTCAAACCTCGAGTGATGTCATCAAAGTTTCTGCCTTAAGTAGATAGAAAAAAGAGCTTATAAAATCCAATTGAGCTTAAAGAAAAAATAAATCGCATTGAAAGAAACTCAATTGATCAGAAGCAATCAATCACATAATTTTAAAATCCTCAGAAGCGATTCACAAAAGCATTAAAAGTTCTAAAAAAACTTCATTGATGCATCTGACAATGTTGATTTATTCATCTCAGCTTCTGAGTCTTATCTAAAATAATTAAGGATATTTATCGGGAAAAAGAAAAAATTATTTACGAGTTTCAATTTTGACAGAACTAACCATTTAAAATTAATTTTTACTGCAATTATAGACCACACGCAAAATGAAATTAAAAATAATTTCTTGTATTTATTATTAAAGCTTACAACTTCGTTTTGTGTTGGTTTAGCTGATGTAAAGGATGGTAACCCGCTAGTAATATTTATTACGTAATGACTCACAAATAAAAGAGTTTTAAACAGTTTATGTGATGAATACAGCAAAGAAAAAAAAAAAACCAGCAAAACAACAAAAGCACCCGATTTAAATATGAAAAGAGAAAGTATAACATTTTTAAAAAAGCTCAGCGGTGTTTTCATAGCAACAAACAATAAAACCGCAATAATGTGTGTGAGTATAAGCAAAAATAAAAATAGTAAATAATAAATATGATAGAAATACAAAATAAATAAATCGTCGGCGTGCATTGAAACTTCACAATTTCATTATATTATTTTTTCAATGACATATGAATCCTTTAATTAATGAGAAATTTAACTTAGACTGCATTTTCATATGAGATTTATTTATGTAATGCTTTTACTTTTGAGAAAACAATGAATTGGAATTTTAAGTTTCATTTAACGATCCCGTGAGATCAATAAAAAAGAACTTTGATAACGAAAGCTTCTTAAAAATATCCATGAAGCTTGTTTACTACTGTTGAACAGCTCACGAAGGAAAAGCGATTAAAAGGTAAAGAGAAAAGAACCGCTGCTTCACACACATTTCACTTCTCCCGCAATTCTCCGTTTGTTTCGTCTCTCTTTTCATTTGGTGCTTCGTCATGAAACATTATTTCGGCTGGAATTTATTTACAGCTACAAGTAACATTAAACTTGTTTTTTTTTTTCTTCATTTCCATCCATTTTGCGCTTTCTTCCAAAAGCCAATTCATACTTCTCTTCGACAAAGAAACCGTTACCAGAGAATTACGGAATTACCTAACTGTTTTTTTCGTTTTGCTTTTCTGTTTCTTTTCTTTCTCAACACTCCGCCATCGTCTCGTTTTTCTCGTCTTCTGTTGTGCTGGTAACTGACAATTGTCATGCTTAAAACATATACTACACGCTCGTCCAAACTTCGAACCAAATATTCAACTTACGGTTGTGATGGGAAAAACTTAACTGTTTCCAAAAAAATATAAAAAAATGTTCGTGATGCTCATTTTTGAGGCGATTTTTGTATGCGGTAATGTTGAGATCGTGAAACATAAGTTTATGCGATTAAGCAGCATAATAATAATAATAATGCAATGATATGAATCGCGGTTATGTTTCTTTAAAAAGATTTCTGTATTAAAGACAATGAAACGCGTTTTCTTTTTATTTTAATAGTTAGAAAAAAAACAATTTCAGAAACGACTTTGAACATCAAGATAACACAAAATGGATGATCTCGGTATTAGCTTGAACATCTCGTGTTGGTGATAATCTTGGATATAAGCTAAGCTAAATGATTCTCAACAATTAAAAAATTTATTCATTTTTGGTGCAATGGAAAAACCAAAAGTTAATGAGAATGACTACGACTCGTACATGCTTAATAAGCTTCTTGCCTATTCCTCCATTTCACGTTCTAATGTTGTTCGTTTGTTAACTTGTTAATGTAATTATTCTCATATCGCTTATGAAAAAAAGAAACGAATGAATTAGAAGAAGAAAAGTTCTTCGTTGTGACACACATTTTGCTTATTCTGAACGATGATTCGGAAAATAAATAAAATTTATTTCTGGTTTTTTGGCGCTGATTACTCGTTCTGAATTTTTAACGCTTCAAAGACAATTTTCTGACAGTTGTTTTAAGTGGCTTAATGCAACTTTGAATGAAAATGAGTTCGAAAATTTATATTTTCATTTATACAAAAGCAAATTTCAATCTTTTTCTCGTGGTTCCGTTTTTCGAAAGTTTCAACATTTTTTAATTACTTACGGATTTGCTATTTGGAATGTCTGATGGAATCAGGTTTTTTAAAATAAAAACGTAATGTAAGTTATAGATTTCCTTTTTATATTTATCAGCTACTTTAATTGACTTGTTTATCATCATGACGTCTTAGAGTTTGATGCAATTACAAGAAGCTCAAACGAGTGGTTTTTGTTACAATAGCCACTTCAAGACACTTTGAAGATTCAAAAGCTTTAATCCATCTCTTCATATGATAATAAAATTCACTCTTTTCCGTTATTACGACATCTTTATGCCACACATGCGTGCGTCGTATACTTTATGTTACTTTTCCCATTAATTTGTTTGACTTTCTTTCTTTTCCTAACTGGATGTTTTGTTAAAGATTTTAATTAAGACACGCCGTTTAGATCATTAAAAACGTTTCTCTAAGGAGAAAAAGAAAAAATTAAACCGTCTTATATTTTTTTATTAAATTTTAGCAGATATTATTTATACATATGGTGTAGATGGATCTTTCTTCTATTATTGAATGCTCTAATTGGTGATTGCTGTTAGTAATGAGAAGCTCGCTAGAAGAAGGTCTGATTTACGCATGATGAAAATGATGGGAACTGTAAATGTTTTACTTCATAACGGAGTGATGTGAAACATAATTATTAGTGAATTGTTCATGTGCAGCTTCAAGAAAAGATTCTATAGCAGAAGCAATTTTGTCTTGATTTAATCGGTACATGAGTGATCAATAAAAAGCTGTTTGATATCTTACAACTTTTTATATTATCAATTTTTTTGTTCCACGTAAGCATACAAATAATGAAAAAATTGTTGACAAGTACAAATAACGTTCTATTGTATTATATCGCGGTTTTGAGTGGGCCACTTGCGTACAATGAACTCGCAAATAAAAAACATTCGCTGCTTGTCGAACGAATGAAAATTCTTAAAAACAGAAAAATTCTTTTACGTTATTTATAAATAGAAAATAAATATAAAATGATCAAACATAATTCATGAATGAAATTTGACTTGATAACCACTCAAGTGCGCATTTCTAATACAATAAAAGCTTAAATGGATGGCTTCAAAATGATGAAAGCCTTTTTCATCTTTGGAATATTATTTACTGCTTATTTATTACAAGCTTCATCATCGTCACGAAGCATTTTAAGGAATTTTATTTTCCTTCTCGTCGCTCTCTCTTTTTTCCTATGTGGAACTTTTATGGCTAATACTCGTAATGGGCCACACCTTTGGAGACATTAATGGAGATTTACAATAGAAAACAACCCTCATAACTGTAAGAATCATCATGAGTGTTTATCTCATTAAAATCTATTCTAGCTTGCCGTATGTAGGCAAGCAAAAGTTGGAATTATGACCGATCATCAATAAAGCTAACGACACTCGTTGGGACGACCAAAGTTCAATTAATTAGTGACACTCAAGTTATGAAAATTTTTTTACCTTTGATTGATCCACTCGATGAGTTTTGTAGTTGGGTTTGTTGAATATTCGTTTGAATCTGTGTTTGAGCTTCTAGTTTGGAGGTGACAGAGCTCCACATATCAAACATTCTGGACGTAAACATCTAAAATGTTTCCTTTTTATCTTACAATTATTCGTTTAATGTTTTCTTCAGTTTTTTGATTTTTTTTTCACTTGATAAACACTAAAATTGTTGTTTACGTTTTTCCTATTTTTGTCTTTTAAAGGTTAGACAAACAAGTTCAAAAATTATTAACTTATTAAGTTAAGTTTCATGACCGGTAAGAGTTCATTTTCTTCATCTTGAATGGACTTGCAGTGATGAAATTGATTTTCTTTTTGTGCTTCCAAAACATTGAAATGGCCATGAGGGAATCTTTATCTTTTATATTTTCGGCAACTTGATGTTATTTGGATATCACTTGCGATTAATTCGGCAGTGTAAACTTTCACATTGCGAAACCACTTAAGACGTTTTTATTTTTATTTTTTCCTTTCAAGACTTTGTGCTTCAGAAATGTTATACACACCTTAAAGTTTTATTGTATATATTTTTTATTTCTCTTCTTTTTTTATTATTTGGTATTTCTCCTATCTCTTTCAACAAACTAAAATCGTCTTACAACATTACATAATCTTTACCGGTTCACGAAAATTTCCTTTTCTTTTTATTTGCTTCTTCAACGATACTTGTGCATAGAATTGTTATCTAAATGCTTTAATTAAGCATAAATATTGTCTCTGCGAATAAATATTTTGATGTAAAAGATTTAAATGAGAAAACATATGAAGGCGACGATGAAATGACGTGTTGTGGAATTATCCGAGAAATCATGAATAAAGTTTCACTTTCAGAAACTGCAAATTTGTCATATCAAATGAAAATTCATTTGAGGCTATTTTCTTAGGAAATTGAAATGATTAATAAAATTACAAGGTCCCCAATATACATTATTTAGCTAATTAATACTTCAATCTATCGTTTACAAATAAATTTAAAATTTCTCCTGCTGGGCATTTCCCACGCTTCTTATTTCAATTTGTAAGCTTCTCTTTCGTTTGTCTTCAATAATTTACATCTTCTGCGATGCACTTTTGTGCGTGAGTGGGTAGCATCAGCTTCATATAGAATATTGTTTGACATTAATCACAGTCGCGAGAGATCTTAGTCTCTTGGCACTTAAGAAAAATAGCAACAGTCATTAATATTTCGGAAAATAACAATTTTTCAACAGTAATGAAACGCTCAAGAAGCGTATAAAATATCTAAATAATATGACATAAGACTCGTGAAGTGATTGAGGAGAAAGAGACTCAAGTCTACGTGAACACCAACGAGCCGAAAGAAACGGCAGGCAACACAAATAACAGTGACTTAGACTTTCACATTTTTAAAGACGAAGAAAAAGAAGAAAAAAGATTTGTAGGAGCTTAGAGTGGCAAATTGAAATATAATTGAAAGAGCTGTGATTGATTGCATTGGTGAACTGATAGTACAAACACACGACAAAAGCTGTTCAATTATTCAGAGAGTTAATAAGATTCGTTGCATTTCTACCAAAAAAAACGACTCGTTCAATAAATTTATGAAAAAGGAAGGAAAAAAATGCGGAAATCACGCAGTCGAATCAATTAATCGAAACGAACATGTCGAAATTGAATGGAAGAAAGTCATGAAGACATTTTTCGTAATTTATTTCAACTACACCCCCGCTTAAAGTGAATGTTCACATAATTTAAACTTTTGATGAAAGTCGAATGGTCAACACGAACGAGATTAGTTTTGGATTATCTCAAAATCTCGTAATCAAAAAATAAAAGACGGATGACATTTTACGGTATTTGACACTTGTTACACATTAAGATGCGAAATCAACTGCAAGACATTTAACGAGTTCATCTTTAATTTTATTCTCCCGCGCTTGTAACTTTTCTTTTATTACAATGAGAAAAATGCATCGTCGAGAATAAAAGATTGTTAAGCTTTCTCTTCATTTTGTTTTCATCATAAAGTCATCTCTGGTAGCAGAAATTAATTTTTTTTTGTGTGCTTTGACGATAAGATGGAGGGAGCTTGAAGGAAAGTCATTCAAGAGTAGTTGAGATTTGTTGAGAGATGCAAAGTTAACAATTTCCATTTTATCAATTCTTTAGAGAGTTTTTGAGTAAACAGATTTCAATGTACTAGTTTTGAGTTTTCAACCCATGAAAAATGCATACATTCTCAGCGAGATTTCTTTTAGATCATTAATCATCCGAAGTAAAAGAATGTTGGTTGCAGTAAAATTTTATCACTGCAATGAAAGAATGAAAGCAGATAAGCGATAACAAGAATACGTATCTTCATGAAATAATCTCGCATTTGAAATTTAATAAAATTAAGTTGAGAATTGGAATGGTAAAAACAATCTCACAACAGCATTGAACGAGTGCATGAACCAAATGTGTGACAGTTTTCCCTTCGCTTGCAAACCACACACATTCAAGCAGCTCAATGGTCACATGAAAATCAGATGAGAATTTTCCTCACGAGCTTGCTGCACTGAAAATGAATTTTTTGTGTCATTTATCGTTCTTTTGACTTCACTCTGATACAAAATAAACAGAATTTCATCTCGCTGTGTTACAAGAGAGCTATCATGTGTGCGGAGGTGGACTCTAAATGAATTTTTTTTAGATGCAATGAATTTAGAAGAGAAAAAACCTCTTAGATTGAATATTTATTTTTCATGAAATAAACTAAACTGTTTTGAAGAAATATCTAAATTCTTTCCAGCTCGACGATTCTTAAAGTTTTTTTTTTCTTTGATTATTTAGAGAAAGTCTTAAAATGTTCAGAAAATCAAATGACAAGAAATTCATTGCAACCGGTGCATGTAATCTTTTGTTAAATTGAGGCGATTTTATTTTGATATCAAATGCAAGTATCAATTGAATAAAATTCCTTATCCCCTGACATATAATCACAGCAGTTGGTCGACTTTAATCCACAGTAAAGTCCTTTTTATAATCCTTAATTTTGTAAGTGCACTTTCTTCTGTCCCGCTGAACATTCCACATCACAAACATTTCAACATTTCATGTTCTCATTTATCATCAAAGTTTTAACAATTATTTTTAAATATTCACTGGATTATTTTTCTTTTCCTTTGCAAAGTTTTATTTATTTATTTTAGAAAACAGCAAAACTACAAAAAACGCATTGGATTTGATTATGTTGTTGTTCTCACTCTCTCATATCTCTTTCTCTCTCTCTCTTTTTCTCTTTCTGAATATTCACCACCAACATAACAGCCGCGCAGAAACAAAATACATTAAAAAAAGTTTTTTTAAATGAAATTATGCAATTAAGTCGTCGAGTGTTATGTAAAGTGAAATTTATTTTTTATTTTCGTTGTCTTGTACGGGCGCGCGAGATTGACATCGGGGACCGTGGCTGCTTCCGAAAAATCTTCTTTTTCTTTTAATAAATATTTTCAATAAAATTTCCTCTAGGAAAACAACGTAGAAATAACTTTTCACGGCGGTTGTATAAACTTGCACTATTAAAATATGATGTTTACTGATCAACTTTTAAAAGGCCTCCAATTTGCTTGTAGTTTGTAAAGTTCTTTCGAGAGAATGAAAACTGCAAATCACTTGAATGAAATTTTCTTTTCCTTCTAGATTTTGCCTTTTCACACGAATGTCAATAAATTTTCTTGTCCTCACGAACGCGTAAATATTCTGAACAACTGCAGCAATTTTTCTCTCGAAAGAAAATAAAAAAAATCACTTTGAGCTGCGCTACGACCGAAAAAAAGTTTCGCTTGAGCAAGAAAAAAAATAAACGAGACGCGAAACATACGCGATGCACTCGATCTGAGGTTCGGTGAAAGACTAGCTATAAACATTTCCACTACTCCATTTCAATCCATGCTTTTGCTTTAACGAAGCAACAAAAAAAAATATGAAATTGAATAATATGAACAAAAAGTATACGAAATACAAGAACAACAAAAATATGTGTGTATAACTACACAACAACAGTAAAATGGGTTTTTATACGAAAATAATAACGTTTGTAATGTGTAATGTTACGAATTTATCCACAAAACCCAAGTGTTGTAAAAGTGTATTGCCTGATGGATGATAATACATTCACAAGACACAACAAGAAATTGCAAACTTTTCTAGATGGAATCACCGTTGTTTCTATAAACAAGCATAACAATTACGCGCATCAGGCAAATCAAATAAAATTATGAATAAAAGCTTTTAAGCATTCTTGTTCTTTTCTCGAACTAAAAAGTTCCTCTACTTCGAGCTCAATCCACTCAGACACGTAACAAGCTTCGTTCGTGATTCGACAATACGCTCAATTCTCTTTTTTTTTTGGTTTTTTCTTTCTTTTTTTCGAAAACTATACGAAGAACTGTAAAGAAAAATTGTACAGTAAATCTTCATGAATAACGCAAACATTTACAGATTTAGAACAATCAACATTTGTTGATTTTTCTTTCATTTTCCAGAGCTTTAAAGTTTCCTAACGCTTTTCGTGTATGATGTGATAATTTTCGTAGCGATATTATATCATAATTTAATTTTTATGTTAATTACACAAGATTTAGATCTCTGATAGCGGTTTGCGACTCTTCGTTGTTTCGTCGAAAGTTGGTCAGTATTAAGTTCCTTTTCATCATGTATAAAAATGGGTGCAAAACACCTTAATCAAATTAACATTTTCATGTATTACAAACACACACAAAGTTGAGTTGAAGACTTAAGTTTAATAATCAGGAATGGTTCGAAAGTTACGTTACCGGTTATGAATTCTTTTTTGATAATTTCCAATTGATTGCTATGATTTTGAACATATTTGATGAACGTCTTTCTGATGTTGCATGCACAATTTATATATGCGCAAAAAATATATTTATTGATAAACAAATATAAATTAACAATAACCGTTGACGATGAAGACCAACCAGGAAACTTTCTAAAATTATTATATTTACATAAAATTATTTATTCACAGACTTCATTTATTATTTTTTTCTGCCAGGTAAGAGACAACTTGTGTTAATAATCACTGCAGATTTTATTCAAATTCATCCGATTAAGATGAATGGATAGACAACTGGGCGGTGTATTTGAGTTTTGATGACAGTTAAAAGTTTTTTTTTCATCCTTCCAAAGATCAGGTTAATGAGTGATGAGAAGAAAGTGTTATGCAATAAACTCGCCAAATTCGCCAATTTGTAAAACCATAATCCAGCTTTAAATTTACGATTTCAATTCTTGATCAAAACGTTAACCGTTGCTGTGTCCGTTAACATTCTCAATGATTATAAATACATTTAGCGTGAAATAAAAAACTGAAAGATTTTTTCTTCTATATCTATGCATTTGTATACCTAGTTGGTTGTAATAATTATAAGTTCAGTTAAAATTTCAATAACAACTGTAATGATTTGAGTGAATCTCTGTAGGCTTTAATTTTTATTGAGCCGGAACCGGTCATAATTTAATTACGATCTGCTAAGATTGATTCGGTATCGATCATTCCCATCTATAAATTATGACTGTCATTAGAATGAGTGATTGAACTGTAAATCACAACACTTGGTAGAGAATCTGCGCTTCATCGTGAAGCAAATATGCATACATTCAAATCAATCATTGCACAATATTGCATTTCCATGCTGCATGATTCTTTTTATTTATTTATATGAAGCAGAGATGAAGCCATATGTTCATCGTTCACATGCAACACACGCATCTAATGTTTGCTCAATATCATTTGTTTTTCTTTCAATTAGATATTTAAAAGTGTTGTTGCTAATATTTGATAGTTATTTGTTTTCCTTCTCCTTCTGTGATGTTTGTGAATTTAAAATATTTAAAGAAATTCAATTCCTAGTTGCGCATTTCAAGTAGCATCTTTAGAATTTCACAGACTTCAGTCTCTCCTTATATATTCATTACAGATGAGTATATAACTGCACTTGTTAAAACTATCCAATAAATATCTCATTCACGTGCTTCACTGCGCTTGATTTCTTGATGGTGTTTAAGAATGCATTTGTATGCATTTTCATCTTCACAAATCGAATGAACGAACACAGCCGGTCTCTTTGTTGAAGATGGAGTATTACATAATAATGGCTATCTAATAGCTTTTCAACAAAATACTGTTTAATTTTTCAATAAATAATATTTAATGTGAGATTTTATATCTTTAAAAACATTTCGCTTAACCTGAATTGAATTATTTATTTGCATAGATTTAAATTTATTTTATTTTGCTATTAGATAGTTTTAAAATATTAAGTTAAATGGCAAAGCATTGATAATGAGATTATATTGAAGTTCTTATTGGAGTTGGAGACAAAATTCCTTCAGCAAGGCGTCATGTTTAATCATTCATTTCTAATCTGAGATATAACTTTAAACATATGCATAAAGATTGCGTAATTGAAATACTTTAAATTTCTTATATCATTCTTGCCCCTTTTTCTGATCATTACAACAGCTTAGCAAATGGACAAAAAATGAGACAAAATTGCATGCATTCGATTAACGCAATAAATGTGCGATGGTGAATTGATTTGTAGCCATAAACGCAATGTAATAAATTATATTTTCCCGATCTGAAAAGTGACATACTGGTGAATGTCGTCGCGTTTTTTTCTTCATCTGAAATCGTGAAATGTTGATTTACGCAAACTTCGCTGTTAGAATTGGCAGAGGTTGGGGAAAAGTGTATTAAAAAGCTTACCAATCCCCTAAAGCCCATTAATATATGTTTCTTGTAAGTTAATGCGTTTCGCTTGATGTTACATAATCGGTCAAAAGTGCATTTTATAATTTCCCGTCGTTTTAAGTCGAAGTATCAACGATAGCTCGATGCTTAATTCATTACATAGCTGCGAAAGGTAAAACTGTTACTTTAAATTTATCGTCAGAAACGTTTTTCCTGCGCCAACAGTTGGAGGGAGCATAACGAGGAATAAAAGCGTGTCTTTATAGATTGTAAATGCAAAATTCAATTTAGAATGTTATGTCTTTTATGTTAATTTTGCGTGTTAGAGACACACAGAGTTAAATGCTAATAAAATTTTCAACATTAGTTTTGATTTTATTCTCATGCAAATTGAAGATTTTTGATGTTTCGTATCTTGAATTTTAATTTATGAACTTTCAAAAATCAATCGAGTATTATATGATAACTTGCTTAAGGATATTTCGTAGATAAGTTCACGCCCATCAGCTGCTACTTTTCCATAAGTGATCATAATTTTCTGTTGCAAAACTCTTAAATGCGTGTCATTAGATATATCTGCATATGTGCATTTTTTTCATATTCAAATTGATCGAGTTAATGTTTGGTTTGCGAAAGAGTAGATTTTAATTTACTTGTGATCAAATCAAGCACAAAATTGTACACAGCATAATAGTGCACGACAAAAAATCATCATCAAAGTGCAACGCATATGGTTATTCGTTACACTTATAAATTAATGTGAACACGCTTCATATTTTTTTTTCTCGGTGTTTAATGTTCAACAATGTAGTTTCGCAACATATAATGAGAAATGTTTAAACAATAAAGAAAATCGTTAACATTATTTTATGTTTTGAGTTCAAACATATTTTCAATATATGTACGCAGTTTATAAATTGCTTGAACTTATCTTTATTGTTTCTATAGATAACAATGATTTCAATTTCATTTACAATTTTGCATAATAAGTTATACGCAGTGTCGAATTTGAATAGTTTGGAGCATAAAATTAAGGATAATTTGTCCATTAAAAGCATGACATCATAAAATTTCACATGATGTTGAATTGTCATCCTAATTCAATTCGGTTATACATAAATTTATGTTATAAAATATTTTTCCTGCACATCAACAAAAACTCATGTTGTATTGCTATGAAAATATGTTCCGTTAGGATATTTTGAAACATAACAATAATTTTTCTTTTTTAAAAATAAATAAATACTAAAATATAGAAAGACTGAAGCGGAAGAATCATTTTGATCGCATGAATGATCTGTTTGAGATATAATTTTGCCATGCACCAAATGATGAAAGAATTTTTATTTTTTTTGCTTCTTCTTTTTATCCTTTCTATCGATGTATTTGTAGCATTACTTACAATGATCAAATCTTTTGTAAAGAAGGAAGATTCAAAGGAGAATTGCAACAAAAGAATTTTTTATTTCTAAAAATTATTAACAAGTTTGATCTATTTATGCACCTTTAATCACAAGTTAACTTTAATATTGTGTCATATATTTCAACTCAAAGTCTTGTTTCTCTTTTAAAAGACTTTGCTTTAATAATATGCAATTTAATCAAAACACTGAAATTATCCAAGTTATATTTTATCGCGAGATGAATTTATTTCTTTTTTATTTTTCTTATAGCAGTTCACATAATCCCACTGTTGATCTTGATGCCATAAAGAGAGTGCAAAAAAACTTAAATTGTTTACCTGAAACAGCATTAGAACACCTACATAGATCCATTCATCCATTCATTGCGGATTAAGAAGGCTCTCAAGTAGCATTAAGGGGAAGTGATTAAAAAAACGGTTTCGATCAATAAGCAAGATAGACACTTTCCCACATTTTAATGAGAAAAATGAGAAACTTGAAATCTTGCAGTGCATTGCCGACCGTCAAATTCAATTCAAAATTTATTTAAAAATGTACGTCTTTGTATATCAGCACCTGATGCACGGGAAGTGCAAGTTTCCAAAAGAGAAGAAACATTTCAGTGTCGGAATACAATTTCAAGATAACGGTGAAGTCTTTGTTGTTGTTATTTTGAAATCTTTTGCAATTCGAAATTCTCACCGAAAAAATATCTCATTCATAATCCATAATACTTCATTATTGTGACACAATCAGAAGACAGACAAAACTACCGTTTGTAGTTTGAGAAAGAATGTCTCATAGTATAAAAAAAGTTTCGGTGCCACCCGAAAATAAAATGCTAAAATTGTCCCCATATTTGTGAAAACAAAAGAAAAGCAAACAGTTATGACTTCGATATTAAAGGTACTCGCACTAAGAATTTGTGACAATGTTAACAAAAAAAAAAGAGTTGTAAAGACTTTTACGATAATTTATGGGTCACCGACGAAATATCTTAAAGCTGGAAATTTTATAAAAGTTTAGTTCGATATTTCTGTTGCATTCGATTTTCAAGTTCGAGTGATCTAACAAGACATCAAATATTAATGCGATAATTTAATATTCTTTTAAACCTCTGCTGTAAATTATTATTATTATGACTTTTGTAACGCTTTATGTATGTTAAGTAGTATAATAGTTAAACAAGAACTAAAACACCTTGTTTCATCTTTTTTTATTTATTTTCTGCTGAGCCTTCATGACTTTCGTTGTGTTGAGCAAAATTAGAAAAAAAGGCTCTTTCAATTCGTTTCAATAGTAAAAAATGCCGAAAAAATTGTATGTAGGTTAAGCATGTCGTTTATTCTGTTAGAATTTATACTTTTACGTGAACTTATTGTGCAATGCAAGTCTATTAGTTAGTTTGAAGTTGTATCGTCGTGGAAACATTCTGCTTTGTTCATTTTTTATTGATTCCAAGTAGTTGACAACTTTTTCTCTCTCTTTTTAAAAACATTAATTTTGAAATCTTCACGTGTCATCACAGAATAAATCTCTCATAACAAATTTAATTTCAATTAACATGTGAATAAATAAAAAGCTTCTAAACACCACTGCAAGTGAAATATCTGATGTAAAAGTGGCACACTGGCTCTACAAATACATAAAACAATCGCAAAAATAATTACTAAACGTTCGTTGAGACACTCTTGAGACTAATTATCGTGTCGTTTCGATCAACATGCAATGTTTGAGACGATCAAGATAGAAATGGTATTTAAGCAGAAACAAAAAAATAATTTCATTAGGAATTCTGAATGTTTGATTTTCTTCCACGAGACATTTTAAGTGAAATTATTTATGAACTTCAAATAAGAAAAAAGAATTCGTGTGGGTTTGGAAAACCTTTTAGGGTAGGTCAGGATATGTGAAAAATTTTCAGATTTAATTTTCTTCATTTTCGTATTGAAAGTTCGTAACGAATAAACAAAAGATTTCTGAAAATTTGATTTGTGGTGTGTTAACAAAAGAAAAACCATTGTTTCTTACTAAATAACCTTCTTAAGTATTTTGACACTTCAAACAAATATTTGGATTAAATCTAAGTATTTAATAACAAACACTCTTTGTTGGTAATTAAGTCAGCACTCATAATATTTATGATTGACGATTAAATAACGAGAAATATTTTTATGTTAGATTTATGTAAATTATATCAACAGTGAAAACCAAACACTTTTTGAGAGTGTTCCGTTCGTAAATTCAACATTAGAATTATGCAAGGATATAAATTTCCTTTATGGCATTAAGTATAAATTTTTATTAAGTTAATAATCTCCTAAATGATCTCTAAATGAATTACCAAACGTTTATGTCTCTGCATGATTATAGTAAAAAAGTCAACAGCAAAAACCTCAAATGAAACTATCATGACACATTATAGAGACATAAAATCCAATTAATTACCGCCAACAAACGATCAAAGCTGAAAATGCAGAAACGAGCAAATTCAATGACGAAAAGTCGGTGCACTCCATGAATAACATTTGTGCGTTATTTTATCTTTACAACAGCATAGAAATTCATCATTTAATACTGAAAATGATATAAACTCACCATCAGAGGTGGAATAATTGCTTGTTGATAGAAAAATAAGCTTACACGAATGTATAAATGCATCGCTGATTGATAGTTGGGAGAAAAAATAAAGTAAAAACCTTTAACGTGCAATTGACCTCAATTTTATGCAGCTTTGGAATCAATAGAAACGGCAAAGTCTTTGAGACTGCATGAAGAAATGTGCGTATGTATAAATAAAGTTAAAACTAGTGTCATGAGTAATATTTATACTTGTTAACCATTATTACGATGTGTTTTTCTCAATCGACAAGCTCTAACGAAGTCGCTTTTAACCGAAGAAAATGTCTTCTCCCCTCATAAACCTCACTTTTAGTTTGTTTTTTAACTCATTGATTTACCACGTCGGTTTTCCATTACAAAAGTCTTTTGCATGCATTGCATTCAATTAATGTTCAAGGTCTCATTATGGTAAACGATCTTCCGAACTTTTAAAAGTTCAAAACATTTTGAATGGTGGAAGTGAAGTGTGAACTTCAAAGCTTCTTAATTTTTTTTAAACTTTAAAGTTACAATCAAGAACGCATATTTTCGTAACTTTATATTTCCTCTGTGAAATTTTTAACAAAGAGTTTCTCAATTAACTTTGATTTAAGTTGTAATCGCCTTGCAGCAGTTGCATCGATTTAAGAGGAAAAAGAATTGAGTACAAAATTAGCTGTAGGAGTTCTTGCAAAATCACTTTAAGACATGGAACATTTTTAAGTAGAACAAGAAGATTGCGTAACTTGTTAAAGACTGAGACGTTTCAACAGCTTCTTCTTTGAAAGATGAAGACAACTACTTAGAAATGTATTTCAGGTTTCCAAGTACAACATTAAAGTCGTGTTCTTGTTACATTAACTTGAATTCCAAATGAATAGAGGGACCGATGATGATCAGTTGTCATGCATTATGGCAAATCAATTAATTTATTCTTCTTCGACTTCTCTTCATAAATGCTTGTACATGCAAAGCTTATTGCAAAAACTGTCATTATTGTTCTGTTTTACATTTTCCCGCATCGGATTGAAACTAATTCAATAACGAAAAAATTGAGAAGGGTTTGCACAACATTTCTGCCACCGATGACAGCAGAGTTACTGCTAATTAAAAGTTAATCTGTCAATAATCGTTTCAGCTTCATATATGCATGACAAATATTTCATTGTTTATTTGAAATTAGCAAAAACTCCATAAAATGCTACGAGCATAATTTTTATGCTTCATCAACGTCGGATGCATTAGCTTAATAAATGAAAATGTGTTTACTCACGTTTCCCTTGAAGAAAAAATCATAAAATCAAATTTTGCATTCTCATTGCTAAATTTTACAACAAGCAATGGAAGTTTAAACATTGCAATTCATGTTCAGAGTTCTTCATCTTGAATCAAAGTGTCGGTGTCACTCTTACCTGAAAATAAAAGAAAAACATTAAGTTGAATCAAAACAGAAGCAATGAATTTTTAGTTTAATGAAAATCTTTGATGGATCAAAACAAATGTATAAACGATGAGTTTTGATTTTACATTATCTAATAAAACTACAATTCAATTCACTTTTTGTTATCATGAAATTTTTGTTTTGGTAATATAAACAACATAAAGTGTAATGAGAAAGCTTTCTGAAAGCTTCAACAAATTGAAAAATTTATTTCCATCCATAGCAAAACTTTCCTCCTTCACATATTTTTCTAAAAGCTGCAGAGACAAAAGTGCTTATTCAAACACATAAAAAAGTGAAAACAAAAATTAATGTAGCTACTATTTTGAAAATAAGAATCGGGTGAAACCAATACAGAATCAACAACGATTACATAAGAACTTATGCTAAGCAGAACAAAGAAATAGCTGGCAAAAGAAGTATCATCGTTGAAGATCTTTGCGAAGTTGTTTTTCCTTTGAAACACAGAAAGGTAAGAGAGAGAAAATACGGAATAAGAAAAATCATTAAAGTTATGTATACGAAGAATAACATGATAGAAAAAGAGGCGAAATGAAGTAACAGTATTATTTGTACGGGAGGTAAGGTAGAAGTAACTGAAAATGAACCACCGTTAGTTTTATGCTGTACATGCAGCGAATATGTTTTGCAAGAAACTTTATACGAGTTTTCATTGTTCTTGTTTCTCTTCCTCCCTCTTCTTATATCTTTCTTGGCTTCCTGCTTGAATTCTTTGAATCAGACACTTCTCGAAAAACATAAACTTAGGGATTTATCTAATTATCTTCGTTCTTAATTTTTTTTTTGGCAAATCTTATCATCTACATCAGCAATTTCAATCCATTGATTTATTTTATAAAGATTTATTGTGAAAGAAATTTCTTTAAATTCAGAAAGTCTTCTTTTTGGAAATGTTAGACTTGTTCTCATGATTCGCAATAAGAACACACAATAAAGGAATTATTACGAAATTAAAAACTGACCTCGAACGAAGTGTAACGGTAAAGAGATATAAAAAAAACCCAAAAAATGACCAACCACAAACGAAGGTAAATCAAGAGAATCAAAATTGAAATAAAGAATTTTTCTTCTTCACGCTGAAAGCTTCTTATTATATTTCGACAAACCAAATCTGCTTTAACAAGTTTCGTGTCTTTAACGGTAGAGTTTGTAGCCGCTTAGCTGTAAATTTTCTTTCTCTCAACGAGATTTCATGAACGAAATACTGGATTTGGTCATATGGAGATCTCACGCGCGAGTACAGCTATTCTGTGTAACGAAGATCAGACATTCTCTCATCGTTGTTTCTGCTTTTTATTTCGATTCTCTTGTGCTTTTACCATTGTGTTAAATGATCATGCGTTGATTAGAAAAATTTTTTTACTCTTGGAATGAAATAACTTTAATCAAAAAGTTTTCTTTGGTTTAATGTTTGTTCCAAGTAAAATTCAAACATTTAACTTGTATTTGTCCTTTTCCTTACTCAAATGTGAACTTATGGTAGCTTTGCACAAAACTTTTTGTATTTTATTTTTCTCGAGTAATGAAAAGATGAAGAAAAAAGAAAAACGGTAAATCTTGTAGGATTTTTTTTTGTATATATGTTAATGTTGTTTCTTTATTCTTCTCATTCCAATCCCTCTTCCTTCATAGCAACATAAATTTTTTATGTCTTCGCCATGAAGATTTTCTTTCTTATGTGGTGAAGTATGATACAAAAAGAAACTTTTTTTCTGTCTTCCTGAAAGGGTTTTCCTTCCTTTCTATGTTTCCTTTTTCACCATACACAATTCAATTACAAGACATAAAACGCAATATAAAGATGAGAAAATGTTTTCCACTCAGAATAATAACAAAATTCTTTTGAAAACATGGAAAAGAAGATGAGAATCGATTTTTAAAACAAATAATAACTTTTTTACTTAAACTACATGACACTCTTTGAACTTATTCATTTATGATAATTCGATAAATAATGGATGCAAAGTTTTTGAAATAAAAGCGACTTAATTTAATAAATACATTTTCGAACGTTAATGAAGCTTTCATAATGCAATAAAATTATGATGTTTAATTTCTTTTAAAACATTTTTCACACCTGTCATGACTCCTGAAGTGCTTTGAGAAACAGAAGTTGAGGGCGGATTTTGTGTCTTTACAACCGATTGCACCGTAGATGAAGTCGTCGCTGTTTTCGTTACAGCAGTGATAATTACTTGAGTGTTGTCATTGCTGGTGTCACTGACAACAATCGAAGCTTCTATTCTTCGTGATTGCCCGCGGGACCGCTGCTGGGGCAACGAAGTTTTCTGTTCGTTCGACGCCACTTTGAGAGCTTTTTTATACACGGCAGACTAAAAAGCTTAATTATTTCAAATATTTTTCTAGCGTCTGTGCTTTTCGATTGTTCGTGTAACAACAAAAACAAAATAATTTCAGTCTAATTATTTCTAATTTGAACTTATTTCGGGATCACATAAAAGATATTTTCTTTTTTCACAAACACAAATTAATTTAAGCTACAGTCTTGAGTTTTATTAGAACGAAGATATTGATTAAATTTTCAATAACTTGCTTCTTTTTCTAATCAAAGATATTGATTTAAAATGGATAATTTTCACTAATGAACACAGTTAATTTACTTCCTTTTGGTAGCTAGTAAAACAGGGAGAGGCTCATCCGCCTCAAAAAAATTTTTCTTCTTTTTTATGCTCCAACTCGTAACTTCAGCGATTATAAGATCTTTTGTCGTAATGGTACTTTCTCACACTTTTCACTGTTTTATTTTATTTTATATTTTCAACGCAAGATGCAATTTGTGACTTTCATATGAACGATAAAAATCAGTCTTAAATTTCCTGTTTAAACTTAAAAAATGTTCCACCTCTATACAGCAGTAGTATTGAAAGACATATTCATAATGCTTGCAAAATTTCTCACATCAGATGCTTGCAGTTAGCGAGCACTTTGCACAGGAATATCAACAAAAACAATTTCGGCAAAGCCGAAGAGAAAAGGCGAGAAAAATACTTTTCTATCCTGATCAATATAATTTTTCTGGATGAAATGAATGCACACGAGAGAATTCTCTCCCGACAACTCTTCTCTTCGTGGATTATATGGATACGGGATGCTTTTCCGCTTTTCAGTCGTGACACGATGTATAATGTGAGAAATGATTTCAAAATGGCGCTGAAGCTTAGTCAAGACACATTTCTCATATTCTCCTTTTATCCTTTTGCAACATTAAATTAAATATTAATGTTCACGTAAAGTTTTCTTAAAGAAAATGATAAATTTTTCACCGGACATTTATTTATCCAACTTTATTGTTTCTGTTGGCTGAGTCTCATAATAATTTCAACTAATTTCATTCTCTAAGGGGAATTACGATTTATAAATACGAAAAAGTTTCCTCGTTTAATGATTAATTTTCCTTTGATCTGCGTCGCAAAAATCGATAAGCTCTCAAATTCAGGGTGAAATTTGTTTACTTTCATCAAACTTGACAAATTAAGCACAAATTTAAACACTAATGAACACCGTTTCCTTGTATAAGTTCAGTATGACGAATTATACTCTTTAAATAACGTTGTCGAACATAGAATTCATGAAAATGGTTAATCACTCGAAGCTTTTTTCACATTTAAAAAACACAAACAAATAATTTTCCACCAAACATTTCCGCATTATGAGAGTTTCTTTTGATGTATAATATCACCACACAACCAATAATGATGATATTCAGATGAATTTCAACGAATACGATTTGATTTCACATTATGAATTACAGAACTATCGTTTTTAAATATTTTTGACATTTGTTCAGAGAATTTCGCCGATGCAACCGATTTGTGGAAAGAAGAAGAAAATTTTGAGCACATAAAAATTGAAGTTTCTTCTCGACGGAAAAACGAGAGAGAATTTTCTCCGAGAAGGAAATTCTTCCTGTTTTGATTGTAGTAATGGAATTTCAAGAGCGATAAAAGAAAACACAGAAAAATAATTAAAAATTATTGAAGAAATCTTTAAGAAAATATTTAAAAATCATTGTCAACTCTCAACATCAGAATAAATTTCTTTGTTACTGCATTCTTTATTTTCTAAACCACTTCCTGCTTTCTATCTGCGGTATTTTTTTTTCTCTCCTTTTTCTCAACATAAAAAATATCGACCAAAGCTTTTGCGCATGTTGATTACTCGATTCTTCTCCACGTGCGTTTTCTTCTATGTTTATGTTTTTTTATTCTCCTTCTTTGACTTCTCTGTTTCTTTCCGCTTTGCTAAGCACCCTTCTTCCTTTAACGCTATTATCGTTAAATTTGCGATAAATGAGAAGAAAGATTCAAAGGAAAAATATGATGAAAAAGATTTTTCACGCCGCTATAAATTGACAAGATTTAAATTTCATTTAACAATATTTGAATTTTAATATCTTTGAAACTATTAATCGTGGCAGTTCAGAAGTCGATAAAAATATTATTTTTATTCATTCCTGGTTGATGTGCTTTAACATGAAAATAACTTCATCATTACGCGGCATAATTCCAGCTTGGTAAGATGTCTTTTCTCTTTTCTTTCCATATTTTAATCTCCACAATAAACCAACATAGAAGAAAGAATGAAAATGCAAATAAGTATTAAAAAGAGTCGTAAATAAATAAATATTCCTTTCTATATTGACAACGATACCGTTAACTTAAATCAAAGTGAAATTTTTCGTGATGATGATTGAGAATAACGAGATAAAAAGAAGAAAAGATTTGAGCAAACATACTTTCTTCAACGCGCTTACATTCGATGATGATGACCAATAGTGCGAAGAAAACTGTAAATTTCTTGCATGTATTGTGTGAAATAAACAAGCTTGCGAACCAACTTCAAGAATTAATCAAAATTCTTACGCAATTTCTTTACACAGCTTTTCAATCATCTCAGGCCTAGCAACTTGATTGATGTCTTCTAAAATACAACATTTTTTGTCTGTCCACATCAGTGACCATTCCTAATGATTTTTGAAGAATGACTTTTAAAAATAAATTACCATTTGGTTTGCTTAAGAGAAACCGTTAGAATATTCAATAGAACTAATCACAATTTCTCCAAAGGCAAGAAGGCAGCTCAGCAATTATTCCGACAAGAATTGCCTCAGTGATGATATCAAAAGAATTGTCTTATGTATTGAAAGTTTTACATGCTTCCGGGTTACTTCGTTTTTGTCAACTTGTTAACATTACATTTCTGTCGGCAACATTAAAATAACATGACAAATACATTAAACATTTTAATGTCTCTTAAGACTTCTGAACAACAATCCACCTACGATTCTAATCTTTACAAATATTTTCTCTTTTCTTCCCAATCCCTGCCATCAGAAGATAAAAAGTCAACGAACGCGTGTAAACTCATATCAGCTGTTTCTCTGTTTTCGAAACTTTCTTCACAGTATCAAAAGATATGTATGCCAATAATAATGATAATAATAATAATAATAACAATAGTTAAAGAATGAGAAAGAAAAATAAGAAAACTTTTTATTCGCATAAACATGAAGACGAAAATAAATGTAAAGAACATGATAATCACTTGACCTGAAAGTTACGTAACTGAGAATTGTGTGGGCGTTCATTCAATTCAATTTAATTAAAAGAATTTGCTATTTGATGTCAAAATAAATCTCGTTGAGTTATTTAAATAAATTTGAGATGAATGTTTAATTGCAGTTCAATTATTTACATTATTTTGTATTGAAATAACGTTGAAAGGGCTTGTTAAAGAAAAAGAATAATTTCTGCTTAAGTTTGTTTATCAATAATGACAGCTGCAGCTTAATGACAAGGTAGGTAAGGTAGGAGTGAAAATATAAAGCTTCAGACAAAGTTGCATTCATACTGCAGTATTATTTTATCAATATACCTAGTTGTGAATTTTTTAAATCAGATGAAAATAATTCTTTTGCAAATATTTTTTCTCACCGTGCATTTCGTAATAGAAATTTTTATTTTTCTTCTTTGTTTTCTAAGCCTTTTGAGTTTATGGAAAGTTGAGAACCCACATAGCAACTTTTTATATTTTTTTGTTTCTATGTTCTTTTAACAGTATCTTAAGAAACTTGCGCTTCATAAAAAAAAAGCACAGAACTGCCCTACCTTAATTTTTATCAAATTGTATACAATCGTTTACTCGAAGAGTTTTTTGCGTTTACTTCAAGAGCTGCAAACATATGGTACGTCGACTAATTTGCAACGACGGCATGTTTAAAATTTGTTTTACATTATATCGGATAGAAATCTCTTGTTTCAGGTTCAAGAAACAGTTCGTGGAGTAAACTATTGAAATAATAATAAATTATGTTTCGCTGGCAATTGTTGAGAATGCAATGATTCAGAACAATTGGATTTAGTATTCAATGCAATACACCCACGTGATAAAAAATGATTGAAATCGAAATAAAATTTTGATGTATAAAAAGTTTCGTTGATTTTTCACACAAATTGAAATTTCAATCAATTATTCGGTTTTTTTAATGACTCACCTCTTATTGTACTCGGCATGTTTCTTAATTTGTTGTATCAAATTTATAATAATCCAAAGTAAGGAATCCTTTTTATCTTGATAATTATGTAAATATAATTTTTACAGTTGTGAAAGCTTATTTCAATATTTTTTGTTATGTTCAGTATTCTCTTTCAAATAAACTTTATCTTAAAACTTTTATTTAAATATGTTTTCAATAAATATTGAATAATTAAATCTGATGTCATACTTTCAATATTTTTAATTTTACTTTAAATAAATTTATTTAATTATTAAATGCATTATCTCGCGTTCACAGGTATTGTTGATAAAATTTTTATATTTTATTTATGTCGTCACTTACAAATCAATATTTGTACTGCACAAACTGAATTTCAATTAATTAATTGAAAATTACACCCACGAATTTCTAATGGAACGTAAAAATTAAAACAAATCTAATGAATGAAAGAGAAATTATAAAAGATGAAGAAAAAATGTTTAATTCAGATAAAAGCGCACCGACACGAAAGTTTTTCACCGTTAATCAAATTCAAAAGATTATATTTACAACGAAAAAAATAACATGAAAGAACGGAACCGCGATGTATGATGTGACCTCGACAAACGGACACTCAGAAGATTACTACCAGGTACCATTGAAGAACCTCGAACTTGGAAAGAAGAAAATAACAGCCAACTTTCAACACACGAGAGAAATAAAGAAAATACGACGAAGAGAAAGAAATTGGAATGAAAGAACGAACAGTGTTGGCGAAGATGGTCTCTTGAAGATCAGCACAAATTACAAACACTTATGTAGCGACTTCACTGAATAAGCTAACACAAGAAAAATAACATCTTCAAAAGCCAATCAAACGGTTATTTTGCAATTCCAAGGAGCGACGAGAACAAAACTTATACATGTAACTTCATCCATTCTCGCGAGAAAAAAGAAATTTCCTCATACATGATAGAACAATAATCAGCCTAAAACATTCCATTTGATCAGCTGTTTTCTTTTTTGTTTAAAATTTCGTTAACTGATCACGTTGTGTATTTAAATATTTATTAGCATTTCTTGATTAATATTCTATGAAGAAAAAAGAAACTCGTTAAAAAAGAATCGATCATGAAGATTTCATTTCGATGCACAAAATTTCTTTATTTTGACTGTTTAAATAAATATTGTGAGTTCATCGAACTTTGGCCGAATATGTACGGAGCCCGTAAAAACAAAGAAATCGCCATTGGAACAAAAATAATACAGAAAGGGTTCAGTGACGAGTGAAGAAGATTCGCAAAAAAATGAATAAAATATTTTGAAGCATGTAATTACATGTACGAGCAATGTTAGGAACATTCTCCAGACTAACAATTCACATGTGGTCTTTCATTGTCTGCTCAACAGGTCATCGAAGATTTCTTTAACTTATGTTGTTGTTACACCACATACAAGGATTTGTTGTGTTAAGTTAAGGAAGTTAAAGAAGGTTCAATTAGCCAAAATTTTAATAGCCTTCAGTGGTTTTTTATTTCAAAGATTTTAAGATAAGCTCGTTTATTAAGAGACATCTTGATGCATCGTTTCAACTATGAATATTGAACTTAAATTTATGTAATGAAAAGAATTTCTACAGGAGAAACTTTTGAATTTTTAAATATCGAGAAAAGCAATAAATTTACCGTTTCCATGTCTCATGTGCGTGACATTTGTTTTGTGATCACAAAAACTTTTAAATCTTAAAAATGAGTGAATAATTTATGCTCAATGTTATGTTGCAGAAGTTGGTCAAGTTGAGAGTTTTGTAGAATTGTTGTAGCTTCTTAGAACGTTTATTGATTTCGTAGACGATAAGAGTTGTAGAATATTCTCAAATTGCATTTAAATAAAAGAAAAGAAGTTTTTACGCTCTCGAACTGCAAAGTGACCACAACTACCAGCGCATTAACTTTGAGAATTCTCTTAAGGTGTGTTGTCGTCGATTGTTGCATGGTTACATTACCTGCTTAGAAGTAAACCGAGGCTTGTGAAGAGAAATAGCGGATTTCATCGAAAATCAACTTGAGGTCAACGAACGTACTTCGTACGACTACAATCAAATTATTCGTATGTATAGACATATATTTATATATTTGCACACGTTCTCTCAAGTCTCTGGATGACGATCGAAGAATATTCGTATGGAGATCGAAACCATCCAGAACTTTTTTTCCAATTCTCTCACTCTCAGCATTTTTATGGAAATCTTATTACAAATGTGCATCATTCAAGCTTAACTTCATCATAATTTTTTTCTTCTATTTATAGACTTCTTTTCTTACTTTTAGCTAAAGAATATTTTATATAAATAAGACTTCAAAATTGAATCAATACAGATCGATGAATTTCATGATTTTAAGTAACTCTCAAGTCTGAATTCTGTTTTCAAAAGAACAAATGCGAAGCAGAGATTTATGTTCTTGAGACGAAGTCAGCACAATTTAATTTATTTGTAATAAGAAATTCTTCTGATTAATTTCGTAATGCTCACTTGCCATATGACTTCAATGCTGTCAAGCAGAAAAATCAAAGGGTTAGTGCAGGTTAATTGAAATTGATACATTCTGTGAAATAGGACAATGAACGGTTATAAAGGCAATTTACAAGTTAAATGCGAATATTTTTAAGAGATTTCATTAAAATTAAAGAAACGAACCTTAAAAAGTATCTGCAAAAGATGTAAAAGGCGGAGACATACAGAATGAGAAGAAATAAAAAGACATCAACTCTGCACATGGCGCAATGATTTGAAATGAAAAAGATTTTCCTTTTTCCATTGGGACTAAACAAACACTAAGGAGATTCAAATAAATTGTTGTCAATTATTTTTGAAAGGATTTGGCATTGGAAGGAAACGAAACAGTATAAAAGGAGCAGAAAAGGAATGTCTTTGGTCTATTGTTGTCTTCGATGAACATCAGGAAGCAACGAGATTGGTGGAAAAGTGAAAATTGTTTGTCAAAATATTTTTCCTGAGTATAATTTTTGTTAGCTGAAGTTTATGTTCAGTAAACAGTGTAATTATTGTCATCAAGTATTGAACTGGCTGATACGTGATATTGTAGACAACAATTACTGAAGCAAGCATTGTAATTTTTCTTCTGGTCATATCACGATCAAAGTAAACACGCGTCTCTTGCCTTGACAATGCAATGTCTTGATTTGAGTCTTTGTCAATAATAATTAAATTAAAAAATATCAATAAACAATTCTTCACCCTCACTTCGAAAAGAAAGTTATTCGATAACCAAGTAGAACAATTACATGTTTCAAATGACAAATTCAGTTCCTGGAATTTCTACACATGTGGACACACTAAAGAATCCTTAGTAATAATTTGTAAATGTTCTAAAGGAAATGATTCATTACTTCAGCAATCGTCTTGAGTTCAACATCAAGAAATAAAAATATTTTTAATAAAACAAAGAAATTTGTTTTTAATTGTGATTTTGATTTTCATCAAGTTAAAAGTTTTATTACTGAAATATTGAAACATAAAAATGGATATCAATGAGTATCGTAAACGAGGTAAGCATTAATTTATTTATTTTTATGTTGAGAGAAGTAGTCAAGGGGAAATAGTAAAATTATTTAATGGAATTTTTTCAATAAATCTAATTTAGTTTTCATTGATCAACTTTGTTACAAAAAGCAAAGCAAAGTGTAATTAAGTTTAAATTCAACTTAAAATGCATCAAATAAGTTCTCAAAATATTCATTTAGGTGTCATGTTTCTTCATGTAACACTGACAAATTTTATTACCAAAAAGATTGCAATCAGAATGGAATTCAGATTGAATCCGATAATCTTTTGAAATCTACGGCAATTTAAATTCATCGATATCCAATATCATTTTGTGATATCAACGACAAAGTAATAAAATTTACATAAATCTTTATCTTTCTTCATTGCATTGATTCAATCAGGAAAGGAGATGGTCGACTACATCGCTGATTATTTGCAGAACATACGCGACCGTCGTGTGTTTCCCAATGTTCAGCCTGGCTACATGCGAAATTTACTACCCGAATCGGCTCCCACCGAGGGAGAAGAATGGAAAGTAATTTTCAACGACATAGAGCGTGTGATAATGCCGGGAATAACTCACTGGCAAAGTCCACATATGCATGCTTACTTTCCTGCATTAAACTCATTTCCATCCTTGTTGGGAGACATGCTGGCTGATGCTATAAATTGTCTTGGATTTACATGGGTGAATATCTAAATATTTATTCGAATGAAGAATAAGTGAGATCAACCGTAATGACTTTCATTTAAAGGCTTCATCGCCAGCTTGTACAGAATTGGAAACAATAACAATGAATTGGCTTGGCAAAATGATTGATCTGCCAGATGCATTTTTACATACAAAAAATGGAAAAGGCGGTGGTGCAATTCAAACAACAGCGAGTGAAGCGACTTTGGTTTGTCTTTTAGCTGGAAGAACGAAGGCAATCAAAAAATTTCATGAACATACAAAAGGTTATCAGGACGCTGAAATTAACGCTCGTCTAGTTGCTTATTGTTCTGATCAAGCTCATTCAAGTGTTGAAAAGGCAGCCTTGATAGGTTTAGTAAGAATGAGATTCATTGAAGCTGATGAAAATTTGAGTTTGAGGGGAAAAAGTCTTAGAGATGCCATCGAAGAAGATATCAAAAATGGGCTGATTCCATTTTGGGTGAGTCATTGCTTTTTGTTTCTCTTAAAAACTGACGTTTACAATAAAGAAACATTTAATTACTTCAGTGAATCTCTCGAGAGTTCAAAAAGCTTCTTAAGTACAATTTGTTGCGATGAGTGACAACGATCATGTTTTCATTTAATGTTCATTCATTCTTATTATTTTTTCTTGAATGAAATTGAGAGATGTCACACTGAAGTTGCTTCACTTCTAAGGCGATTTGTCATACTGTTAATTTATGAAAAGGATATTCTTGTCGTCTATTCTTCTTTATGGTTGTTGATGATGGGAGTGATAGCGAGAACAAATGACTTCTTTTCTTTTTGACATTCAAGCAACAGATGGTTGTATTGAAAATAAAGAGAAAGTGTTGACGAAATTTTTTTCCTTCACTTTTTCTTCTTTTTGATGAATGGGAGCGGCACGCAATCAGGATATTACAAGGAAATGACAATTAATGATGGTGGTGCATTTGATGGTGGTTCCTATAAGGCCAGGATTGGCCTATAGGTACCTGTCCTTGATCTGATGATGATCTGATGATGATGACAATTAATGAAGACAATTTCAGCAAATTATTAATGATTTTTACTTAAGTGTTTGTATTTATACGCTGTTGATTAATTCTTGAATTATTTGAAGGTGTGTGCAACTCTTGGAACAACTGGATCTTGTTCCTTTGATTGTCTCGATGAAATTGGAGATGTTTGCTTAGCCTTTGATTTATGGCTCCATATCGACTGTGCTTATGCAGGGAGTGCTTTCATTTGTCCTGAAAATCGAATCTGGATGAAAGGAATTGAAAAAGCAAATTCGTTGGCGTTCAATCCATCAAAGTGGCTAATGGTTCATTTCGATTGTACAGCTATGTGGTGAGTTACTTCACAAGCATCTTTTGCAGTTTATCACGAGAAATTTATCGTTAAACATGGAGCGGCATGAAGTGATTACGCGATTCCATATTATCTCTGGAACGTTTTTTTCTTCTTCTTTAAACCGTTAGAAAGTAAAAAAAAATTATTCAATCCATGTAAATAGCAAAAGCGACATGAAAGGAAAAAAAAACTGAACAAATTCATGACATATATTTGATTAGTTTTGCATATCTATAAAAATTTTTGTTTATATAAAATCGATGAATTTTAAATTAATTGTAGAGATATTTTTAGAATTAATGAATGACGAGATAAAAAAATATTTAAATGTCAATTTTTTGTCTCATGAAGGGTCACAAACAGTGCTGCGTTGCATCGAACATTTAATGTCGAACCACTTTATCTACAACATGAGAATTCTGGATTGGCTATCGATTATATGGTGAGAGTTTAATGAACATTAAGTGATTAAGAAAACTTTACAAATATTCGAAAATATTTTTAGCATTGGCAAATTCCATTAAGCAAACGATTTCGCTCTTTGAAACTTTGGTTTGTGATAAGAAATTATGGTGTGAAAGGCTTGCAAAAGCACATAAGGGAAGGTGTAAGATTAGCACAAAAATTTGAAGCTCTCGTGTTAGCTGATCACCGTTTTGAAATCCCAGCAGCTCGACATTTAGGTAAATTGTTTCAATCTGTTTTCTTTTAATTTGAATTTTTTAACAACTTTTCAATCTATTTTCAGGCATGGTCGTGTTTCGGTTAAAAGGTGAAAATGAGCTAACTGAAAAAGTAATTCAATCAATCGATTTTTAATAAAATGAAATTATTGATAATTTTTTTTGCACTCAGCTTTTGAAACGATTGAATCATCGAGGGAATCTTCACGCTGTTCCAGCATCTTTAAAAGGCAAATACGTTATTCGATTCACAGTTACCTCAGCCGGAACGACAAATGATGACATAATTAAGGATTGGAATGAAATTCGACTTGTGGCGACTGAAATTCTCGATGAAAGTAATGTCAAGATAGATAAGCGTGTGGCTCTTAAAGGTGAGATACGAGTTAATGTCAAATTTATTGCTTCTACATCACATTAATCATCTCAATTCAACACACAACAACACGTTCTAGGCAGTAATCTTGTTTCTTATATGCACAAAAGTAAAGCTTGCTTGTTGATATCATGGCACGAAGTATTTATATACGAATAAATTAGATAAAAAATTAGCGAAAATCATTTTCGAGATGTAACTGTTTAGATAATAGGTAAGCTTTAAACTTGCTTAGCAGAAACATGTTACATGATGTGAAAAAAGATACAAGAATACAAATCGACTTCATTTACATTTAATCATCATAAAAGTTTGATGAAATCTCTATCAAGAGCTTTCTGCCTTCTCTTTAGATACTCGTGAGAAGAATGAAGCTTTTGGATCATCTCTTCTACTTGCTAACAGTCCGATGTCACCGAAGGTTGTTAACGGTAGTTTTGCTGCTATCATTGACGCTGATGAATTTCTTGCAAAAGCTTACGCTGGAATTAGAATTGCGGTAAGTTTTTATTTTCATTCAATTTCCTTAAGTTATGTAACTCATTTTAAATATTCTCATTTATGTGCAGAATCAAGATTCTCCTGCAATGAGAAGACGAGTACGTGGTATTCTAATGTCAGGTCGTCAGTTTTCACTTGATTCTCGAATGGATCTTGCAATTCAAGGAATTGAACCTTCGAAAATGAACAATGGAAAAGCTGAAGTGGCTATTGAAGAGACTGATGAGCAGAATTGGGAAGGTACGAAAGTAAGGTATTGTTGCTCTCGAAAATGATTGCTAATCCTTCTTTAATTAGTTGGTCAATGTAGATTTGAGTTTGAAATTAGAGCTTTGGGCAAGTAGATTTTTTTTCAATGATCTATTTAAATATTTTGAAATAACGCAAGATAATTTTTTTCTTTAATTTTTAAAAAAGATCATGAACGCGACATAACTCCATCATCGTTCAGAAAAGTAAGATCCTGCAGTCTGGACGCCGGTGTGACTCATCTTAATATTTCACCAACTTTGAAAAAAGAAGTACGTGATTAAAATTTTTACCCGTCAATCAGAATTTAAATCATAACTGTTGCATTGTTTCACAAAAGCTTTTTACTAGCTGTTGTTAGGTTTGCATTAACGGACTTCATGAAATTTTTATTTTCTATTTTCATTAGAAACATCAACTAACCGAACCGTTCTCAAAGTTATCTAAAACCAACTCTTCCAGTTCATCTTTTAAATCTAACTTGAATAAAATTGACGAAAATAAATCCACTGATGATGCATTAGCATTTGCAAGAAAACGATGCCCCGACGTTTACTCAAATAATTTACATGAAAAACGACAATCTGATCCAAGTTCAGCCAATTCAATCAAATTCTCGTTTTACAACAAATTGTTTGATATGAATGAAAGTAAGCAACGATTGTCACCGCCATGCAAAGATTTTAAAAAATTTTCATTGCCACTTTCAATGACATGTTTGAATGATTTGTCACTTCCATGCTTGACTTCGCCAACTTCTGGTCCATTCAGTGATGCGACGAGATGGAGGCATAATAGTAAAATTAATGGCAATCAGACAACAAATCTACACGATACCTCAATAAAGCTCAAAATCAAGGTCGAAGATGAAAATCGATTAGAAATGAAAAATCATTCATTCAATTCTTCTGTAGAAGAATTTATCGACGATCAGTGTTTGCACTTTGAAGAAAACTTTAATAAATTAGGTGAGTTTGATACAAAACTTTCTGACACCGCATATGACGAAAACTTTTCGAAAAAGTGGCGAGAGCTTGGAGAGAAAAGTTCTTTACAAAGTCAATCAAACACTTGTTCGTTTGATATGGAAAATAAAGTTTGTAACATATGTGGACATGACGTTTTAAAGCTTTAATATTAAGGAAAACCTTCATATCATAATTATTCAGTATTCCTGAAATTCTCTCGTGTATTTAATGATTTTCTTGATATCTAAAAGAAAATTTACATAATGACCTCAAGCCACTATTGATATACAAATTAAACAGAAACAAATTTATGTAAAAAGTATTTGAAGGTTCCAGTTCAAAGCTATTTTCCCTTCAACTAAATGAACATCTCAAGAAAAAATGTTGTAAGATTAACTGCTGATCAAAATCTAACTTTATTGTATGAAAAGAAGCTTTGAGTTGGAAAAACAAAACCTCTAAATGATTTTGTGTTATAATTTGCTTATTAAAATAATCGAAAACAAGAAACATGTAAATTTTTAAAGAGAAGAAATCCAAATCTGCTGTGCGTATCAATAAAAGTGTAGTTCCAAAATATCTTCAGCTGCTCGAGGCTACACACAGTTAGTAAATGTCCACTTTAAGCATAATGACATTACTGAATAAATTATTAATCTTTTACACTTTTCAACACATTCGAATGTGTTTATTTAAAATCTTTCATTATTATCTATATAATTAAACACGATAATGAAAATATTTCATGCAAGCTTGGAAAGCTACACTGATCTCTTTATCAAATTAATTAATTGTGCTTTTTAAGCTTCCCCATGAACTTCATATTAATGTTCTTTGAATTAAAATTGAATCGATGTTTGTTCTAATTAAATATTAATTTGCAAATAAAAATTCGTCCTTTTTCTCACATTTTAAGGACAAAAAAAAGATTTGGATTTTGAAAGACGAAAACATTGAAAACGAACGCAAATGTAGTAAGTCACATTGTTTCCGATTCTTATTTGTTTTTTGTTTCCATAAGATTTATAACAGCAGCAAGAAGAGAGCAGATGAATTTATTCACAGTCATTCGGCATTACCATTTCATTTCATTCCGGTCTACACATTTTCAAACAGCGACTGCTACCAGAACATCATAAATATTCATTTTGTTATATTTTCGTTCTTCCATTTGTTCGTAATTTTGTAAAAACGTCATGAGAGACAAAGGAAAAAATTACGAAGATATATTGTGGAAGTGTTGCTTAGTTGATTGATCGTTGATTTCAAATTCATAGAAAATAAAACAAATTCTATCAACTTATTAAACACCAGCGGTAGTCAAAGGAGTCTCAACAAAATGTATAGTCACAGACGACACTCAAAAGCATTCCCATAAAACAACTGCATCAACCAAGAGCGCATAAACAACAAAACATCTCACAAATGTTTCACTAAATGTTTAAATTTTATTTTTGTTTGTTATTTTGATCAATTTCTCAAGACTCTTAAATTAGTTTTGATAATTATTACCTAAAATTCAATAAAAACGTTCAAGGTTGATGAAAGGTTTCTTTGTAAGAGTGTGATGAAGTCATGAATAGTAATTAATATTCCATCTTTGTGTATTCAGCTGAATAAAACTATAATCAATACATGTATTCGGTATGTTTTGAGACGCTCTGCAACACTCAGAATTATAAAAATAATTCATCCCTAAAAAGTTCTTTCCATGACAAAGAACAAACATAGTTTTAATAATCTTTTGACATACTCAATGAATTGGAAATTGTTATGATGTTGGTATTGATTGCTTTTTCAACTTTATTTGATTATCTAGATTAATGTGCTATATTAACCTTGCTAAATTTATATATTTCTTCATTAGAAGATGTTGCTCGAACTTCATCATTTCAAAGCTAAGTTTCATGAGAAAAGTTAACTTTCTCTGTAGATTAAATTGTATCACGAGAAACGTTCTACTTGGTTATTGCTAATTGAAAAAACTTTTGGTTGAACTACCTCACCAAGCTGCTTTAATGACTTCATCAGACTAAGATATTTCAACTTATCAGAATTTCTGAGATCGTGAAATTTTCCACTCTCTAAGTCAGCATTAAAAGCTTCTAATTCTTGACTTAACATGTCATCATTTCGTCGTTTTGCACGTGTGTCAATTGATGAAAGAGACTCACGTCCAATAGCGTAAGGGGATTCAGAATTAGTTTTGACAAGAAATACTCCACGTAATTTTGAATCGCAATCATTACCAGCAATTTTTAAATTATTTCCATCAAATGAACACAAACCCAAAACATATTTAAAATAACTTTGACATTTCCAACCATAAAATCCTTTCGTTGTTTGGATTGACTCTTTAAAGTATTCAGGGCAACGATGATGACTACAAGCAGAGATGTCTGAAATATGAAAATTCCTTCAATGTAAATGTTTGCAATTGTTGACAACAATTCTAACAATTACCAACAAGTTTTGATGCACATCCAGGTTGATAAATTCCATTATTGAAATAGAAGTCGACATGACCAGTTCGTTCAATTTGACCTTGCATTAAACCCTAAAATCAAGCACTCAAACTATAATCAAATTATTATTTTATTATTCTGACTTACATTACAATGAAAAACATCAACAAATTTAGCGTCGGATGCATCAAGTTTGTGTGCTTTATTGCTGGTTACAAAAAGTGGCAATGCCGGATCCTACGAAGAAAGAAATGATAACAATGGGCTTACTCGTATTCTTATCACTTACCAATCCAGTAATCCTTGGTAAGATATAATGTGGCTTAAGATTATTGGCAACATAATTTGCTACTTGTGCACCAAGAGAAAATCCAATAACATGAATATCTGTATCACTACCTCCAGCATCTCTTAAACGATTTACCAACTCAGCTGTGCAGTTTCCTACGTGTTCAATACTTCGTACAGCAGATGGATAGGAAAGAGTCATTGATAAGTTTGACCAATCAACATAGAAAACATTGTAAGCATCATCTCGGAGATATTCTGAATATGAATGATGAACATTTGTTTATTAAAAAGGTCATGTTTGGATATTTATTAAGTGAACTAGAATTGTTTTGGGATTAACTGAATTGTTATTGAATTGTCATCCATCACTCATGTTTTCGTTTAGGTCGTGCTGTTTGTTAATTCCAACGTGTCTCTTACCAGTTTTCATTTCAATAAGTGGCGTTAAAAACATGTCAGAACGAAAGCCGTGAATTATGATCTTGCTAGGCTTTTGTGGGTTGAAAAACGAGCTCGTGAGATTAGATGTTACTAAGGTATTATCAATGTAAATAAGCTGTTGGCTGTCGACATTTTCGCGTGTGAACAAAAAGAATTTTATTTTAGGATCGGGACATTTGTGATCGTTGATCCATTCACTCCGCTCTTCTACTGTGTTATTGTCAATTTGTGGTTGTTCAAATGACGCTGAACATGACGTGAGTAGCACTAAATAAAAGAACGATTAATCATCATTACATTATTTTCCATTAGCTGATTTTTATGTACATATGTGTCAAGGGTCATCATGCTTCTTAAACAAATGACACAATTTTAATACCCACAAAAAGTTGATTATTTTCTTTTAAATTTTTTGGCAAAGCTCGCTGGTTTAGCTTGCTAATGGAAATCTTTTATTAAATCTTTCTTTCGATATAATTATCATTTTATGTTATTTAACAGTATTAATGAATCGAAAATTTTATTTAATCTTTTTAATTAGAAATTGATTAAAAGTTTCAAAAAAGGATTTTCGTTTTTAATTTAAACAGATTTAAGTGAATTTTATTTTTGCTGATCCAATTTTGTTTAATTATTTAAGAAATTTACATAAAGTATGAAATGAATTAATGACAAACCAATTAAACATTGAGGAAGGCTTATGTGAAAATACTCACCAATAATGGCGATCTGGGTAAGAAATATTTTATTTCTCAACATCTCGTTTCAAGCACTCTTTGAATCTGTGGTAAGAAGAAGAGAATTTCATTATTAATCACAATTCTTACCATCTTATTCCAATTCCTTCTCAGAACAAGCATCATCTTGTGTGCAAGTTTTAGAAGTTTCAGAAGTCTTAGAATGACTTTGTGCCAAAATATTTTCTCAAAATTAAACCACAAAACTTGCGGTCACAGAAGTAAATTTGTAATAGCCCAGATGGATGAATGACGTCATAACTTTGCTACATTCAAAAACATCTGAGTGATGCAACAAGTTTTTGTGAGAGCTTTTCTAAGAAGCAACATTAAAACATTATTCTCAGCTTTCAATGAAGTATAAACAAAAGAAAAGATAAATGAAAAAGAGAAAAATACATAAAAAAGTTTAAAAACTTGTTGTATTTGTGAAGGATTTTTTACTTTTTAATTCTGCGAGTTAAAATATTTGTTTAGTCTGAACAAAGGACAATTTATGTTAGTTAAGAAACAAATTCATTACACAATTGCATTGAAAGAGGGGAGAATTAAATATTAAAATTTCATTACAATACTTTTCTCAGCTACAAGTCAAATTATTTTATGTACTTCGGTTGATGATCGGAGTTCACTAAATTATCATTATGAAAAATGTAAGAAAATTTGAAATATTTTCTGACAGAAAATTAAATCAATGAGAATTTTCATCGCAGAAACAAAAACAAACATTAAAATTTGAATTTCACTTTACTTAATTCTCGGTATTTCGTTGAATTCTTTTACGTTCCTCATAAAAATAAATAAATTTTCTTAGGCTTCATCCATGCCTTTTGTCCCATGTAGAAGACAATGAAAAATTTAATAACTCCATTAAATGTTTTTAACTCTATCATAACTCCCAAACAGAAAAAAGCGATAAAGCAGTAAATATAAGTCTAACTTCCACCCGTTATTAAGCATGAAAGGAAAAGTTTGACGCGAATGAATTCCATGAAACATTAACGACAATGATTAAATCCAATTTTGTGTCTTTTCGCTTTCTGAAAGTACTTATAAGCATTTAAAATTTATCAAGTAATGTTTAAGGTGGTTTTGTGATTAAAATGAAATTGACTTCCATGAAGCATATCTGAATATGTGATTAAAATCTTTGACAATTTTTAATGTCAGATATTTTTAAAACATAAGAAAAGTCACGACAAAGAGTCAGATAAAAGTTTCACAATTTCAATATGTTGTTTCCATTTACCACAATGAATGGAGTTGAAGTTTGTCTTTTTGTTGTTGTTTATGAAGCACAACATTTAATCGATTCATTACAAAGGCAAACAGCATTTCATTTCTTTTAACTTTTCTCATTTCCTTCTGTGAATGAAAGTTTTCATCATCTTGAAGTTTTTTGAAACGGAAATACTTGAACAAACGTGTGTAAAGTTGATTTGTAAGAAAATCAGAACTTTCACATTGTTGGTAACATTAAGGTAAGAGAATTTTTTGATATCCATAAGCCACAACTTTTCACTCTTTCTGAGACAAAAGATATGAATAGATATTTAAAATTTGTTTATGTCTCTTTGAAAGACTGTTTACGATTTCGTTTATTTCGTGACGTTTTGCGAATGCTTTTAAGAAACATTGAAACATTCGTGTAACAAGTTGGCAATTGAAACATTCATTCAATGGTTGAACACATTAGAACAACGTCAAAGCACTCGACATCAGCAATTCTGTTAGTAGTCTCGCAAAGGATACCCAATGGAAAGGATCGAAAATTAACGCTTCGGTTTTATTTTGTACCTTTTAAATGTTTATAAATATCAATAAAATATCATTATTACTTTTTCGGTGGACATTAATTTGTAAGATTCGAACATTTGAAAAAGAACACAAAGAATCGAAAGAAAGTGCTGTAAAACATATCTAAATAAAATAAGTTTGATTGTAAATAAAATAAAATTAATTAACAAAAAAAAATCTTTAAAAGAATCGCCATGAGTTGGAAACATAAATTTACATAATGATTATGAAAGGCATCCGAGAGCTGTTAAAAAATTTAACAAAAAGAAGAAAAAACAATTAAGGGAATGCATATTTATGATCAGTGAAACGTTATGCACATATTTAGTTCAGATTATGGTAATTGTTTGTGGATTTGAAAAGTGAAAAAAAAGAGAGAAATGCGAGTTTGTGAAATAAAAATCGATGCAGTTGAAAAGAAAAAGGCTGAAATCATAAAATAATTATGAAAAGTAATTAAATAAAATGTGAAAATCATCAACAGACATCCTTGTCATGAAATAAATGATTAGAAAGATGAACTGGCAATTATGCAAGCTTGTTGGTGACATAAAATAAATAACAAAAAAATGATTGCTCGTCAAGAAATTTCATTCCATCACTACCAAGTCATAATAAATATGAATCCCTTTCACATGTGTGAGAAAATCATTCACTTTGAAGTATTACGTTAACTAATTTTCCTTTTCTCTCTGTCAACATGACATGAGAACACCACATAAGCTTTGTCGCAAATCATTTACAATTTGTCACTCGTTTGACATGGGATCGATGGAAATTTGACTAATTGCTTTTATATTCAAATTCTTTTATTTATTTCCACTTCAATTAACCCTCTCAAAAGCTTTAACCTTCTACGATAAAAAAGATTATTTCAGGTCATAATTATGACAGTTTAGTGAAACTAAGATTTATTGTGTTTTCCTTGTGAGCTAATAAAGCTTTTATATAGAGTTGTGGCGAAAGTACCTTTGGCGGCCTCATATGTGAATTCTTCATTGCCGCACATGAGATTAAAAAAATATCATGTTTGTTATCGCGATAAATGCTATAAATATTTTTTTTACATACTTCATTTAATAATTTATTTGTCTGTATTTGTTTTTTATTCTCTTTTTACCAGTTCACTCATTTTCGTCAGTTTCCCTTTAAAAATGTGACTACAAATAAGCAAGCTAAACAAAGTACAATTCATGAACATTCCCTTTTCAACATCGATTAAATATCTGTTTAAACAATCTCAGAATTTAAGAGTTTAGTTTCAATACAACTCAGACTGAAAGCTTCAATTTTTAACATCTGTTTCTGAGCACTGCCACTTACTGAAGTGGAAAAGTGGAATTCTCTCGACACAGCTGATTAAATTTCATAAAAAATTAATCAAAAAGCAAGTGAAAAATTCCACTGCGAAAGCGATTTTTCTTTCATGTACAATCAAAACTATAAAAAAAGATTACATTGTTGAAAGTTGAAACAAACTTCAAAATTATGGATGGAAAAACTGAAATTTTATCAACTTTCAAAGCGATAGTTTTTTTACTGCCAAGATTTTTCAGCGAAAGGATAAAAAATTCTGTTGAACAATCATCATTAGAAATTCAATTAATTCATTGTTACTTTTCTCATAAAATTTGTATGAACGTTGCATGATTTTCCTGGCTATTATTTAACGCGCAACGTTTTTCAACTGAACAAAAAAAAGAATTGCGAAGGAGGTTTAGAATTTTCAATGAAAAGAGTGAATTTTGAAAACGCCGACAGAGCAGAATAATGAAAATTGAAAAGAACATTTCAATGAAAGCAATGCACTCCCCGAATATTAAATTTAAAAAATGATTTTAGTGAATTTTTTAAAAGCTTAGCTGAAAGGAAATTTAAAAATTGGAAAATCTCTGTAATCGATTTGATTGTGCGATGAACTGAAATTTTGTATTCTTGTGTAGACGTCTAGCACTTGTATGAGTTTATTATTCACTTTAAAATTAAAGAGACAGAAAACAAACATCGCGTTACATATTGAAAAATTGTTTTACTCTTTGATACTTTGAAGGAATAATTGACATGTGAAAGAAATGAAAGAATAAAACAAAAAGTGCTATAAGTATTGATATTCTATCTCTTTATGTATGTTTAAATTACAAACTACTACATTTGTGCGTTTTTCTACCTTCATCAACTATTTATTCACTTTAACCCAATTTTCTTTCATTTTCATTTTTTCTCGACCCTTTCCTTGGACGAAGCGAACATGTTTCTCTCTTTTAAAAAGCTCCCAACATTATCTGCTTGTCAAATGTAGTTTTTACATATCATATATTCAAATCAATAGAAGAAAATTCATTCAATAAAGAATAATGCGATAGGTCAGAACGGATAACGTTTGTGTTTGTGTCGATATTTGATGAGAGTTAAAGAAGCATGTGCCTAGGTGTGTTATTAGCTTCTATGTTCCTCATTATATAGTTATCGAGTCATTTATCGATATAGTTTTCTCTCCTTATATTCAAATAGACGTCAAATGAGTTCTCGACAATTTACGTTGGTGTCGATGTACGCGAAGCAAAATAGAATGTAAATAAGTAAAATACGTTTTTAACCGACGATATCGTGCATTGAGTGGTGATAATAAAGAAGCTATTTTTATTCATAAATTTGTTGCTCATATTGGTTTGTGTGCAAAAATAGAAAAGTGAAATACGAGACGAAAGATTTCACGCACAATTTCGACATTTGGTTGTCAACAATCATAATTTGGCTACGGGTTTGTCTGCATAGAGTCAACAGAAGCAGGCCAATGACATTAAATGAAATGAAAATTTTGGATCTCTAAGCAACTGAATATTTAAATACATTAAATGACAAACATCGTTCGTAATGTTTATCAAAAGCTTTTTCCTGCCTTGAGGGAAATTCCGCTCTTTTTTATATATTTTGGCTCATAACAATTTAATGCTTCTGGCTCGAGTGCTTCAGTTGACGATATTTAAGAAAAGAAGTCAACCGAAATTGTTTTTCGATACTCGACCTATCACTTTGTATCATTTATTGGAAGCATTAGAGAATTTTAACCACAAGGGATTTCATATTCCAATAAGGGGTTGAATTTCATGTTTTTCCATTCTTTCATGAAGATTACATCCAAAGATATTAGACGAAGAGGAAGAAAACGAAATGATACTTTTTAAGTCACTTTATTACTTTAAAATATCTCAAAGGCATTTTATTTAAAGATAGGATGAACTCCCCTCAGTTGAAACAAAAGTTGAACAACATCAACTTCACCCTATACAGCAATCTAAATATAATTGGGTCGGTTTTATTGGACGATAAAATATTTAACATAACTAATGACTTAAAAATATAAATCCCTTTTAAACAAGTACCTACATAATCTCTTAATATTCTTTATTCATTCATTCAACAAAGGATGTTGTAAATATTATTGTTATTAAAGAAATTGGTTTTTCGTCCCTTTCAATGTTTCAGTGAAGTGAATATTTCTCCCAACATTATAAAATTGCTTAATATGAGAATAAGTATGTACATTGTAAAAAATTAATAACATAAGCCCTCCTATGGTGAATTCCGGTAATGGTGTTTGAGAGTTTATTAAAGCTATGAAGAAAGTGTAACAGGTTGTGTGGTAAATTTACGAAACACTTACACAAATACATAAAAAGAAAAAAGAAGAAGGAGAAGCAGCCGAAAAGTGTCTGTAAAAATAAAGAGCTCCTTAAAACGGTTGCGACCGGCAATGAAATATGAGTGCAAAGGAACAGGTGAAAATTTGTGTCCTATCACAATATTTAGACAGCTTTAATTTGGATAATGTGAATCCTGTGAGACAAAGCAAATCCAAATGTTGTCCGTGCTTTTGGGAACAACAACGATAACAATGAATCGAGGAGAGCAAGAAACTCTCTATAGACAAGCACGAAACTTACGACTGCACCAAGAATCCAAAGCACAACTCAATAATAATAAACCTCGGCACCATTCGTATGGTAATATTCATCAAATACATTCGACGACATCATCGGGAAGTGTTCAGAAACAGGGAATGAATTATCGTTCAGTGTTTGGTGGGAATAATCAAAGACCTTTGACAGTATCAGCGTGCGATGATCTTGTGTTGAGTGTTTTAAAAAGTCCTTTGCGTGATCAATCATTGTTGAGTAACTTGAGTAGTGTCGCAGGCACAAGTGTAAATAGCGATAGCGTCGAAGGTAGTGTAAACCGTATGTCAACTGTGACAAGTCTTACGACAGCGACCGCTGATAATAAAACTCCAAGTCCAAAAAGCTCCACTCATCATACAACGTACACAACTCTTCAAACATCTGAAGACGATTTAGCTGACGATGTAGAGCTTGCCATGGAAACGACTGAACTTAACAACGACGCAAGAGACCAATTTAATAATCCCGATTTATCTCCTTACGGCCTCAAATTTTTAAGACGTTTTCGAACATCAAAGTTTGAAACTCATCATCGTCGTGTACCCACACCAATGAGACGTAAACATAATCGTGGTCGGTCAAAATCGACGGCTGACATCTTAGATGGAGTTAATGAACCCAATCCTGATGAACCAGATGAAGTCGCCATTCAAAATGGTGCTGCAGAAGGAATTGAAGGAGGTTTGCAATAAAAATTGAATGAAAACTAATTTGTGGAGAATAAAAGGAAATTCATCTTCCTTCCAGTTGAAAATCCGTATTATCCAATAGCTTTACCGATTGATCAAGCTTTTAAAGCTAAATATGTGTTTCATCATCGACGTGGAAAGACATTTCAAGAGCGACTTTATGTTTTTCTCGAACACCCTGGAGGTTGGCTGTGTTTTATTTATCATTTTACCGTGTAAGTATATGAAGAGAAGTCTTGTCAACGACATAAAACGAACCTTTTGTTCTCGTATCATCAATATCCGCTTTATTTATAGAATAAAATCTTAAAGTCATTTTCTGGAATATCCTGAACATGAAATTTCATATTTTAATATTCATGCATGGAACTTGATGTTGCTGCACAAGTTTTATAACTTTCTGTCAAGATAATTAAGCAGAAAATCTGAAGCTGTCAAAAAGTTAATTAATTTCTATGCTGTTAGCTATGAAAGAGATGACTAAAGTAATAAGTATCAAGTCAAAGTTATCTCAGAAGTTAATGAATCTGATGCAATTTGTTACTTAAAGCAGCAGTTGCGTTGCTGGTTGCTTTTTTATTGATTTCTTATACAAGTGGAAAATTATTCGCGTACATTTTCTTCCAATTATCTTTCCACTTAAAATGAAAGCACAATTTATGTTGCTTGATGGAAATTTGTTTCACAAGCACAACATAAAAGAATAACTTTCATTAACAACCTCGGTAATCTTCGTAAACTATTAAATCACGCTTACGTTCAATGATCGTAAGTGGAAAACCTCAGCTTCGGTCTCATTTTCTTTCATTAATTTCGCAGATTTATTGTTGTAAATCTAAGAAATTATCAAAGTGATTCTCAATTAAAATTAATCACCAAATCGTGTTTCATTCCATAGTTTCATGCTTGTTCTTGTCTGCCTGATATTCAGCGTATTGTCAACAATCGAAGATTACGCAGACTTTGCTAACGAAACTTTGTTCTGGATGGAGATTTGTTTAGTTGTTTTCTTTGGAGTCGAATATATTGTAAGACTTTGGTCAGCCGGATGTCGGTCGAAGTACATGGGATTTTGTGGAAGGCTTCGCTTCATCAGAAAACCAATTTGTATAATAGGTAAGTATAAATTACCTCGTTAAAGAAGTCACCTTGTTTAAAACACATTCCAACATATTAAGTTCGTCATAAATTTTCTTATTATGCATTCAAAAATTAATTCAAATTTATTCGAGCAGCTTTTCCTTTCTTTCCTTTTCCTAAATTTATGAAATTAGGTCGTCTTTGTATGTTCTTTGAATACTTATTTAATTTAAATGTAATGCATTTTCAAAGCTTTCGTAACGTTATTTATCTACAACAGTTTACAAGTCCTGATTAAATCATTTCGCTTTTCTCTTTGCATTTTCTTATTTAATTTTCCAGACCTCATTGTTGTTGTTGCTTCATTAGTTGTGCTGACGCTTGGTAGCAATGGTCAAGTTTTTGCAACCAGCGCTATTCGTGGCATTCGCTTCTTACAAATACTTCGGATGCTTCATGTTGATCGACAAGGTGGCACATGGCGTTTACTCGGCTCAGTCGTTTTTATTCATCGTCAGGTAAATTTTTCATCACTTATCGATTATTCTACTTCTACCTTCACACAATATACGAAGATTTGGATTCGTTTATATCATGAACATACTCGAAAGAAAAGTTGCATAAATTTTCATAAATATTAAAACTTAATAGCGGTAATTAAAGCACTTCGTTCATATTTTACACGATGTTGAAAGTTTAATTGCTTTTTTCATAATCATTATAAATAAATCCATACATTAATCTCATTACTTTTAGTTTAGTCAAGTTCTAAGCTTGAAAAAGGAAAACATCAACTTTTAGAATAAGAAAATCTTTCATTTGAGTTGTTTCAGTTGAAGAAAATTTGAAAAGTTTTCCTTTCAATAACAACAAACTAATCAATAATTTTTTTATTGCTTGACAGTTCTCCAAACGAGCCTTTTTACTGCCAACTATTAAAATTTTTCTCTTTTATTTATTGATAATTCAGGAGCTGATAACAACACTTTATATAGGATTTTTGGGATTAATATTTAGTTCGTATTTCGTATATTTGGCGGAAAAGGACAGCTCACATGACTCTCAGTTTCACAGTTACGCAGACGCGCTTTGGTGGTAAGTTGATACCTCTCTTTGACATTTAACACAGCACTGTGTTGATTTAAATTGTTGTCAATCTTTTATTAATTAATAGGGGCGTTATAACAGTGACAACAATCGGTTATGGCGATATCGTCCCTAAAACATGGCTCGGAAAAATTGTGGCATCGTGTTTCAGCGTATTTGCAATTTCATTTTTTGCTTTACCTGCTGTGAGTTCATTTTTATTTATCAACAAGATATGATTCAAGCCTTTTACTGCTCGTATTTCATTTCTCTTCTTTTTTTTTCATTAACTTGCACTGTTGTCTATTGACTTTATTTTTACTTTTAACTACGTCAACAGGGAATTCTCGGATCAGGCTTTGCACTAAAAGTACAACAAAAGCAAAGACAAAAGCATTTCAATCGGCAAATACCAGCAGCTGCAATGCTCATTCAATGTTTGTGGAGATGCTATGCAGCTGATAAAAGTTTCCACAGTGAAGCAACATGGAGGGTTTATATTCAGAACACTGATCATGATGGAAATCACAACGGTGCTAATCTCCCGACACAACTCGGCAAGGTATGTTCAGCTTAATTTCCTTCTCTACGTCTTTTCTCTCTTTTTAAATTTTTCTCAACTTTAAAAAACAAACAAAAACTGAGTCCTTTCGCTTTCAAATCAATTACATAAATTTCTAGAACGCAAGTTTGCAGAACATAATTTTTTTCCCGAAAATATCGCTTTTATTGTTACTCGCAAGTTTTCTAAGAAGAACAATCAACAAAGTGATATGAAATCTTTCTATCTCTTTAAAACTTTTTGTCGCGGCACTCGAAATGATGACGAATGTGTCATAACTTTTAAAGCACCCCATCATGATACAAAGAGAAATTGAACACTCGAAATGTTGTGAAGAAATGTGAGATTACAAAAGAATTTCGTGAAAATGAAGAACTGAATTATAATTTCATGTGTCGGTCTTATTGCCTCTGTCAGATATCAACTTCATTTGAAAAGGAGAAAATTTTAACTAATCATGTGGACAATTTAAAACATTTTCAATGAACTTTAAGCTTGAGGTGTTTAAAAACTTTTCTCTCTCTCACTTTATGCTCAACATAAAACATAAAACATAAAAAAATCTCTTTCTATCAAAATGGAATCTGTGCATGAATGACAAATTTGAACTAAATTATTTAAATTTCTTCTCAAAAAACCAAAATGTTCTAATTAAAATTATTATTTTATACTTTTGCGTGCAATTATGACTGTGTGAGTTTTTAATTCTTCAAACTTTTTATATTTGTGTCTTGTATTTGGCCTCATTAGATATTTAGTTGGAAATATTTTCCTTTTCCTTGAGTATCTATAAGTAAGAAAATCTTCTCAGAAATGCTTCTTACAAACAGTTTGTGCTTATATTTATAAATAAACAATTTTTACTGCTCTTACGACATTTATTATTAAATATAAGCTTTTCCCTAATTTAAATCTATCTGAGAAGAATCTGAGATGTGCATTAAGTAAATTTAACATTTCTGAGAAGATTGATTTATGGTACTAACATAAATATTGCTGTGAGCTTTGAAATATTTTAAGTTTCCTTCTCCTTTTCTGTTTCTCATCTTCCATTTTCTTAAAATTCTTAAGTTTTAAACTTCGTCATTTAAATTCGATTAAAATTTGCATACATTTTATGTTAGCGATAGTGGAGTTTAATGAATTTATTAAATGAATGAAAACCGACAGGAATTAGCGATAGGCGCGAGTTAATATTTATTAAATTAACTTTTCCCATTAAATCTGAGACTTTCGTTGGATAAATTTAACAACTCAGAGAAGGTAATTAAATTAAGAAACTTCAATCTTACCAGTTTTTAATTTTAGAGGGATTCTCGTCACTATGACAGTAATTTAAACTCCCCGAAAGACTCGATAATGAAAAGTTAAGCTTCAATCTTAATTGAAACAATTTTCTTATCACTTCTTGTGAATTAAATATGCAAATTTAGCATTTCACTTGTGATACTTTAATTCTTCATCCCGCTTTAATAAATTCCAGATAGTAGACAAAGATGAATAAGAAAAATTCTTTTGAATTTCCAGTGAAACATTTAAATTCTCTACAGACATGGATATTGTTGCTTCATAAAATTTTCCCAACTGACTGACTTCAGCCTAACAAAAAAAATCATTTTCCTACTTTAGCTGCTGTTTTTTTTTCATTTTCTTTTTCCGCTATTTCCTTTTCATTCAAATCAGATTGCATGCTCAGTTATTTCCTTTTTGTGCTTTTCAATTTCAGTTCTATAGTAAGCTCATAGGATTTTATTCCAATGATTTGATATGATTTCATTTTTTTTCTACGTTTCTTGAGTTTCTTCATTGATCATCCTTATTAATGTTTGTTGTGATTGCTCGGTGTTCAATGTTGTTTGTATTGTTTTGAAACATTACGGGTTCAGACCCTGATGGTGCAGGTGGCGCGGCGTTCTGCTTCGGTGCTCAAGCGACGAAAATCTCGTAATCGAATGGAAGTGCAATCAGAGCGGAATCACGAAGGCCCATCACCAGCAACAGGAAGTGTCAACGATGTAGCTCATAACATCGCAGCTAACGATTCACAAAAGGAAGGCGAAAGCGAAGTGATTTATTACATGGACGAACCACATGCACCAGGTAATTTTTAAGTATTCAAAATTATTTCCCCATTCTTCCTGCAATTTCCAACATTATTCAACTTCTGCGGTTTATAAAAGAAATCTTGTTGGAAACAATTTTCTGAGAAATGAAGCAGACTTTCGTGTTTTGCTTGTTACAATTTTCAGTCTTGAAGGAAACGATGAAGAAAAAGTTTATTTTGCGGCGTGTTTAATATTTCAAACTATTGAAACACGTTTTATTCGTATCTAAGCTACATCTTACATCCATAACTATAGTTGAGTTGATTTTCCCTCTGAGTCATAAGTTATGACTTTCCGATTTCAGCAAGCAAACATTTCAGTCATGTTTAATGGGCGAATTCAATGTTCTTCTTTTTATAATATTCCTTTTAAAGCCACGCTTTTTAAAGCTTATAATAGATTTTTGTTTCGCGAAAAAGCTTCTCCACTGAAGCACGAAAATACTTGAGAAGTTCATGCAAAATCGTTTCGTAATTCTCCTTTCGCGTGTGGCTTTGTAGCTCCTTCTTATTTGTTTTGTTCCACTTTGAACATTTTGAATCTTCAGATTTCTTGACAAGAAAGAAGGAATTGAAGTGTAATAATTAAAGTCAATCTATGCTGACTTAGATAAAAATTTTCGCATTTACAATAAAAGAAAACTCAGCGCTTTCCATTTGAAAGAGTTATTCGTTCAATCAAACAACAGAAAAGAAAATCAATAGCAATGACTTGGAAAAATAACATCGACGCAAATATTTAATCGTTTCCATCTATTACATAGCAACAAAATGAAGGAAAAAAGTTTCATCGACGAGAAAGAAAACTTGAACTAATTTCTCATTAAAAGCTTAAATCGATTTCAATCAAAATTTTGTTTGATTACATTCAACAGGTAGCAGAAAACGCCAACCATTCATTAGTCAAACAAGTTCAGTAACGGAAGCGCCAAGTGATGAAGTTGAAGCCGAACAAGAAGGCGATGAAGATGTTGAACCAGCGCGAGTAACTCAGTAAGCTTTGATTGGTTTTTAATAAACTTTCATCAAAAATAAACTTTCGTTCTTAGATTAACCGAAGCTCATCGAAACGCCATCCGGGCGATTAGAAAAATTAAATATTTTGTAGCACGACGGAAGTTTCAACAAGCAAGGAAACCCTACGATGTTCGTGACGTGATTGAGCAGTATTCTCAAGGCCATCTTAATATGATGGTTCGAATAAAGGTGCGTTCAGAGACGTACAACAACCAAATCCCCATTCAACATTAATTAATCAATGTTTTGTAAATAATTTATTGGCACACAGGAACTTCAAAGACGCTTAGATCAGACACTTGGAAAGCCTGGTTCTTATTATGCTGGTATGGATCGTGTGGGGAATGTGAAGCCGATGACAGTTGGAGCACGAATGTATCGAGTGGAGCAGCAGTTAAATTCAATGGATCGGAAATTAGAGCAATTAGTTCATGCAATTAATAATCTTACGATTCAACAGCAGAGAATGATGCCGCAACAACAGCCACATTATTACAGCCACACTTCCGGGCCACTTGCTTTACCGCCAGTTTTCGATAATTTTAACCATCAATATCAAGCGACAGCCACTGGCATGACAGCACAACAACTGCAAGACTTGCAACTGCCTGCAGGGCCTTCAATGATTAATACTCCTGTTTCATCGATGCAGCATCCACCGCTTGAGGATGACGTATAATATAAAAAGGAGATGCTGATATAAGAAGAGAGCACACAACTTGTGAGTACTTCATAACAATCGTAGAACAATTAAATAATTAAACGAATATCTTATAATCTTAAGTAGTGGGTAAAAGCAAGTGATAAAAGTAGTGAAATTAACTTTTCATTTCAACACAAAAAATGTTTTCCCTTAATTTGAAAGATGATTGAATGTTAAACATTGAAACTTGTCAATCATTCAATCAATTTTAGATTTTAATTTGATTTTTCGGATTATGCGACAAGACAATTTGTCTCTCGCAAGACAAAAAGCACAATGTGAATTTAATTAAAGTTAAACGGAAAGGAAACTTAAGCGAGAAATGTTTAAAAAAATCGATAAAGATGGAAGAAGTTTACTTATGTAAAGTCGAGATTTAATTAAGCGAGTATAATTAATCACGTAGCGTGTAGGAAATATTTAAAGGAAAATGATAAAACCACTCATTTGAATTAAACTTTTAATTAAGAACATTCTATTCAAAGTGAAAAGATAAAGTCATAAATAAATTCAGATTTAAGTATGAATAAATCTGCAGTTAGAGGTAAAAGAACTTTTTTTTAGCTTACTTAAGATTACAATACTTACTAAACTAGAAACAGTAAACATCGACTATCATTAGTGAAATTAAGAAAGATAGAAATCTAACTAATTCATAAGTCAACGAAAACTCTCTGATGCTGATAATTGTGATTCCATTTGTTGATTTGACAATGAAGAAGACAAAAAAGTTGAGAAACAAAAACTAATTGTGAAATCTTTTGTAATTAAGAATGTGCGGTGTCGTCTTTCATTGCGTCATGTTTCTCAATTCATTGTTTAAAGTTTCTCAATAAGAAATCACAAAAATTTATTTTTACTTTCTAAGGTAAATTAAATTTGCATAAATTCATTCTAGAACATTATGCGCGCTTATCATCAATTTAAAAGCAATACAGGATGACCTTTCTGAGCTTTACATATTTACATTGCAATCAACATTATTGAATTACGATTGTAGAGTTTCCTTGGACGAAGTTTCTCTTATGCTGTCTCTTGAATATTGAAAGTGCAAACATCTCAAATTTTCCTTACGCTACATAAATAAACATGGAGAAGCTTTATCTTTGATTTTCATTGTACATAATTCTAATAACAATTTCCAACTCAATAATTTTCTGATATTATTTAATATGCGTAAGAAAGCGTAAGTAAATTGAGTAGAAAACATAATCATGATGAGTAGGTTCATAAACATACATAAATATATGAAAGGGAAAGTAAATAAAATTTTGTTTAATTTTACATTATTTATCATCGAAAAAGCATACATTTTGTACATCTAGACTAATGCTGTGATCATAACATTAGAATCAGAATTCTTGAAGCGAAAGAAAATAATTAATTTGGAAATATTTATGTTGATACTTCAAATTCTCTTCAATAAATTTCTTTCGTCTTCATCTAATCAAAATATTTTTGAATTGTTGTGCAAGAATAATTTGAAATGGTTTCGTTATTTATTTTAAATTCTTTCATCTGATTTGGCAGAAGCTAAAAATAAATCCGAGTTCAGTTACTCATAATCTTTAAGATTTTGTATAATTGATGCTTAAACAATAATTAAGAAATTACAGCAAAGGCTTAATAACTTCAAAACAATTCCTTAAGAGCTTAAAAATCACACACAAACACATATCCAACAACACAATCACTCGTTTTGTTATAACTTTCATTTTTATAAGAAATTAGTGAGAATAACTGAAAGATGAAAAACCTAAGAATTATTTTATTTTATATACATAAAGAATGAAACAAATTTAAGATATTTCACGGGTCCAATCCTTTTGCCTAACCTGCTTAATTCGTGAAATATTTAATTTCACGAGTCCCACACTAAAACTGTTGTTCATAATTTCATGATAAACAAACATTTCAAACAAATCAAATGCAGATAATGAATTAAGGGAAATATTTTCTTGTAATATCTAAACGTCATGCTTTTAATATTAAGATTGATGAAAAGGAAAATCATTTCTTAGTATGCATCTTGGCAACATTTCCTGTTAAATTGCTTTGTATTCTGAAGAGCCTTTCATCAGAGAAAGCATAATTCTATTCAAACAATGCTTCATTGTTATGTTTCTCTCGAGTTTTCCATTTAAAACGTCTCACAATCCTTCATAAACGAGAATCAAGTTTTCTTTTCTAAATCTACCGTAGAGGCCTGAATAAAATGACAACAGTTTTTAATGCAATCTTGCGAAACTCAAAAGAATATTTAATTATTATGTATTAACATATTATAGAGAGACAAAATATATTAAAATAACATAACTTGAAAGTTTAAAAAGCGGCATTGGCAAAGCTTTAAAAATTGTAAAAAATGGTCTAATAAAGACAGAATTTCTTAATGCTTTAATATTTCCTTTAATTAAGTGTTGAGAAGCAGCAGAATCTTGTCAACACTTGCTGCATTATAGAATAGAAACTTCTTAGATAGTTAACATAAGTTTTTCGTACTCTGAAACGGCAACGAATTTTTCTGGTTGAGTAAATATTTAAATTGAATGAGATAAAGATAAGAAAAATAAAGAAAAGTTTTCTTCCATGCTAACTTATGCTATAAACTTTGTTCTTATGTTGTTATGTTTTGCTTAAAAGACTTTAACTTGCTACAAATTGTGAAATGTGTTAATCTTCTTGCGTTCAAATGTGAAACATTTCCTCGCAAATGATTAAAAATTGTACAAAAAATTTCGTAACTATTTGCATGAAAATCTTAAAATAACTTTTTTGAAAAGAAAGATTGAACAGATTTAATCTGAATCTATTCTGAGTTATTGCCTATTACTACCATTACTTGTTTTAAAGTGACAAAAGATTTTAATGTACTGTAAAGAAATATCATGATGAAAACTTAATAAAAACATTCTCTAAAACTTACCTTAATGTCTCTTACGAATATTTCTTTTTTTTCTTTTCAGAGCATAAATTTCTTGCTTACACTATTTCAAGATTTTTTTTAATGCACAGTGATAAAAGTTTGCAGCAATTATTTTTGTAAGAGGAAAAAATGTAGAAATGTTTCACTATAATTTCTTATGAGTGTTTTGAAACTTCCATGAATGTTTCTCACTTCTTTTATTTCATATTTTTGTTATTGTTACTAAAAATAATAAGAAAAAGATTTTTTAGAAGAAGTTGAATGTGAACGTTTCCATTCACTAGAACATGAATTACTAAAGCTTATAAAAATGAGTGTAAATCATTAAAAGGTTGAGATTTGGTTTGAGTAAGCTACACAAATCACTCAGAGAGTTTGAATGCTGATAAAGTTCTTATCAGAAATTCGTAGAACTCAAGCAAATGATTTTGTTTTTAAACGAGTAAAGTTATTTTTTATTTACGAGATGTATGTGAAAATCATGTTGAATAAAATCATTCCTGATGAGGTTCTAAATTTGGAATAAAGAGCATTAAACTTTGATATCATTCAATTGAAAGGAGTTGGAATTTATGAGCTCTAAGAATGACTAACATTTCTTGCTTTCAATCAAATAAATATGACCATTGACTTCAGAACAAAAGATTTTTCCAGTTATTGTGAGAAGGATAAGAATAATAATTCAATCAAATGCGGTGAATAAAAATAATGATTAAGAAAAGTTTCGAAATGTTCGACAAAGTTTGACGAATGTTTAATGACAACTATAATAAAGCAGAACTCGAAGTAAAATTGCGTCGTTTCATTGTTCATTATAATCATTCATTAAGTTAGTTGAAGCAAAAGTGGCATTTATTATTCATAAATCGTATTTAGATTTTTCAAGTTGATAGGATTTTGTTATGTTTCGTGATCTATAAGCAAGCTCAGGCGACATTTTTTCTTTTCCTTTCTTTTTCATACGACAACCAAGCTAATGATAGTAATTTTCACTGTGAAAAACACGCAAAAGTGATATTTAAGGCTTGTGTTTGTGTGGCATTAATGAAATTGCCATGTTGGGAGACTCTTTAGGTCAGCAAACTTTATGTCGAAATGTCCCAGTATAAGCTAGAAAGTTTTTTATGATTTTTCCTGCTTGCAGTGTTACAAATACCTTCGTCATTCTAACTGAGTTTTTATATTGTCCACCGCTAACCTTTTCCAATGAATTTATATTTGGATGGTCTTAATAAGGATTCATGAATAAATGAAAGAATTCTTCGCAAATGACCAACTCAGGCTAATAAATTCTTTTGTGGAATTTTGACACAAGTGATTGATGTGGCCTTGGTTGTAAGTTACAAAAGCTTAGGAGAAATTATTAAGTTTTTCTTATCAATCGGAATCATAAAAACTAAATCATCGATTATTGAATGCTTTTGTTTATAAGATAAAAATTATTTCTTAACCTTTATTCGTGCAAAGAGACATGAATATTTGATAATGAGATAAATTTGGAAAGAAGCGAGCAAGTTTTGTTGATTCATCAACAACTTGTTGACATTTGAGACATGTTTGTAGAAAACGAAACAAAATATTTTAATTATTTAATCGTCAAGAACTTTTATCATGTTGATTAGAGAAACTTCTTTTCATTGATTCATTGAAGTCATAAAACATTCGAAACTATTTGTGAATGAGAAGTTTGTAATAAATTTAGATATAAATTATATTAAGTGAGAAAACCCTTTTCAGTATCAATATTTTATTTCACTTTGTATTAAATTCAACATACATCCGACTGTTACGTTTGTAAAATTGATTTCCGTATAAAACAGAAATATTCAATTTAATGTCGATCGATATCCTTTAGGCGTATACGATTTCCGATACATGGAATGAATAATAAATTTATGTTTTCTGTTGAAGTGCTTTTACTATCTATTCGTTGTAGATTCAGAAATTATAAATGTCTACATTAAGTGACATATCTGTAATTTATTATTCATATCTGTTTGAAACCAAACAAAAAAGGAATTTTTTACAAGTATCTAATTGGACAATCAAAATAAATTTTTCATTTAAGTGGCTTCAAATTAACTTTGTTTTAAGCAATATTTATGGTGGGAATAATTAAAAAAAAAAGTTCCTGAAGTTTATTTATAGCTTTGCATGCAACATAAGAGAACAAGGAAACAATTTAATCTATTTTATTTCTGTACAGAATATTTTGATACTTATCTACCTGTTATGCTTCGAAGTATTCTCATGTCATGTCGAAACACGGAAATTCATTTATGTTTGATGTTACAAACTCATATGCAGACATAAAACATTGGCCAAAATACATTCACTCGTCTACCTTTCTGCTTTTAATCTTCATTGCCTTCGATCACGTAAAAACCCTCAAAGCCTCTTTTTTAAATTACAAAGTGAATGGCTAATGCTTTACCCTTAAAATTCCAATGTTTTAAGCCCTTCTACAATGCAATACAAGCGAAAATATGTTAAACGAAGAGAAAAATTGTTTGATGAAAAAAGCTTCCTGTCTAAACTTTTTTACATTAATCTCAAGAAGCTTTAATGGGTTTTTGTAGTTTTCTTTCCCGATTAATCGCTTGAAGGATGAAAGCAACAAAATTGTAAAGAGAAGAGAATAAAAGTATTGCGAATATCTAACAAGCTACAGCATAAAGGACCTTTTGTGATGAACAATGACTGCGTACAAAAATCCTTTGTAAAGTACAAGCGCCTTTAGCAGTTTCCTTTATACTTTTGAAACATTACCTCGATTCTATCGATTGTTGAATCTTTTTAAGAAGAAAGAAATTGTTGTAATATTTCATTAAGAATGTTTCTTATGAATCTAATGTGAAGAGCAGTTTGGCAATTTCTTCAGCTAATTTATTACCTTTTGATGAGGCTGGGCTGAGTATTATTGAACCCGAACATTCATCATTGTTCTCTTTTTATAACTTCTAACTACAACTGCCATTAAGCACCAGTAGCAACAGCCTTTCCTCCTCTAATTTCATCTACCTAACGTTGGCTTTTCCACATAATTAAATATAAACAATTCATTGTAGCCTCTTGTGCAGATAGAAACAAACTTTAAAGAATTATTTATTTTATTTTCTCTCGCTTTTGAAGCTCAAACAATTAACAATAAATTTCAATTTTATGGTAACGACAATCTTGTATATTATTTATTGACTCTAAATGTATTTTAAGTAGAAAAGGAAAAAGTAAAGCTTTTTAAGTTCCGGTTATCCCATGGCATATGGCGCTTTCTTATGTGTAATCACAAAGACGATACCTTCAGCTCTATGGTGGTAAAAATAATAATTCAACAGATTAAAAGAGTCTCCATAGTATTCTGCTTTAATTCTTTTTCAAATCATCAAAGAATTCAACTCACTTTCGTTCACAATGTTCTCCCATCATGATTCGGTTAATGCCAAGCTTATTACGAACTTTTTGCTTCAGATTACACCACCCGAACACATATTGGAAGTAGCTTTCACATCGAAATCCAAAGAAGCCTATCTCGCTATTAATAGACTCAGCGAAATATTCTGCGATTAAACATGACATGGAGGGAAAAAAGTTTTGTTAGCTGATGAGTTGTATGTAAGTAATTTAAAAAATTTATAAATGTTTATTAAGGTGCGCCATTGAGTGACACTGAAGCTTTCTTCAATATTTAAACACGAAAGTCGTCATTTATGCAGAAATCCTAATAAATTGTTGGAAAGCGAATCAAGAGAAGGGAAATATTTATCTATTGGATTTCAATTTCAAACTTCAATCAGATGTAGAAACAACAGGTGCTTTCAGATAATATTTCCGTTTTCTTTTATATTTATTGAGCACCAAAATAAAAAGCGATTTGTATGGAGATAAGCATGAATTGTGAAATTTGATTTGAAAAGGATGTTTGAAGATTTTGGATAAAAGATGGAATTGAAAATTGTGTGGGAGTGTGGGAAACAATAAAGTTTAGTTACCTAATGCCATCATATGAGAACAAAGGTTTTCATCTGAAAGAACATTAAAACATTATTATATGTAAATCGATTAATGTTGAACATAATGAAAAGAAAACAGAGAGAAGAAAATTATAACCAGCGAGCGGTTGTACTGATGCAATACACACTCCGCTTGTAATTCCATACTTTTTGCCTTCACACATGCCGGCTGTAAAAACAAAGAAAAGTGTCGATGAGCATAATTCACGCATTGTATGTATCAGTTATGTCATTTTCATTTAATTATTTTCTTTTGATATATTTTGCAAAGACTTGCTTAATTAACCTGAAATTGCCCATTGTTCATGAAGAAGTCGATGTGTCCGCATGCTTCTAATTTCCCGTAAACGCCCGAATTCGTATGAATAACATCAACAAAATTTCTGAAAGAGTTTTAATAATCTTTCAATAGACAAGTCACCTATGGTTGAAGATCTTCTTACCCATCGGTTGAGTCGAGTTTCCAATGTTGACGTGCTGTTGCGAAAAAGGGTAACGCCGGATCCAATCCTATTAAAAATTGATTGTCAACATGTTAAAGAGATGAAGTATTACGACAATTTTATTACCAGTTATCCTATTGAATTTGACCCCTAAAGACTTTTCAATTGCATTGCCTTAACGACGGGTAAAGAAGAAAAAAAAGAGAAAAAAAATTATAGCATACAACTCGCTTTCATAAGAGCCACAATAAATTTAATATCGGAATGGTTATTACTTGCAAAAGAAGCAACGTGAGCGCCAAGTGAAAAGCCTATGGCATGAACATTTGATGCCTTAAAACCTTCATTGTTCTCTTCCATCCCTAAAAGAAATTGAGCTGTACATTCGCCAGCTTGCTTTGTATTCAAGGCAGCTGATGGATAGCCTAACAAAAGAAAATTTCAGTCATATTAAATTATTTGCAAGCTTTACATACACGGAAGCCTTGCCAATCGACTCCAATCAACAACGATCACCATCGTTTCTGGGTTTCGTAAATATGCTGAAAGAGAAGGAAATGAAAAAGTTCTTTGACATTGACTGTCAACTGGTTCGATTGAGAAGCAAAATTGACATTCAAGTTGTGTTAGAAAATTTAAATTCCTAAAGATTTCATTAACCAAACAATTTTCATGACTAAGAAATAACAAAAAGATTCAATAAGCATAAAACTATCAGCAAAAAGATGAACATTGTAAATAAATTACTAGAAAACTGTTAACGGTTTGGTCTCTCTTGCATTCAAGAGTAAGAATTACAAACTGTCGTGAGATAAAAAAGAAACATGAAAAGTCATACTCAAAGTAAATGAATGTATGTCTCAGATAGTTGTGCAATTAATGCAGGTTTAGTTAGCGTTCAGAAAATATGCAGTTTTATTTAATTCAATGAAGCGTTTACCGTTTCGAATTTGCTTGAATCCATTGGCATCTAAATGGCCACCATAACCATGAATTATCATCTTAAAGTTCTTCTTTATCGTTGCATTGTAATCAAGCTCGAGATTCGGTGAAAGGTTGTCAAGGAGAATCGGCTGATTTAATGGCGTATCATTCGAATATAAAAAGAATTGAATCGAATTATTGGCACACGGTTCGAGGAAGCTCAGATAACATGGACCAAGTTCAAACTCTTTCGTGAAAATTTCTTTGATAAACTTAAATATCACAAGAAGGCTCACGAAAATTATTTTGTTTTTCACTAACAAACTCATCGTGGACTTTTCTTCTCTTTTCACCACTTTCACCACGACTTCCACGTGAGTTTCTTTAAGACTTTTTCACACTAAAGGAAAAATTTCTCTTGACTCTCTTTTCACTTTTCTCTGCTGTTTAATTTCTCATTAATGGAAAATCCTTTAATTTTTCTCCACTTCACTTTTACTTCTATTTATTCTTCGCGCCACTGTTTAACTGAGAAATAAATTGAAGACTGTTGTCCGCTCTTTCGATTCAATTTAATATGTTTACATCGACAGACGTAAAGCCATACATTGGTAGTGACGTAAATGAATTTCGCCAGCTTCAAGCATTAAAATCATTTCACATTGCCAAGTATGAAAATGGCACAGTTTTAAATTATTTATTTTTCTTTTAAATGCACTTGATTTTAACTCTCCGTTTTAAGCTTTACATTTTTTAATTTATTTATTTATATATTTATTTATTCTCTCTCAACTCTCAATCTCAAAAGCGTCGAATTTCTTCTTCAGTTGAGTAAGGCAAGCGTGATGATCATGAAAATGTTAACTGTTGAATGATTTAAACGAAACTAAATAATCTTCTTGCATAATTATGTTATCACGTGCTATGATAAGTGATATTGATTCAATGAAAAACTCATTCATTTCACTGTCACGCTAGCACCGATTTACTTTAATTACACTTTGATGCCATAAATATCCACCAAAACTTCAATGTTTTATTATAACATTACTTTAATTGAAGGGGAAAAAATTTAAACGATTTTTATGCTTCCGTAGCGATACGCAAATCACGAATGTCGTCGACAATTAACTGTAGAAAGAGTTTCGGTTGTTGACACAAAAACTTCTAATTTGGGGAAGACAATAGAAAAGGATGGAACGACTTGTAGCTTGTAAGTGAGTTAACGAAGTGTTGTTTCTTTAACTTGATTTAAAATCTCAACGTTTACACTCCCACTTCAGTTTTCATTGGTTTCCACATGAAACAATCTGCAATTCTTGTTCATTGAGTTTTAGAATGGCTTTGAAGTCTCCCCACAAAAACAGAAAGAAAGATTTATTATCTATTTTTGCTTTTGAACTTCTATTTTGAAGCATTGCAAATGACGGCATGGCAAATGAAGATTATGACATAGAGTGGAACAAAAAGGATCGTAAAACAACACGACATTCAATGTTAAACGAAAATAACCTCTGGGTCACTAAAGCAACATTCAATTTATGGATGAAAGTGCAGAAAGGTGAAATATTCACAAGAAAATTATTTGTTACGCAAAATATGATAAAATTTTAATAAATGGCGACGATAACAATTTCAATTTTATTGATTTGAAAATTACTTTTATTGCTTTCAACAACCATTGATTGTAAAAATATAAATCAGAAATCATTATAATTATTATTATTTTAATAAGTAGGTAGATAATGCGCTTTTATAATGCAACTATCATTAGTTAATGATAGTAAATTGAAATGAAATTTAAATTGAAGATAGTCAAATAGCAAAATTGAGTTATTAAGTGTCTCGGTACTTAGTTGTTGTCATCAGACTTTAACACAACAATCTAACGTAGATATTGTAAAATATTTAACTTATTTACCATTTTAACTTAGAAAAGACTGCAACAGAAGGTGAAATTGAATATCTTTCTGTGAATGCTTTTAGTGTGGTCGGAAAAGTTTAAGCGACACACATTTGACGCTTCAATTTGGTTCAATTAGCTTGTAAATCTTTCCTTAAAAACATAAACATTTTTACATGTCAACTAAATATTTCCTAAAGCTTTTAACAATCGATGGATGTTAAATTAAATATTCACAATATTTAAATCAACTCGTTCCACTCTGGTGCTTCTAAACAGCACCTTTTATCGCCGATGTCATTTGCATGCTTTGGACAGAAAGGCGGATCGGAACCTTTGAAACAAAATGATCCGCTTGCGCTTGAAGAAAATAAAAGAAAAAATGTTTAAAAATAAAAATGAAAGAAAATAAATTCAACTCACGATTTCGGTGTTGAATGTCCCATTGGAATCCCATAATTTAGAGCAAAGCCGTAACGGCTTTTCGGAATACGTCCAGGCTTTGATGTGTTTGGAACAAGATTGACACCTGATGGACATTTCCTGAGACAAGGCTCAGCTATCATTTCACTGCTGTCGAAAACTGACTGAGCCAAATAACAAATCGCCCAAATATGCGAACATAAATTCACATTTGTTGTGTTGCTGCAGTAGGGTTGTCTGAAAGATTCAAAGATGTTTATCTTTAAAGTGATTCCTTCATATTTATGTTCAGATATCCTGACCTTCTTCCGCCATTCACACAAAAATCGATGTGCCCAATTCTGCCGCCTTCGCCATAATATCCTGCATTGGTATGAATGACTTGAACTGATCGAGCATCGCCATTATCCAATCGATTATTATTTCCCGGTCTAATCAATGGACGTGCTGGATCCAAAGCGATGATTCTTTCCAAACGGAAATTCAAATGATTCGCCATCAAACCACAAATGTGAGCACTAATCGAATGTATTTATTATCAGATTAATGTCATTCATTTGTTTTATTCATAACTTACCCTAATGAATGTCCAACACAAGTCGTTTTATCCGGACGCAATCCAGCATTTCTCAGAAATGTGAAGCTTTTCGCTACACAATGCGCAACTGTTTTCATGTTATGAACTGCTGCGATACTGATGTTATCACAAAATCATGCAATCAAATGATAGAAAGAAATCATAAACATAAAATTGTTTATTACTCACTAGCACGGAGGTTGACACAGCGGTGACCAATCCACCACGAAAACGTTGTATTCGCCATGATTAAGGTATGCATCACGAGCCACTGCCATCGGTAGTAAATCATCTCCACCAGCATAACCGTGAACTAAGATTATGTTTTCTTTGCTGCCATTCCAAGCACTCATTCTAAGCCAATCAGTTTCTCCAACATCCAACTGCATGAAGTCAAACAATTTCAAACATTTTTAACAACTACAAAAATTTATTCTTCTTTCTTTTACGTAAGCAATGCTTGCATATTCGAGTTCATGATCAAAGATTCAAATGAAACGAAATGAAATAAATTGCAGGTATTCTCTTAAATGAAAACTCATTGAATGAATGAAAAATGTTTCAAGGTTGCACAACTGCACATGACAACTGTTAGTTTGCTCTGCTACATATGTTGACTTGATTTTTGAACGCTAAACGTAAGACGATCTTTTTTCATGTCCATAAAACTTATAGCATTACATTTTAATATATTTACACAAGCATGTGTTGTTTATGTATCACCACATGGACTAAACATTCAATGCCTTTACCATTGATTCAATAAACTGCAAAATGCATTTTATGATGCAGGCAATGACGTTGATACAATCACAGTGACCGGTTTTCTTCATAGCAAATCAACAATATGTTTATATGAAAATAATTACGGTACAAGCATACGAAACTTTTAAACCCATTACATTGAATCTTTCAAGTTTGCCTTGCATTAGTTCAAGGTCGGAGACAAAACAACTTACCCACAATTTACCGCGATTCTTTCCACCATTTACACTCGTGTAAAGTATGACATTAATGTCTGGGTCTGGACAAATATCTCTTTCATTGCCATACTTCCACTTGCAATCATCTCTTGTTGTATTGAAGGCAGAAGGATTTCCAAGGAAAAGTGCTTGACTTATGATGTTTTGTGCATTGGAATCTGCGAGAGAAAGCAAGGCATCGATAACATCACTTTGATTGGATTTTCAGAATTATTTATCACTTACAAATCAACACACCGCAATACATTGCGAAACTTCCAACCATAAACTTTATTAAAATCATTTTGATTTATTCAATTTTATTCACTTAAATGTTCAATGCTTTGAAGTTTTATTTATCACGAATAATTTTGCATTCCTTAAAAGAAGAAGACGTTTCAGTAAAAGCAGGAGATATTCTTCTTGTTAACCATTTGAACGCTGCAGATCGAGTGACATAATAGTTTTAAATGATAAATATTTTTATACTGCGATTGGTGCTTCTACACTTGATCGTAGTTAAGCGCAAAAACATAAAAGCACCAAGCAAACTCGATAATTATTTATAATTCTTGTTACGATTTCTTTCAAGAACGTTATTGTGTTGCTTAGTTGTTTCTAATGATAAGTTATAGCTTGTTACGTTATTTACTGACGGAACCAACAGAGTTAAATAAACTCGACTTGCACGTACGCAATGCCAGTTTTCATTCATATTCTAATCTCATAACCAGCAGTTAACGGTTCTGTTCGTCATTCATCGTTCTCGCTGGGCATTTCTACAATAAGAACAAACAAAGTCCACCAAATAAACGATGAATTTTGTGAAATAAAAATTTAATTCAGTTACCTTGCTTTTGGCAGTTTCGTTTTTATCGAAAATTTATTCACTCATTCGAAATGCTTTCCGAATTCATTCAACGGATTCAGTAAACAACACAACTGATAAAATATTTAATTTACTTATTTTTATGTTGCAGTTTGAAAGTGAAAAAGATTTATTTGATTGATTGAAAATTTTCTATATTTTTTGTGCTTTTCTTAATGTTTAACGTTTGATATGACTTCATCAGACTTGAAAGAAATTTTTTGCTTTCCAACTTGTTTCGGCTTTTGCACTTTAGGGCACCTTCAGGGCATCAATGATGTTAAGCAACGAAATGCAAATTAAAACAGTGAACCAAAAATTAACAAGTTACAATAAATAAACTAAAGTTGGGTGCAGCAGAAAGGCCCTGAAGAACGCCCTTAAGGGAAGATTGAAACCAGTCGGAAGAAACCTGATTTGACCAGATGTGACTTTGAATTTTTAAAACTCGAACCACATCAATCTTGACACAAATTAAATGCATTTCATCTTTCTAAACACTGAACTGAATAAAAAAACCTTCATCATGAAAAGCTTGACACGGAAGATTAGAAAAAGTGACAGAAAGTTAATTGCCTTTGTTTGGGTTAATTATTTAGGGTTGATTTATGATGGAAAATTCTCTCTTTGAGTCATGAATTGTTGCTGCTGATAAGTTGTAAATACATTGTTTATTAAGTCATTAAAACAGCAATCGCTGTTCTTTTGTTCTTCGCATGTTACATGCAAAGCAATTACACGTTTTCCTCTCGATTTTCACGACATAATCTGTTGCACGATGACGTTGATTGATTTAAGATTTATGAATGATTTTGAGGTTGATGACACTAACTGAACGGATACATCGAAAGATTTCTATCACAATTTACCATAAATTAAACAAAACAAAAGAGATTGCATTCCGTTAATTTAATGAAATTTTATACCTTTTAGCATTGCAACAGAAGAATCTTAATTGGTTGAAAACGAAAGTTTTTCATTTACATTTTGTTTTGTTGAATGATTCTTTGTGAAACATGTAAACATAGAATAAATGAATACATTCTATTAAATATTTATGCTATGTAGGAAGGTTTGCTTGGAATTTTTTGTAGTTTCTCGTAGAAAAAGTCTCGTGAGTGTCAAAAGAGTTTTTTTCTTTCAATATTTTACTGTTCCTGGTCACGTGTCTTCAATGAAGCTTTTACATTTCATTTCTGAAATTGTTGCATCTAATATAGGCTAAACATGTGACTAGAAGGAACGATGACAGTTTGAAAGAAATTTTATGATTATTTAAGTAGTTAAAGAAATTTCTGTAAAACATGAGAAGAAAAAATTGTCAAAAAATTGACACGAGAGAAAACTGAAAATATCAAAAAAATGAGATTGATAAGTCGAGCAGCTTACCTGAGTAATCAATCTTGTTGTGTTGTGTTCAGTTTTGAAAAGTTCATTCAGACAAATTTTGAATGAGATTGAAATAATTCACATTTAGAAAAACATTTCCACTTTTTCCTTCTTTAAATATTTCTGTAAGCATAATTTATGAAAGTTCAAGAGAAATTCAATGATGAATTTTAATAAAATTGAAACAACTTTATTGAATGAAATTCTCACTCCAAAGACATAAGAATTCCAAAAGAAAACAGAAAATAAGATCCAATCAAAGAATATTAAGGAAATGATGCAAGTTGACACTAAAATCATCAGAGATACCCGGCCGAAGTACGGTTTACAGGTAACTCGTCATACGCAGAAGATTATCAAATTACTTATCGATATCTTCAGTTAATTAGTCGTCAGCTTACGGGGAATTGTGCAGTATATAAGAGAAAAGCTTTCTCTTCCTCATATCTGCACGGTTCTTAACCTCATCCGCCGCCCATAGGTGGACTGCAGACATCACTCATTCTACCTATTCGTCCAATTCTTCGTTCTGGTGGCCTTGGGTTGAAATTAAAATTGTAAATATTGAATTGAAACATAATGAAATGATGAATGTTACCTTCTTGATCCAGGACCACCCCCGCCACCACCAGGTCCCCCTCCTCCACTTCCACCTCGATAGTCTCGAGAATATCTCGATCCACCTTTGTTTACATTTTCACCAAAAAGAGTTTTGAAGCTAAAAAAAAGAAGTTTTTGAATTTCTTCCGGAAAGTTTTAACTTATTTAAAATTTTACTTACAAGTAAGTCAGAAAGTTCCATAATCCATAGAAGAATAATGTAATTTTTGTTAAGAATGGAGGACTCTCCATCAGAGTTCCATCTGAAAAAGGAAGTTTGTAAAACATCAAAATTTGATGACGAAATTTCTTGAAAACACAAAATCTAAAAGTCTCTTAATCTTCTTACCACTTGCCACGTATGGCATTGTGTTTAATGATTTAAGGTACAGCAATTAAATTATATTTACTATATTATTTACTATCACGATATAAATTATTGAACTAAATTAATAAAAACAGAAGGAAATCTTGAAAAAATGTTGAGTCAGATTAGAAAACCATACAACATCTCCAAGGGGTATAAAAACGGCATTGGTGCTTGAGAACCTTACAATACTTTACATTCTCGAAGAGCTTTCAATTTATAATCTTTCAAAAGCTTCCAATTCAAAAACAACGTAAAATACTTTGATGAATATTCATCAGAATTTATTTTTAAAATACTGTTACAGTATAATGATATATAAATGTATAAAATTCATGAATAAAAAGAAATTATTTGATCACATCTTAAGCAGTAAATAATTCTTATCGAATTGATTCTTAACTTATGAAAGCTACTTAGAAAAAGCCTCCCTTAATCTGTTCGTCATCACTGCACAGTCCCTGATAGTAATAATGTCTACCCGTTAAACAGTGCGAGGCAGTTTTTCCTTTTTTATAAACAGGCAGGGTGTAAACATTAGTCCACGAATAATTGCATGCAAAGACGTGAACTCTGTAATTGTAGTTGTTCATTCTTTGTGTAAACTTCACAAGGCCACATCCGACTGTAAATTCAATAAGAAAAAAGTTTAATTGAATAATCTTAAATTTGAACGTTTTAATTCTTCGCACCTTTGCTTTGTTTATCATTAACCTGGAACAAAAAATTAAAAAAAAAGAGACTCATTTATAATATTAAGTTCTACAATCAAAGAACTGAATGAAATTACCATCAATGTGAAGTGGCCAATCGCTGGACCATTTGAACGGTAGAAACCATCAATAACTGCTGGATTAGCGTCTTTGTATTCGATATACCATTCAGTAGTAAAATTTCTGATTGCCCAGTCAACTGTGTGATCATCAAGAAGCCAACCAAGTGCAAGATTTTGTCCGGCAAATGCAAATGATCTCGTGTTGCGACACTATGGAGTTATGCGATTTAATTGCGTTGTAAAATAAATAAGTTTATGAAAATTACCTTATCGTGTTCAATTTCACAACTCATTGCATTAAGCACTGCAAGATGAGCCAACTCGTCATCCCATTTTAAGGCGCCCATTCTAACAGCTGAGGGAAAGCCTGGCGTCCTACCTTCAGCAATTGTGTTGCGATGATCATTATGCTTGTGTAGGATTAATCGTTTTGAATAGTCATCCAGCTCAATAACGCGCGCATCAGAACTGCACAAGTGGCCAAAGTGTCCTTTGTTGACACAACCAATGTGCTTTTTATTGCGGGGACATAAACCAGGTTCACAATAATCATAACCATATGGAGCTGACTTGTAATCAATTTCATTTGTGCTGATCGGTGATACTGCATGAATCTCTTTCGTTAAATAAAAAACGATCACGGCTAAAACTGATACGCCAAAGAGAAGAACAAAAGAAATCTTCTGAAGTTTTACACGAGCAAATAAACAATTATAAGTGAATTAGAATGGAAACTGTTTTTATGTTTCGAGAATGTCTTTAAGATTTAAAAAAAATCATCACTGATGTGCTTAATGTTTGATTTAATTTTTTTGTTTCTTTTTCTTTTGAATCCCTTACATCTATTTTTAGAAAAGAAAAAAAAAACTTAGACAATCAACAACAAGAACGATGTTAAAAAAAACTTTGACAACGATTTTTTATACACATCATCGCGATATTTTCGTTCATGATTTATAGACGCTCGCGTTGCTCGTGAAGCAATAAAGTCGAAACTCAACTCAGAGTGCTTAATGTAAACTCCATTAGCAAACAAGCGCACAAAAGTCTTTGTTGTTCCTTGTTTACATTTGACATTATCCTTGACCCTTGGTGGCGCGCCGCGTCAATGATTGAACTGATTGGTAAACGTTTCAATGTCCTATCGAAAATGTAAAACGTCTGCCGAATCCATAATTAATAAAAGAGTTCTCGGTCGATGTCAATTCAAATAAAACGAAGACCATCAGAATCAGTGCTAACTCAATACCACAATATTCAAGTTGAAGTGCTTTGCTTTAACCACCGATGAAAGATGGAAGATGAAAATGAAAGTAAAACCGGACAAAGACGAGTGAAGAAGACTTTAAAACTGGGCAAACGGCTCTTCTTTTTATTTTAAAGTCATTTTAAAAGCTAATAAATTATCTTGAATCTTTTGATATATTTTTAATTATTTGTAAATAATTGAGGAAATAAATCAACAAAAAAAAATTCTTCTTCAAGGCACGTGAGAGGAAAAATCATAAATTTGCAAAAATTATCGTGATTGATTTAACTGCCGTGTTTTTACAATTTTATTGAATGTTTTAGACTGTCAAGTACTGCGGGAGTTCAACTCGTGCTGAAAGTATTTTTATAGCTTTTAAAAAGGAGCGAAGAGAAGCTAATCAGTCATCATCACGTTTCGAGGTAATAAAATTGGCAATAAATATGTCTTTTGCCCTTATTCATAATGCCATTAATCGTAATTGAAAATCAAGTTTAGTTCTATATTTAAAATAGCTTTGACAAGTTCTATCAATGTAGAAACAATTGCCAAATAAAAGCTTTCAATCCGTTAATCAAATTTAACAGAGTGAAAATGATGAGAAGTAAACAAAAAGTTCCTTTAACCGTTTTGTCAAATAAATTTCCCGTTTCTAAGATATCGATAATGGATTTAACTACCGTTGTTCAGTTAGAATTAATATAATTAGAAACTTACACAATTTCACATCAAACATTGTTCAACTTGGTCAAGTTCTTAAAATATTTACTCAAATAACAAATCGTTTTGTTTCACAAAGAATAATTTTAAATCTTTTAATTTTCCCCGGAGCGAATATTTCACTATACGCGCGTTAAGTGCTGTGCTCAACTAAGCCGTGTAAATCATCATGCTTAATATTTAAAGATTTTTCTCACCCGAATCGAATATGAGAAGATGTTGTTGCCGTTTTGTTTTTTTTCTTCCCTCCGAAAACTCGCTGTAAGTAAGAAGCGCTGAGAGAATATTTACAAAGTCTCCCAAAAGATTTTTAAATGAAAAAAAGAAGAGACTCAAACGTCCGAAGCGGAAAGGACAACTTTCTTTCTTGTCATACCCGAAAAACGAGATAAATCCAGTGACCACACCGCGAAAAATCATCACGCAACATCAGACATAGTGGAGCTATTAAAATTCAGATGATCTTTTAATATTGTGTGAGAAGACAAATGAATAATTTTAACATTTAGCTTAATAAGTCTCTGATTGCTTGCTAAGCTACTTATGTTGAAAAGAACTTCGTGAGTGGCTTGACAAATGATTCATTTATTTATTTATAAACATGACAATCGTTATCAACGTTATCAAATAAATCTTAAACGTGTTGCTTGGTAACAAATAAATATTTTGACAATCAATATTAGATATCATGAAATTATGAATTTATTTATTGGCTTGTGCTTGATAGAACAAGAAATTCTGATCATCTAAAGAATGTCAATTCAGAAAATCAAGTTTAGGCGTTGAACGTTCTTATCATCATCCTAAAATATTTGTTAGGAAATATTATTCTTACAGCCCATCACGTGAACAGGAATAAGCGGGAAAGAGATGAAAAGTTACAAGAGTTAAACAAAAATAAATATTTGTCGGGTATCAAGTTAATCTTAAGTTATTCAACGAAATTGGGAAAACGCGAATCTTTGAGGCCAAGCCCAAGCAAGCAGTCCCGAAAATCAAAAATCATTATCATCTAACAACTGAAACCTGTTTCAGCACCATAAGTTAGTTATCCATTCAACGTTCAATGAATGAATAATTCACCAGCTGCTATTGAGTGAGTTGAAGTTGACACAAAATCCAACATTTTGCTGTTCAATTTTCTTAACAAATGCCAACATTTCTCTCCAATTTCCCGCGCGACTTATCGCAATTAATAAATTTATTTGAATTCGAATTTTATCAGGCTTAGTCACGTTCGACTTACTTTCGGTTATTGAACTGCTTGTGGTCAAGAAATTTAAACAAGTTCTTGCACCAAAATGTGAAAATGTCGCTCATTGACCTGCAAGAATTTTTTTTCCGATTAAATATGCAAGCAATAATATTTGTCTTCACTTTACAATTTGCTGTTACCGCTCGCCGCCAATCGCCACAAATCAAGCCATCAATGAATGAAAAAACGAAACGTGCAAATATTTTTTTTCTAAGACTGCGTCACATGTCTTTATTTTCCTCCTAAAGCTATAAAGTTAATGGCGATGCCCGTTTGTCGCATGTTTATTTACATTTATTTTATGAATCGTTATTATGACCGAAAGATCGTCAATCAAATTTCGCGTGAAATATTTTGCGTCGTAAACAATGTGATGGAATTTTTGCGCTTGTTTTAGGTAGAAAATCATTTTTCTCCGACAATCTTCATTTGTTATTCTCTTTCTTCAACGAAAAAACGTGAATTTAGTTAAGATCAACGAATGTTGTATCAACAATCAATGTAAAGTGAGAAAATGACGCTTTCATTTGTCTTAATTTCTGAAATCACAAGCCAAGTCATGTTGAAGAATTCCCGAATCAACTTCCACTGACGATCATTTCCACTTATCTCAGTATTCATTTGTGTACTAATGATTATAAATTCAAAAACCTCACATGCTTACTTGATTTTCAATCTTATTCGACTATTTTATTATCTACATAACGTAAGATTAGCGAAAACTAATGAATGAAGTTAGTTCATGAATGAATCGTTGTGTGAATTATCGCGAATCTTGTTGTACTTGTTTAAAGTTTACATCAGACATATTAACGTCATGTTTGTTAACAGATCGATTGATACTTTTGCTTATAATAACAACTCTTGGATGTCAAACAACGTTGATAAACCTTGGAATGAAGAACAAAGGTTTAGTGTCGGAATTTCTTGACAATTTACTTATGAAGAAGAAAGAGTTAAATGAATCTTTGGGTGATTTATGTGATGAGAATCTTTGTGAATTAGCAGATGATGGCAGTCGAAGAGAGCATGTTGCATGTATCAAGAATAATGTAAGTGGAGAGAATATTTGAAATATTTTTCAAGCAGAATGATTCGACGATTTTTGTGGTTCTAGAATTATGAATCTTCATGTCCAGTGGAGACAACATTTATAGATTTTAAACTCGAAGAACGAAAGGTTATAACAGGTCTTCATAACGAGATAAGAAATTTAATCGCTTCTGGCCAGAACGAGAGATTCAAGTCTGCTCAAAGAATGGCATTTATGAAGTGGAGTAAATCACTCACTTACGTATCATCATTCAATGTACTCAAATGTGAATTCAGTCATGACAGATGTCGAAACACAAGTAATGTTTGATTTTTCATTAAGCACTTTAAATTTCTTTGAAAAGTAGGAATAAATATTTGCACAATTTCTTCAGAACGTTATAAATATTCCGGACAAAATTTGGGAATTCGTCAAACATCAAATAGAGCTGCTAACCGTACAGAATTGATGAATCATTTTAGCGATCTTATAAGATTGTGGATCGAGGAGAACAAATACTGCAATCAATCATTTATTGACTTCTTCGAGCCTCATCCGAATACTTCGTAAGAACTTTGAAATTTTATTGGCAATAAAAATTGATGGATTGACAAATGTTTTAGAATACAAATTGGCCACTTCACGGTTATGGTTCGCGATGAGAATCCATATGTCGGTTGTTCAGCTGTCGAGTATTTTCTAGACAATGACTGGTTCTATATGATTGCTTGCAATTATGCTACAAACAACTTCCATTCAGAAGGAGTTTACGTACCCGGAAAAAGTTGTTCTGGGTGTCATACTGGCTGTCACGCCAACTACACTGCATTGTGTAGTCAAAATGAAACTTATCTATTAGTTTAACTCAATTGTTGTTGCATTTGTTTAGTTAATTTTAGTTATTTGTGGATATAAAGAGATTTTTTATTGAAAAATAATTAATTTAATTAGTTTTGTAGATAACAATTTAATTAAATTTAATTTAGTTTTCCGGATATAATCTGAAATTAATTAAAATTTAAAATTAACATAAACTAAGAGCATGCTTTTAGTTCTGTTGTTATGTTTAATTAGCACTTAGAACTTGAAATCATTAAAATCATCAGTGAAAAAAGTTTCATGTGCACCCAAATGTCGGCAATCCGCACAACGCAGAAACAGTTTGAAAATGAAACACATAGACGAGAGGAAAGCTTTTTATTTTCCTTTTTTGGAGAGATGGATTAGAAAGAATAATTATAGAAAAATGAAAAGAAGCTGAAGATATTTTCTTGTTCCAACAATTCAGTTTTAAAGTATAAATTTAGTAGAACTTTAATTATTATTTTTTAAGAAAATCAATGCCAAATGAAAACTTTTGTAATTAAAATTTTTCTTTTTCTAAAATGATTTTTAAATTTCAATCTATAAGAAATCCGATGAGTCAATTGAATAATTCTTATGAAAATACGTAATTTGATATCGAAAACAGTTTGAAAAGCTTATTCATTCTCAGAAAAAGTGATCATTGATCACAGTTGTGCCAATAACCTCGGATGTTTGTTTTGAATATTCTCAGATCGTCCATGACTAACCCAGAACAAAAAAGTCAAAATAAAGACATGAATCATGTTTTAGGGGAGAAGTTTTTCTTTATTATGCATGAAAAATATCTTCATTAAATGTGTTTGGACGAAGAGCTTCATGCAAATTGCAGATCAACGCTTTCCTTGGGATTTAAAATCAATTTCTTGTTGATTTACACAATTTGCAACGCCTTTCTCGTAATCAAATTTATTCACGATGGAATTCTGAAATCGTCTTTGTTGCAAGAACTGTTTTAGAAAGACTTCAGATGTTCAATAAAAAGTTATTTGAAATAAATTTTAAGCTTTGAGAGGCGTGCAAGTGTTAATATCATTCCAGATAGAAATTGTGAGTTAAACTTAAGTTCAAATTGTTGGTTTTATGTCTTCCCTTTCATTACATAAAGCTGGGAATTTGGGATTTTTTCCACTGATGCAACCTGAAGCTGCTTTTCCGACTTCATAAACTTTACTGCCCATCATATTACCAAAAGCATAATTGCATGTCATTAAAGATGTTTTGAAATTATTTTCCGTATATTGAACAATTGCACATCCAACTTGACAAGCGCGATCAGTCACAAGCTAAAGAACATTCAAATATTGAAATTACTATGAAGATTAATTTAAATAATTTCACCTGAGTAAAGTGACCAATTACGCCTTTGTTCGAATGACAACATTTATCGATATTCGATTGTGAAGCAGCAGAAACTTCATCGTACCAAGACTTGACCGATTTTTCAACAAATTCATCGATTGATTCAAAACCTTTTGTGGATGCTCGATAAGCAACGTTTTGACCAGGATATTTGAAGTCAGGTAATTTGAAGCATTGATCATGATGCATTTTGCATTCCTTGACGTTCATTTCAGCTAATTTTGCTAATTCTTGATTCCACATCTGACAAACAAAAACTTTAGTTTGTGAAAAGATCAGAAATGATTTAACTCACCATTGTTGCCATTCTTTTAGCTGATTTAAAACCTTTCTCATTACCATTTGCAATTTTATTCCTCCATTTATTGTGATTATCTAAAATACTTTTGATGTTGTCAGGTGAAAGATTTACAAGCTTTCGATCTGATGGACATGAAGATGAAAATCTTCCCAAATTTCCACAAGCAACGTGCCGCAATCCTTTCGGACACATCTTACAATAATCACTTTTAAATGCATTACAAGTTATTAAAACTGAAGCAAGAAGAATTATTTTCCACATTTTTAATCGAATTACTTCACTAAACTAATGAAGATATGAGTAATTAAGTTTCTTATATAGTTCACTTTCGACGTTATTCATCGACACAATTAATATTAACTTCGAAATGTGCACAACTTTAACTAACAACGATGACTAAAGGTATTTAAGCGGAAATATTCTCAGGTTATTATCACACGAAAAACGTGTTCAGAAGCTTTATCCACGATAATTAAATATAATAAGAAAAAAAAGTTCACGTTTTATATAAACTTACGTTGTAATTAAATCAGGTGTGGGTGTGATTAGAGCGATTTTTATCACAAACTTTAATGATCTTGAAGGATAATAATAAAGCATGTAATGTAATTGGACTTAAAATTAAAATTAAACCACATGCCAAAGTATATTATTATGAATAGTAGAAAGATTATCTGGCAAGCGACATTCGTCACATTGATGACTCAATATCGGAAATAATTTTAATTCACTTGTGTTTGTTATTTGTCTCCTTAACTTCTTGATTCTGTCCTTTCCAGAAATGGGGAAGTTTCCCAAGGAAAATGGAAGCTAAATTACCTCGGAGAACTTCGAAAAAACCATTCAACTTCTATATCAAACAAACAAACAATTTTTTCCCATCTCTCCTCTACATTCATAATAAAAACATTTCCGTTTGATTCTGAATTGTTTGTGTGAAGGTTTAAATGTCTTTCTTGGAACTCCATTTGGTTCCCCCGGGCACCGGAAAATAAAAAAAATTTCTCGCTTAACCATCTCTGGTCCTTTCCATGGAAATTTATGACTTAGCAAAGCTATTCGAGAGCATCAACTGTGCATGTTAACATTCAATTTAATTGCTTAAACATTTTCAAGCCACAAAAAGAAAGAATGTTCGAGTGGAATGAACTCTAGACTTGTTTTTCATTAACAAAATCTCTCTAATGTAGTTTTCTAAAATTTTTATTTCAATATTCTGCCCAATTAATCAACTAATTATCAGAAAAATCTTTCTTCAATTAATGAAAAAGAAGCCAAAACTGTTCAAAAAAATTTTAATTGGTTTCGTTAACATCGTCATCGGAAATTTATGTAAATTCGTGATCGACGTTTATTTGTGTAGATAAATCGTTTATAACATCAATCAGTCAAAAAGCTTAACTGAAAGTAGAGAATGTTTGCTAGATCAACTAACTTATGTCAATAATTGATCAGACTCTGCTGTTCTCAGTTGCAAAAATGTCTCCAATGTTATTTACTACTGTCAATGACAAAGAGAAGTCGACAAGTTAAATAAAGTTTATTAAACATTTACTCAGGTGCTTCATTCACTTTCGTTTTTGTTGATTTTTTCATCTTTTAGAAGGTTTAAGAACTGAAAAGCTTTCAATGATATCGATGAGCGAGCTCGAGCACACCTGCGAAATTTTAAGACACGTTTTTGATTTTATTATTACTTAACAAACGATAATTATAAGAATAATAAATTTCTTTGGGTCTTTCACCTTTTGAAGTGTCCATAAAGTAAGAAAGTCTTCTTCCCGAAAATTTTTATGTTTCGCGATGAAATTCATGTCGAGAACTTTCGAAAAAAGAACGAGAATTATGCAAATTAGCAAGAAAAAGAAAAGTCAAAACTTTTTTTTAATCTTTCACAAAGCAAGAAAATCAAGCGAAATATCTCACGAAATGTTCGATGTCTGTTGATCTTCTCATTATAATATTATTAAGATTCAAGCTCTGCAAGAAAAGGTGAATACTCCACAGCGCATTTATTAGCACGTTTCTTGATTTTGTTTTCAAATTATTTTTCTGTTCTGTGATTGCGTATGTTTGCCAAAGACAAGCTGTCTGCTAAAGAGTTAATCAGCAATAGCAGTAAAATTCTGATTCATCTAGACGTCAACGATGTTCTTTAGAAGAGAACTTTTAACTAGAAAATTTTATATAATTTTGTTTTTTATTTGTTTGAAGATTAGTCAAGGTGTTGTTGATGAAATTCACAGTTATTGAGCGATTATCGCGAACTTCATTGCACACCTACTTGTGTTGAGAAATTTTCCCATGTGTGGAAAATAATACAAAATTGCCAAGCGCTGACTTATCGTCATAATTTGTATTATAAACAAACAGAAACTTTCAAAGATCATTCAATGAAAAAAAAACCTGAAATTTGGTGATCTTGATCAGATGACCATCGTCTTCATCATCGTCTATGTGATGTAAACAAACACATTGAAATGTTGCAGAGTTTTGCTTGCAACTTCTCGCTCATTTCTTCCGCATTGAAACTTTTTTTCTCCTTTTCCGTCTTATCAGAACAATTTTTGATGCTTTTTGGAGAGCGAAAGAATTGAACAAGAAATCATCAAACGTGATACAATTTAAGAACCTTTTTTGATTGTACATACATAAAAATCATTCGATAATCAGGAATCGAGACCAGTTCTCGTGCATTTATTCAACCAGTTTAATTTTAGTTGTCTCATCCGTTGACTTATGCCAAAAATTTTCCAGAGAAATTTCTTGTTTTTGTCTCAACTTGTGCGACGTCTTTATGGGAGATTCGTGGAATACGCAATTCACGAAAATATTGAAGTGAGTGTCATGTAGAGTTGAAAAATCCCCTTTTAAGAACCTTTGTCGTTCACACTCACAGGAATCAATGACTTTCCCAGTGTCAACAACATTAAAGCTTCTTAAAGTCATCAATTCTTGTAATTGATTGATTGATTAAAAGTTTAAAATCGTGAAATTGTTCTTAGAATGCTCTTCAGCTTTACATATCTATGATGATAATTGAATAATTTATAAAATATTTAATTGATTAGAACAAGTTAAATATTCAAATTAACAAC